GGTCAATCTTTGGATCTACTGTGGCTTTCAACAACCCAACTGTTTGTCTCTTGGGGATTTTAAGACTGCAGAGGTAGTGGTTGTTAATTGAGATGCAATTCACATACCATAAAATTCACCTTCTTAAACTGTAAAATTCCATGGCTTTTAGTGTATTTGCAAGATAGTGCCACCGTCACCACTAAGTTCTAGAACACTTTTCATCAAATAGAAGCCCCATACCCGCAAGTAGTCACTCCCTATACTCTCCTTCCCCCCCCCATTCCCTTGGCAACCACGAACTAATCTGCTTTCTGTATCTCCAGATTTGCTCTTGTGGATGTTTCATATATATGGAATCTTACAATATTTGGCCTTCTGTATCTGGCTTCTCTCACTGAGCATAATGTTTTCAAAGTTCATCTATCTTGTAGCAGGTGTCAGTACTTCACTCTTTTTATGGGTGAATTGTGTTCCATTGAATGGATATACCACATTTTATTTACTCATCAATTGATAGACATTTAGGTGGTTTCCACTCTGGGGGTATTACGAATTATACTGTGATGAACATTTATGTAAAAGTTTTTGTGAGAGTGTATGTTTCCTTTCTTTTGGGTATATATTAGGAGTGAAATTGCTGGGTCATATAGAACTCTGGTTAACCTTTTGAAGACTGTTTTCCAAAGTGGCTGCAGCATCTTGCATTGCTTCCAGCAGCATATGAGGGTCTCAGTTTCTCTACATCCTCATTGCCACTTGTTATTCTCCACCTTTTATTATAATCACTATAGTAGGGGTGAATGTGGTTTCTCATTGTGGTTTTGATTTGCCTTCCTCTGATGGCTAAAAATGCCAAACATATTTTCATGGGCTTATTGGCCATTTGTATATCTTTGGAAAAATGTCTGTTTAGGTCCTTTGTCTATTTTTAATTAGGTTGTCTTTTAATTATTGCATTCTAAGATTTTTTTGCATATTTCAGGCACAGTTCTCCTATCAAATTTGCAGACTTTTTTTCCCATTCTATGGGTTGTTTTTTTCTATCTTGATGGTATCCTTTGAAGCACACAAGTTTTTAATTTTGAGGAAGTCCAGTTGATATGTAGTTTCTTGGTTGTTTGTGCATTGCGGATCACATCTAGGAGATCATTGCCTAACCTAAGATCATGAAGATTTACACTTATGCTTTCTCTAAGAATTTTGTAGGTTTAGCTCTTACATTAGTTGTCCATTATGAGTTAATTTTTATATACAGTGTTAGGTAGAGGTTCATTTTCCTTTTTTTTTTCTTCTGAAGATCCCATCTACTTAGCACAGGAGCGCAAGTTGCGGGGGAAGAACAGAGAGAGAAAGAATCGCCAGCAGACTCTGCACCAAGTGTAGAGGCCGACACAGGGCCAATGACCCCAAAATCATGACCTGAGGTGAAATCGAGCGTCAGACGCTCAACTGATTAAGCCACCGAGGCACCCGTGAGGTTCTTTTTCATTCTTATGAATGTATGTATCTAAGCCCAGAGCAATCTCTTGAAAAAGGCTATTCGTTACCCCCCTTGAGTGGTGGTATTCTTTTTTTTTTTTTTTAATTTATTTAATTGACAGAGAGACAGCAAGAGAGGGAACACAAGTATAGGGGAGTGGGAAAGGGAGAAACAGGCCTCCTGCTGAGCAAGGAGCCTGATACGGTGCTAGATCCCAGGATCCAGGGATGGTGACCTGAGCCAAAGGCAGAGGCTTAACCCACTGAGCCACCCACGCTTCCCAAATGGTGGCATTCTTGTTGAAAATCATTAGACCATATAAATCTGTGGGTTTAATTCTGGACTCTCTATTCCATCAGTTGATATGTCTGTCCTTATGCAGGTACCCACACCATCTTGATTACTATGGCTTTTATAGTAACTTTTGAAATCAAGAAGTGTGAATCTCTTTAAAACTATGTGCCAAGAAAATTTTGAAATTGAGTTTAACTAAGTTAGTCAAATAAAGACAAGTAGACAAAGAGCTATTCTTCAAAATAAGTCTAAGCAGGTCCCAAACTAACCTAATTTACTTAGGAACAGAATGGCTGTCTAAACTTACGCAGCCAGATTCATTTTACTCCTTCCTTCATTTATTTATTTTTTAAGATTTTATTTAGTTATTTGTCAGAGAGGGAGCACACAAGCAAGGGGAGAAGCAGGCTCCCCATTGAGCAAGGAACCTGTGGAGGACTGGATTCCAGGACCTTGGGATCGTGACCTGAGCTGAAGGCAGATGCTTAACCAACCAAGCCACCCAGGTGTCTCATCTTCCTTCATTTATTCAGCAGTAATTTTAGGGAGTTTCTATACCAACACAACTGTGAGTAGTGTTGAACACTGGACAACATAAAGAAAAATCTAACGTCGAGGAGATGGTTTTGGAAATTTCATCCCAGGTGGGAGGTTTTCAGCCAGAGCAGTGATGGTAAAGATAGGACACTTTTAAGAAATGTTAGAGACAGAATTTTTAGGACTTACAATGGGTAAATTATAAGTTGGTGAAGGAGAATAAGGGATTGGCGCTATCTCTATTTCTAGCTTGGGGGTGATGGGTAGATGGAGTAGATAGGCAGATGGTAAGGGAGTAGACTGCACTGGGCTGAGTAAGTGCACATAGTGGTATCATCTGTTCTTTTAAGAAGTTTAGCAAAGCAGAAGGAGAGAATAGGGTTGTGAGAAGGTTAAATGTGTTTGTTTTGTTGGGTGTGTTTTAGGATGGACGATACTTGCCATCTGAGATAAAAATTACAAATGTGATGTTACTACTTTAGGTCTCAGAAGAAACAGAGTTGGGTGCCTGGCTGGCTCAGTGGGTTAAGCATCTGCATTCAGCTCAGATCATGATCCCGGGGTTCTGGGTTTGAGCCCCTCATCGGGCTCCCTGCTCATTAGGGAGCCCCGCTTCTCCCTCTGCCTGCTTCTTGCCCTGCTTGTTCTCTCTCTCCCTGTCAAATAAATAAAATCAAAGAAAGGAAGGGAAGGAAGGGAGAGAGCAAAGACACTCTTTCCTCCAAGACATTTGTTAGGATAGTTGATGTTGATGGTCTGTATCTTCCCTGGAGCAAACATAGCGAACGTTAGGAGGTACAGTAGGTGAGGGAACTACAGATCTTAAGAGCAGTAAAGCATTGGAGTGGCCACTGAGAACTGTAGAGAGAATAATGAGGAAATAGAAAATAGGAATGAAAAAAAGACAAGACAGAGGATCAGTTCAGGAAGTCTAACAGCTAAATATCAGTTCCTAAAAGAAAGAACAGAGAAAATAGAAGGGAGGAGATTATCAATGAAATATTTCAAGAAAAGTTCCCCATAAAGAAGCACAGTATGGTTCTCAGATTGAAAGGACCCATTGACAAAACAGGGGAAGGGGATTAGAGGTACAAACTTACAGGGGCGCCTGGGTGGCTGAGACTGTTAAGCGTTAAACTCTTGATTCTGGCTCCGATCATGATCTCAGGGTTGTGAGATCAAACTCTCGACAGGTTCAGAGCTCAGCTGGGAGAAATCTGCTTGAGGCTCGCTCTCTTTCTCTCTCTCAGTCTCCCTTGGTCCCTCCCCTACTCATACATGGTCGTGAGCACTCGCTCTTTCTCTCAAAAGTAAATCTTCAAAAAACAAACAAAAGATACAGACTTCCAGCTATTAAATAAATGAGATACCGGAATGCAATGTACAGCATAGAGAATATAGTTAATAATATTGTAGCAAGTTTATATGGTGACAGATGGTAGCGAGATTTTCCTGGGGATGACTTCATAAAATATATAAACGTTGAGCCACTATGTTGTACCCCAGAAACTAATAAAATATTGTATGCCAACTATGCCTCAATAAAAATAAGAAAGGGCCCATTTGAGTTCCCAATACAATAACATCAACACAAAGACATGAATAACTACAGGTTTCCAGAGAAATAAAATAGGCTCCATAGAAAAAGGATTAGATGTCATAGCAGCCAACACAAGACAACTGAGCAAGGCCTCCATATTTCTGGTAGAAAGTGATTTTCAGCCCATACTTCTATATGCAGCCAGGTTAGTCAGTCCACTTTGAGGGCAGAAGAAGATTTTCAGACACTCGGGGTATACAAAACAGGAGAATAAGCCAAGAATAGAGACTGGAGTAGTGTACAACACATGGAACGGGACGGGGCCTGCTCCTTCCGCAACAGAGCTGGTGCTACTGGCCAACTCATGCACAGCTGTGGCTTCGATACATGTTGAAACTTTAAAGTGAACAGGCCACAACATGAATGTGTTTCATTCCACTGAGCTGCACAATTTAACATTATTAAAATGGTATATCCACTTACCACAAGTTTAAAAAAAAAGATCTGTGGGAGGTAAAAACAGGCAGCTCATAGAAGTCTTACAGTTGAGCTGTCAAAGGTAGATAAGGGACAGCAGTGAAGGGGTGGGAATGGGGAGTGGTATACAATTTTTGTACTGTTTCCCCCTTGGAAAGCTTTTAAATTTAGAGTTAAAAAATCCAAGAATGTCTGTGTAAGTGTCAGCGCTCACCCAATAAGAGCTTAGCTAAGGTGAGCTGAATCTGACTAGGATGGCTTGAGGGTTCTTTCCTGGGTGTTTCCTGGGGCCTTGGCATTTACTTTCCATCTGGGGCAGTCCTCCCAGGTTCACATGAGAAAAGTGGCTTTGACGACATCAGAAAAGTTTTTCACCATTTAAGTACTCTGACTGGTGGCCTCTGGACAAATGTTTAATTCAGAAAAATAAATGTAGCCTAAACAAATTTTATTATCTTCCAGCGTGAACTTCCCGCCTGAGGACTATAAAGACGAAGTAGTTTGAAAATGGAGAACCAAGAACCAGCGGATCCTCCTCAAAATACCAAACAGTCTATTATTTCAGAGGAGGTATAAATTGTTTTTCACTTCCTTTTCTCCTCTCTGCACCCCCTTCCCAGAGCTGAGTTTAAATGAAATGTAGGAACTGTTTGTTTCAGATGCTTGTATTTAATTCTTTTGTGTGTGTATTTAATTCTTAAAGACAGTTTCTTAAACACTGTTCCTACTCCCTTTTTAGGACCAGGGACATTTTGCCCTTGTGTGGGAGCAATAGTATGTCTCTGAATGATATACACTAGTGAAATGGAGGCTGTTTTTAAAGTGGATTTTGGCTGTTAATACAAAAATTCTCAAAATTTTATTAAAAGTTTCCCTGGGTAGAAGAATAAATCATATGTGAGTTTTAGGGTTTAGACATTTCATACTTAGGTATCACATCACATCTTAGTTAGCTTAAACATATCTATGTTTAAGAACAGTAACAATCTAAGTTGTTAGTTGTAGTCTGAATTCCAGAACTAATGTTTGTGTTATTGTTATTTGGTTTAGATTTTAATAAGTCTCTTTCTGCAGGAACCATTGCAATGGATAAATTTTAAGTCCTTCACCTTGGAACTCTGACCTTGACATCTTCCTACAGTTGTTTACGATTTAAAAATCTTTCCATGTTGTCTGTGAATAGATCTGCTGATAATTATTAGGTTGCTGCTGGCCAGAAGTGAGAGATAGGATAGTGAGGAAAAGGCTACTGCTTTATGTCCACAGTGAATCTCTCCTGTCAGTTCAGTATAGTGCCATAGGTAAGTTAGTCCAGGTAACGGAAACTCATTGTCTAGGGAGAACAATCCTGGGCCACCTGTCTTGGATGGGGTGGGGAAACCCACATGTCCCTGGAAATGCAGTTGTTGAACATGGTTTCCTCAGTCAGCCTCCCGGTGCGGTCGCTGACCATAAACCAAACTGATGAGTCTCTACCCACTAACCACATGTGTGTGATGAGCGCCCAGCTCAGAGGATAGAACACTAGGTCCCCAAAAAGCCCTCACTCCTGGTTCTCCCTCTCCACTCCCCTGCACCCCCCAAGAGTTTTTCAACTATCACCTCTTTTCACCTCTCAGGATCACTTCCAAAACTCCAGAAAGAAGCTGAACCACCCTTCAGAAACAAAACTTTCCATACTTTGAACTGAAAACCTTCACACAACTACTGGGAGGGATAGGTGGTCACTGGGAGGCCCAGGCAGAGAAAATCTGAAAGAAAACAAACCTTCTAAATAAAATCCTCAGTTTGAAAGTCTCCCAATTTAATGTCTCCTTTTAGTTAATTTCAGAAGGAAAATGGGTCAAGCTTGAAAAAACAACATACATGGATCCTACTGGTAAAATAAGGTAAAGGATTTTTTTTCCCTCTTGTAAAATGCACAGTGTTTGGGTTGTCAGTCGGGTCTCCATTTTGCATTTGGCATAAACTCTGATAGTGTCCTCATTATAAACTTGGTCTTAAATGAAAAAATTTATTTCAGTGCTTTCCCATTGTCAGAATGTCTGGATTGCTTATAATCTCTGAATAAAATTACACTGTCAGTATGTTATAACAACTAATCGGGAATTGATTTTTAACACCATTCTCCCTGAGGAGGTTTTTATGAACCTGAAATTTGGGGCCAAGCCTCACTTAGGCTGATAAAGCAGCAGAATAATGAACCACCCAGGCAGCCTCCTTCCAGTCACACAAATTTTTAATTTGTAAACTAGAAGGATTAAGGAGAGGATAGTGCTGGGTTTGAAGTAAAACTTATATCCTTTACACCTTGCTCATGGAAATGGGAACTGGTGGTTGGGGAGGGGGAGTTTTGCAAAGCATTTCACAGTATGTGCCAGTTCCCAAGAAACTATGACAAGACACCCTTCGACCTAAGTGATCCCACTCCTGACAGTCTGGAGTTACGTTTGTGCCTGAAAAATGTTCATCAAAATTTAAAAAGACAACAAATCGAAAGCACCCTAACCATTTTTAAAATTGGGAAATGACTGTAACAGTGTACCGTAATAAGAGAATACGATGTACAGTATGAGGGAATATAGTCAGTGATACTTTAACAACTTCGGTGACTACCCTTGGTGTGGTGAATATTAATTATTGAGATACTGTGTTGCACACCTCAGATACAATATTGTGAGTCAATTCTTCAGTCTAAATTCTTCAATCTAAAGTGGGAAAATAATTTTTTAGTGTATTCCTTTGGCAAAATCTCTGCAGTCATCTACAAGGCAGATTCTGAAGACAATCTAGCAATATGAGAAAGGTGATTAAGTTGATAACAACATAGGAAATGGTAGATATGTGTTTTAAATTCTATCCGTGTGTGTGTGTGTGTGTGTGTATGTATTTATAAGAGAAGGCTAGAAGGAAAACTGGCAAAATATTAGAGGCAGCTGTGTAGTAAACCTTTTCTGTTTCTCCAATTTTCTGTTTAGAAATTTTTTTATATTATAATTACCAGAAAAAAATGTTTAAAAATAGATTAAGCATTTCAGTGAAATATAAAAAGGAATGAAGTGCAATGAGAAAATACAAAAATAGAACTAAATTTAGTATCCAGATTACATGATATAAATTCGTTAATATAAAAAGTCCATTTGCTAAGTGATCAGGTAAGAATACGGGTTTCTTTGTGAGGAAGTACATCTATATTCCATGTGAAAGTAAGCGGACTTGCCAGTAGTAACTGAAACCACTTTAATTACATTTACTAAATTAGCAAAAGTATTATTAAGTGCCAGTGTGAGAGCTGCAGGAAACATTAAGCTCTCCATAGCACTATTAAATTAAAACCTCAAAGTAAGAAAGCTAAGCACACTGCAGTCCATCAACACAGGGGAAGCATACAGAACACTTATCTGATGTGAGTCTGATGGGCGGAACTAAGTAGGAAATTACTAGTGGGTACAGGAACACAGTCCAGAAATGTGGCCAGGTCCCAGGCCTCAGGAACACAGTATGCTCAAATATGCTTGTATCTGTGAAAATGTAGACAGATGAGAACCCAGTTGGTAGTGATATGGTTTGGCTCTCTTTTCCCTATAAAATTGTTTAAGTGTATAACAGATAAAAACCCTTAACACTAATTTATCAAAAGAGTACCTCTTGGTTTGTACCAGCTCATCTCTTCACCTGACTCCTTTTCCTCCGTCAGCATTTCTGAGTCAGGGATGTGCATCAGAATCATTTGGAGGCTTTTTATCACATTACTTTCATCCAGGTCTCCCCTCCAGATTGCCTGTCTCAGTAGTTGAGGCGTGCACCCAAAAGTTTACGTGGCCTGTTACTGCACGTTCACCTCCGTTCTCACACATAGGCATCTTCCCATGACTTACAGGGAGCTTTTACAAAACATATTGACATTTTGTACTAGAATGTCAGGCTTTGGAGAGTGAATCTGGATTTTCCCATAGGTCGTGATGAGTAAACTTATGAAATGTTTTATCTGTTACCCGATACATAAGCATGTTGGTAAGGATGAAATAGCAGCCCGAAAATCCTTTGTTCCACCATATTATTTGTGGATTAAGATATGGAATTGATTTTGTGTAAAAACCGCTGGCAGTGTGCCCCTTCATGGACTTTTGGGACAGAGCCAAAGTCTTCATTTGTTGCCATTCCTGCCTCTTGTGTTTGTTGACTAGGCCAACAACATATTACGGGAAAACAGGCTTTCCTATAGCAAAGACTCAAAAAACGGAATAACTTAGCTAGAATCAGAGTTCTAAAGCTATAAGAAGCTTTTGAGATAACTTACTCTGAAGTCCGTAGCTTTACAACTGAGAACAGTTTCAGGGAGTTTGTGGCTATGGGGTTGGCTGGTAGGCAGGAAGAGACCAAGATTTTCTGACTCAATCAAATGTCTCTCTCAGAGTCCCTTGAAGATGACTGGAGCTTTTGTGAGGCATTCCTGGTCTGGATTCCTTATAAGTGCATTTATATTTCCTTGCAGATTTATGGCTTGTTACTGGTTATTTTACTTGATCTTAACCACTATAATGATGGTACTCTTTCTGTTTCCCTTATTCCTAGTGTTTTTGGGGTGGTACCTTCAGTTTCCTCAGCACTGTCTTCTTCAGTCTTTACAACTAACCTTAAGAGACAACAGAGAGACCTATGCCAAAAGGTGTTTTGTCTCCTGCAACCTGTATTTACTGATCAGAATTGCTTGTTGGTTGGCTTCTTGTTACTAACCGGAATGTTGGGCAGTTGTGAGTTGTCATAATAGCATTTGGTTTTCGTAGGTTCGTTTTGACACATTTGCCATTAAAATTTAAGTATAACACCAAAAGATCTACAGTTTACAGTAAGAAAGGTTTGTTTGTTTTTTAAAAGATTTTATTTATTTATTTATTTATTTGAGAGAGAGAGAGAGAGAGAGCACAAGCCGCGGGGAAGGGCAGAGGGCGAAGTAGACTCCCTGCTGAGTAGGGAGCCCGATGCAGGACTTGATCGCAGAACCTGGAGATCAGAACCTAAGCCAAAGGCAGAGGCTTAACCGATTGAGCAACCCAGCACCCCCAGAAGGGTGGTTGTTTTGTTTTGTTTTTTAACTAGAGTAAATATTTGGATTTTTTTCCATAGAAATTTGGCACAGTCCAACCCTTAAGGAGGAGTAGGTCAAAAGTGCGAGGGCCCCTCTGGGCAGCCGATCTCCTCAAACCCACTCTTCTTTGGGGAGGCAGACCTTGATGCCTTTCTTACCCTAGTCTCCAGCACCACTCACATGTCTTATTTCTCCTAGATCCAGAGGTCATCTGCTTCTTCACTCCCATCTGCTATTCCTTTCTCTTGAAGGGACAAGAGAATGAAGGGGAATTTCCCTCATATGCCCTTCCCCTTCAGACACAATTACAGCAATAACTAGATTTTCAGGACAGCATTCCCCAGAAAGAAACAGCTACTCAGGGAAAGGGAGCAGGAACTTGTCACTACTCATCTCACTTTTGACTTTGGACCATTTTCCCCTTAGGTAAGATAGATCTCATACATGCAAAAGAGAGCACTTACCTAAATTTAATAATTCCTCAATGAATAAATGGAATGGTCCTGCTTTCTTCAATTGTTATTTTAGGTCACATGTAAATAACAGCTCGGTAGTTCCTATTGTACATTACCCTCTCTTCTTAGCAAAAAGTCTGGACTTTTCATAGGACCATAATCTGCACACTGCTCAGTAGCTTTGCAGCTTAACTGCTCACCTGTGGATTTATGACCCAGCCTGAAATATTTCCAGTGAACGATTTGAAAAGCAGCTCAAGCGAATAACAGGCCTTGTCTTTAGATAGCACTCAGAGGGTTAGATGTAGGGTGGCACATTTTCTTCAGAAGAATTTTCAGAAGCGACAGGAAAGCACAGTGGGCATTTCCTATACCGATGTGTATGGCTGTGGTCTTCTTGATCATTATCATTAGCACACTTGCATGCTTTGCATTTGAAAGTTCTGGTTGTAGACCAAAACCCCAAGGACATTCCCCTCTGTAATACCAGTGATTTTTTTTCTTCTCTGCCTGAACAGAACTTGGGAAACTGTGAAACGTACAACCAGGAAAGGACAGTCGGCTGATGGTAGGAGTGCAAACCCGTTACAGCTCTTCATGAAGGAGGTCACCACGCATTATTGCCGGAGGCGGGGTTCTTTTTACTTTAACCAAGACCTTAGAGCAGTTCTCTTCAATTATGATCTTTTATCTTTAAACTACCTTTCCTTTTTGCAGTGCTACATGATTAAATCAGGCTGTCTCTTTTTTTGGTTTACAGATTTATTCATTTAGAGAGAGAGAGCGTGGCAGGGTGGAGGGTGGAGTATGGGGGCAGAGGGAGAGAGGGTTTAAGCAGACTCTGTGCCAGTACAGGCCTTGATATCACGACCTGAGCCGAAACCACGAGTCAGACGCTTAACCAAATGCACCACCCAGGCATCCCGATCAGGCTTTCTTTATAAATAACTTTTGCCTCCTGTTAGTTCTTCTCCGTACAGTGTTCTGAGGGGAGGGTATACGGATATTTATAGCCAAATATAAGTCAGTGTCATTCGAAGCCACACACTGTGTCTAGATAGGACTTTTAGAAATCCTTTGTATTCTGTTCAGAGGCCCTAGGTGAAAGCCTTTAATTTGGAAAAATATTTGGCCCTACATTATGATGGACCAGTTGCTTTATAAATTGATGAGGAAATGGAATTAGGAGAAGACTATTCTGTTCATTCATTTCACTGTCCCTTCCAGGCATAAATAAATGCTTTGACTGCTAAGATCCTGAAAATCATCCCTGGTCTAGAGGAAGTTGGGCAGTAGATCTCTGTTTCTCCCTTTCATTTTGTTGTCTGTTTTTACTGGAAGTTAACAGAGTGGCTGCCTTAGCTGCTGTTTCTGCCTGCCAGGATAGTTGAGGGCAAAGGGGTAGCCAAGAGCTCCCCATAGGCAATTTGTGTTTTCCAGAACGCAGTGGGGTTTTGTCTGTGTTTTGTTCCAAAGCCACGTAAAACGTTTCCCTCTTGGGAGAAAAGGCCCTTGATCCTAAAACCGTGAAATCCAGTGTAGCTAGCAGTTACCACAAACAGCAGGACTGACTTGATTCATTCTTTAAAGGAAATACAAGCACAGGGAGATGAATGTCCCTTCAGCTGTCCCCAGCCCCACACTTCCCCCACTCCCATCCCCTGTCTGGCTTGCTTCAGAGTGAGAAATGAGCCTCTGCAGAGGTTAGCGTAGGCAAGAATGTGTCCTTGACCCTGGGCTAAGTGTTCACGGACGTTTCATTAGGGATCTTCCTTGGTCTTATTTCCCGGCCACAGGTGTGGCGGTCATCCCAGTGCTGCAGCGCACGCTTCACTACGAGTGCATTGTTCTGGTGAAGCAGTTCCGACCGCCAATGGGAGGCTACTGCCTAGAGTTCCCCGCAGGTGAGTCTCTGAACCGAGGGGCCGCCAGGCCCAGCACCAAGAACTGCAGTGCCTAGACCCTGAACACCTTTTTATCTGTGCCTGTGGTTCTAAGTAAAACAGAAGCATTCCTGCAGTGAGCTGCCCCATCCCATTCTAGTGGCCTGCTAAGCCCGAGAGCGAGGCGAGGGTGGTGTCCCAGCCGACCTTTCCAAGCCCCCTCTCAGCAGCATTCTCTCTAGCTTCTCTTTGAGGAATTGCATTTCCCTAATTGTCAGCTGAGTTCATTTTCCATCACTAGTGATCCGTCTCCAACCAGAAATTCACAGTAATAACTAGGTCAGACTCTTAACTGTGTGAATGGAAAAGACATCTTGATCTTCCTCTATGTACACAGGCCAGGGAAATGGTCTTCATTTCCATTAGAATGTTCTCTTAAGTTGCACAGTTCAGTTGAGCTATCCAGAATTTGAAGCTGTATATCATTGTAGGACTTAATGGGGTTGTTCCCATCTGAAGAGATTACATCTCATTTATTTATCATTAGCGGTATAGGTTTTGTACAAATTCCAGCCCTTCAGAACTCATACCAACTTTCCTTCTCATTTACCTGCCATTTCACTGAAAAAATAATAACTTTAAAAGTAACAGAATAGGCTATATTTTACTTTTTCGTTGCATTATTTCCTTTCGAGTAAAGTAATCCAAGTTCTAAGGTCCTCCCCACTTGGCCTCCCTGTCAGCTGCCTCAGGTCCACCAGCCTCTCAGCCTTTTCCCTCGCACGTGATGTTCATGCCAGCATTTTTTTCCAGGCCCCAGAATCACTGTGCAAGGGAGGAAAGCACACAGGTGACACTGTGACACTGTGAAAACAGTGCCAGGCTTCCCAGGCTGGGGCACATAAGTGGGTCCGTCACCCAGGCCAGTGGTCCAGCACCACGAAGCCATTTCTCCTCACAGGAATCCGTGGTGTCCAGGCTGCAGAACACGAGTGCCAAGACACTCGTGGAAACAGTTGAGGTCTAAGTAAGACGAACAGAAGGGAGCTGTCGGAATCTACTCGATCTGCCGAGGGCTTTCTTCTTTCGCCCTTTTTTCTTAGAGAAAAGTTCCAAACCTCAGTCAGCTTTACCTGTACAACCACGTTCCACAGTCCTCTGATTCTTCTCAGGTAGCTCGACCGCAATTATACTGGGAGGAGAGTTTCAAAAAAACCGGCTTTCCCTAGCCCCCCTCAAATCACAAATGATTTGAACTTCCAGGTCTCATCGATGATAACGAAAGCCCAGAAGCAGCCGCTCTTCGGGAGCTTGAGGAAGAAACTGGCTATAAAGGTGATGTTGCAGAATGTTCTCCAGGTGTGTATTGCTGTCCAGGTGAGCACTCAGGGACAAACTCTTGAAAGTTAGTGAAGGTAGATTCTTCTGTGTGTAAAAGATAACGTAGATGTTCTTTTTTTTTTTTAAAGATTTTATTTATTTATTTGTCAAAATGAGCACAGGCAGACAGAGTGGCAGGCAGAGGCAGATGGAGAAGCAGGCTCCCGCTGAGCAAGGAGCCCGATGTGGGACTCGATCCCAGGATGCTGGGATCATGACCTGAGCCGAAGGCAGCGGCTTAACCAACTGAGCCACCCAGGCGTCCCAACGTAGATGTTCTTTAAGCTCAGGATTCATGTGGCTTTTGTCTTGGCTAGTTCAATGAAGAGAAATCCTAGTTAGATCTGGTCATCCTAGCAAACAAGAAGCTTTTTGCTAGAGCAAAAAGTGAAATTTGTTACCTTCCCAAGCTTCCCACATCCTAAGCTTTATCTTTTATTTCTTACCTCATCCCCATGCCAAGAACCTCACTAGAATTCTTTTCTTGACATGGTGAAAGGAGTTGACAGCGTGACCTAATTAGCGTAGTGTCTAATTTTGCTCAGACTCACCACACTGAGGAACTCAGGGGAAAACACAAGTGCTGGCTGCGCGTGTGCTCGGCAGGCCTGCAGCCCTGCTGAGCAAATCGGGCCAGCGGTCACTTTCCTCACAAGTTCTGTGTTAACCAGGAATCATGAGCCCCGTATTCTTCCAAAGACATTTAAGTAAGGAAACAAGTGGCATGTGACTGGGGTCCGTCAGGGTGACTTGTCACTTCTCTCCATAGCTGTGTGTATGGATCCAGGTTTGACAAACTGTACCACACACATCGTGACAGTAACTATTAACGGAGATGATGCTGAAAACGTGAGACCTAAGCCAAAGCCAGGTGAGCGTGCGGTGGGTGCGTTTAAGGTGATTCTGTTGCGTTAAATATCATTCAATTTGCTACTGATTTTGGTGTCTGACTAGTCAGAAGAATAATGGGCTTGTAGATACTTCATCAGGGCTCCAGGCTTTTTTCCTGATCTTCAGGTCCTTTAGCATTTTTCTTTCAATGCTTTCTGATCTTTATGCTTTATAAAATGTTAAATTACAGTATTTCCATATTTTCTGTGTGGAGTTTATTCCCACTTCGTAATAGGAGCCCCAGGTCTCAATAGTAGACAATGAAAAATCTTCAGAATCACTCATTTCTGGTTTTGTGTGTATTGCAAGCATCCATAAATAATTGTGAGCGGACAGCAACTGACTTTGCACAGGGTTCCATAGAGAAGTGTTTAGGAAATTCCTGGCTCTCTTGTATTTCTCAGCAAGTTTGGACTCGAGCTTTGATGCCTCTGTCCATCCCTGTTGTCTCCCACCCCACTGAAGGCGTTGCTTACACACATGCGTGCACGCACACACACACACATCACGTGTCACAGCCGTACTCTTCCATTGCTCTCCGGCTCAGGTGTTCCTGAGTGGTCCAGCCCCCACCGCAGCTGATTTTAAATGCACAGTTCATACTCGCTAATATGCAAAGGACCCGCAGTGCGAGAGTCAGCTGTCCTCGGAGCAGTGCCACTCCCAGGTCTACACCCCAAAGCACTGATAGCTGGCGCTTGCACAGATCCTTGCACCACAGTGTTTGGGTAGTGGCACTCACAGTACCCAAACGGTGGCCTCTGGCAGGTGCATAGAGAAACAACGCGTGGTGTGTGTGCACAGCCCTTAAGGAGACAGGCCGGCGCGGGCTGTAATGGGATGAACCCTGAACACTGTGCTGAGTGCTTCTTGCCGCCTAACAAAAAAGCGTCTGCAGGGGCTCCGGGCTGGCCCAGTCGGTAGAGCGTGCGACTCTTGACCTCTGGCTCACGAGTTCAGGCCCCACTTTGGGCATAGAGCTTAAAAAAAGGAAGAAAAAAAAATGTTTTTAAGCCTAAATCTGTCAACTCCACTCATATGAGGTTACCTAAAATCCTCATATTCAACATACAATAAGGTCAGTGTGCATGGGGACGTACTACTTAGTGGCTACCGAGCTTCTCTTTGTGAGGATGAGAATGGTGCTGGTAACTGCACAGCAGAGTGAATGATTTTAATGCCACTGAACTGTACCTTTAAAAATGGTTAAAATGGGGACTTTTGTATATTTTAACAACTTAAAAATACATAAGGGTATCTCCTAGAACATGCTTTAAATGTTGCTGTTACACATTTGGAGAACAGAAATGATTTTGTACTGTTGGAATGCTTTTTACCATGTACACAGTTGAACTTAGCAGAGACCCAGGTTTCTGCTGAATTCTTACACACTTCTAGTGTGTCTTGCACAAAAGTCTACCAGTGTTTGACCACAGCAGGCCTTGCTCCAACGTCGTCCTTGTGTTTGTTTTCAGGAGATGGAGGTATGTTACCCAGCTGGCAGTGGCTGACCGTGTGTATGGCTTAGCGCAGTGGAAATGGCTGCAGGCATTTTGTGGTGTTCTGGTAGGCCCTCTTATTCTTCAGCTTTGTTTTCACGTGCACTTTGTTTGTTTAGAATTTGTCGAAGTAATTTCCTTACCAAAGAATGACCTGCTCAAGAGACTGGATGGTAAGCATTCTTAAGACTATTCCCCAACTTCCTCAATGTTTCCCCATCCCCAGCCCCAGCCGGTGGGGCACTAAATAGAACTCCATTTCTGTAATTATATTCCTCCTCATTAAAGTCAAATACTGAAGAAACTGTTGTACAACTGCAGTTCCCCAACAGTAATTTTTGTTTCTGGGTGGCACAGAGTTTGAAAATGTGAGCAGAACATTCTGCGTCAAGTGAAAGCTTTGAGTAGGGTTGTTGTTGTTTAGTTTTTTCCTGTGGAAGAGTCAAGATATATTCCTGCAGATTTGCCAAAACTATACCTCAAATCTCTAATCTGTAACAGTGCAGAGGCCTAAGCAGATCTCTCTCAGCTGATCCTCCTAGTGCCTGCTGGATGGTTCTCTGCAGGCTAGAAGTTAAAGGAGAATTTGACAATATTCCTTCCACAAAGACTGAGGTGTATGAAGAGCACAACGGTGATACAGTGAACCAGACTGGCAGTGTGACCCCTAGGAAATCACTGGTCATGTAGTTCCGTCATGTCATTCCCAGCCAGCCCATCTCAGAGGGATTTGATAAAAAAATAAGGTCATGTGGACAAATGTCCTCTGATGAAACGACAGTAGGATGTACTGTACTGGAGACAGAGGCCCAACTGGGAGGGCCCCCTTTGCTCATTTGTAAAGAAACAGATAGTCTTCCTAATCTGAATGTTTTAAATTTTTTACTTCGAAAAGTAACTTGAAGCATTGTTTGGCCTGAGGCTTTGAGGGCTCTCTTCCGCCCCTTCCGTAAGAACCAGTGGCTTACAATTTTATTTCTGATGTCCGTGTTGTTTTAAAAGTAAGTATAGTATGAGTTTCCAAAAATGACTGTGATTTCAGAATTCCCAGAAAGCGTCCCTTCCTACTTTATCTTTTTAAAAACTAGACCTGAGGTAAAAAGCACCAAGTCTCAGAGTTAGAAACACTCACACTGAAGAAAGCCATGGTTTACCCAGAGAAATCTCTGGCTGCCAGTAATGGACAGACAGCACAACTCAGAGTCTTTCGGGTTTGCCTGGGTCTGAGGCTCAGCCCACCGTGCATTAGTCATGAACCAGAACACGTTCCACAGCCTCTCCTCGCTTTTCTCCTTAAACAGGAACGAGAGGTAGCCCCTGTCTCCAAAGAGACAGCAGGAAAATTAAATGATAATGTTGGCACTAGAGGGCTTAAATGTTAAATGCTTTATGTCTTAGGGAAATATTCTCGCAAAGAACTTCCTTCCTTCTCCCTCCCACCCAACTCAGCCTCCTTCTAGCCTTAGAGGAGGGGAAGACAGAGAAGAAGAGGAAGGAAGGTAGAGAGGGACAGATCTGTAGAAAGAGGAAGGGGAAGAAAAAACATTTTTCCTAACTTTATTAGAGTCAAAATATAGTAATCAAACCATTTATTCAACAAGTAACATTTGGGAAGGTATTTTGAGTTGTTCGCTGTAAGAAATAGTTTTCAACACTTACCAAGCTCCCGCCACGCACAGAGGAGGAGGCCATAACCCTGCCTTGCAGGATCAACATGTCTCTGAGCACGTTCCTAAACTAGTAGCTAGGAAAACAAGTGACAGATCCCAAGTCTGATCACCTCCACTTGAGTGATACAGAAGTTCTCCTTAAAGCACACTGTACAATGTAGGATTCTGAGACTCCATTCTTTCTTAAAATATATATATATATATATTTGGGGCTCCTGGGTGGCTCAGTGGGTTAAAGCCTCTGCCTTTGGCTTAGGTCATGATCCCAGGGTCCTGGGATTGAGCCCCGCATCTGGCTCCCTGCTCCACAGGGAGCCTGCTTCCTCCTCTCTCTCTCTCTGCCTACATGCGATCTCTGTCAAATAAATAAATAAAATCTTAAAATAAATAAATATATATATATATATATAAATTTTTTTTTTTTTTTTTTTTTATTTGAGAGAGGGAGAGACTGAGAAAGCACCACTGGGGCAAGGGAGGAGGAGAAGCAGACAGTGAGCAGGGAGCCAGACGCAGGGCTCGGGGCTCAATCCCAGGACCCCAGAATCATGACCTGAGCCAAAGGCAGATGCTTACTTAAGTAATTGAGCCACCCAGGAGCCCCTAAGACCTCATTCTTGCTAGAACTCCAGTCCTGTCATGCACACAGCTTAACTTATGTGTAGAAAATACGTATTCCCTAGAGGTGGAGAAAACGAATGAACCCCTCCATGAGGGACGGAAGAATCACCACTGAGCCCTATAACGAGCGATAAACAAACAATTGATCCACAAACTTAGAATGTTGCCGTTTTAACACAAAAATCATCCTGAATGTGTGATCTTCTCCCTTTACGCTTTTTTTCTTGCTCTTGTCTCTTGCTGGAAATGGAATCCTGCTTATATATCCTTTCATCTTCTTTCTCACTAGAATAAGATCCTTGAAGGCAGAAAATGTCGTTTGCCACTTGATCTCCAGCATCTGGCATAGGAACTGGCACACAGTAGTAGCTCAGTGAAGACGGACTGATTGATAAGGGGCATTGTCCTTGATGAACTTCATTATCTAACTTGTGTGCTTTGTTTCCTCTAGCTCTGGTAGCAGAAGAACATCTGACCGTGGACGCCAGGGTGTACTCCTACGCTCTGGCACTGAAACATGCAAACACAAAGCCGTTTGAAGTGCCTTTCCTGAAGTTTTAAGGCCAAAGGACAGTAGCCATGTTTTTATAAATAAGACCATCAGGCCTCCTTCACTAAGACTTTGTATTCAGCTTAGCTTCCTGTAGACTTGAAATTAGCTTTTTTCATTAAATAAAAGCAATACAGAATACATGTGGTGATATGGTATAATTACAGGTAGGCTGTAGTCTTCATTTAAATGCTAAACTCCAGCAAAGGCTAATGAAAAAGAACATAAATGCAGATACCGTTTTTAATCCAGTTAATTTTTAAAGTTCAGCTGTTACTTATCTAATGTAGTCCAACAGACAGGAGTATTTCTAGAAGAAAAATGATCTGAATTCCAAATTAGGTCAATTATTCCCACCCTCGGCCCCCATATAAACTTCTGTAACTAGGTATGCAAATAACTATTTACTACATCAGTGTTTAAACAAAGTTTTTTGTTTTTTGTTTTTTTTTGAAGACAGACCTATACAGGGACTTTCTTGGTCCTTCTATTAATTATCTGCTATTTGGAATTAATACACATCCCTGCAGAGCAGAGAGTGTAAAATCAACAGAGAATAACATCCATGAGAAACAAATATTTATTTACATTTGGCTAGTGTCCTCCTACCCACCTAACTACTGAAGGTAAACAAGCTGTTAGGTATTGAAAAATGGTTGATTCCATTCATTATAACAAGGTTAAGAAGCTAATGAAAATACAGGGCCCTTGCCTCAAGCAGGTATATATATTTTAGAATTTCATTTCCTGTCCTTACCTCAGAAAGTACTTGTAGTTTCAAAAACCAAATCCATTTAGGTGGTTGGGTGGCATCACTGTCTTGGTGTTGAACCGTGACTGTAGCCAGCAAGGAGAGCAAATACCAGAATCCCAATACAACTACCTTACAGGGGAGAACAGGGGCACAGTTTCCAGCTCAGGCCATGCCCAAAGCCCGCATCACCCAAAATGTCTGCCAGTATCCCTGGGCCGTTTTCTCAGCTTTTAGCTGTGCTTAGCCCTTGTGTTGACTTCTGTGGCCTCCAGCAGCTCCAGACTATCACCCTTCAGCTGAGCCCCCAGTGGAAGTCTCAGAGTGATGCTCCCTGGCCAGCACTAAATCGGGTTTCCAGCCCAGCACTCTGGCCCCTCAAACCAGATAAAACCAGGACACTAATACCAAAAGTGCTATAATATAGTTCATTTGTCTACAGGGTCACTGTACTCAGTGTATTGTTCATCTCTGTATCCAGAGATGTTTTTGTGAGCAAAAATACAAGATCTAGGGGCGCCTGGGTGGCTCAGTGGGTTAAGCTGCTGCCTTCAGCTCAGGTCATGATCCCAGGCGGGATCAAGCCCCGAATCAGGCTCTCTGCTCAGCAGGGAGCCTTGCTTCCTCCTCTCTCTCTCTGCCTGCCTCTCTGCCTACTTGTGATCTCTCTCTGTGTGTCAAATAAACAAATAAAATGGAAATGCATCCCTTTTAAAAAAACAAAACAAAACAAAAAAACCAAGATCTATTAGACTTTCTAACCAAAGGAGGAAAGGATGAAACTGGAGAACTAACTAGATTGAGTCTACTCTGTAAATATTGCAAAAATTAGGCCCCCAACTACTTGCTCTAATAGTAGCCTTCCCCTGTGCCCCTAACCCTTTAAAAAAAAAAAATCCTTATTTTTAATGCTAGGCATCATGATTCTCTAGAGATCTTATTCCTTCTCCCTGAGCTCCCAAAGACCAAGTTCTATAATCTCCCTGGTAACTGCCTTCCTTCAAAAATCAAGAAACAGAAGGCATATGGAAAATATACAGACTCGGGGCACAGACCAGTCTCCAAACAGACCAGCTCTTCCAAAGCCACTCCCTGCAAAAACTGAGAAACCTACTCTTAAATGTTGGTGGAAGAAAGATCTTTGTAACCCCTATCTGTCCTTTCTACCTTTTTCTCTTCCTAAGAGTGCAAATGACAAGAGACAGCTAAATCCTAGAACATACCCCTAATGCCCTTTAAACGTCCAACGCTGTCCTTGGCAAGTTAGGTCAGCTTAAGAGCCAGCAGTCTGGATGTTTTCATGGCTGACACTGGTCATTTATCAGCATTTGGAAGTTCAAGTTTTCCCAAAAAAAAGCCCTTATTTCCACCTTCTCTTGAAGAAAAAGAAAAAAAATCACGCATGACCACTGAATCCACATTTCTATGGTCACAAGGGTCTGAGGCCCTGAGGAGATGTCCTCCGGATGACCACTGTTGCTGGCCTGCAGCCTTGTGTCATCTGCCTCCCTGTAACTGGTTTTGTGATCCTGGACTAAATAAGATGTAATTCGGCGCTTAAAAAAGTAAACAATGGAAACCCTTACTTCTGAAAAGGGAGCCTTCAAAAATGAAATGTGATCTCTTTGTGGCTGACAGACTACACCATTTAGGATAGAGGCTGTTTCGGATAGAGGCTAGGACGACATCTGAGATCGTCCTATGTTTTCCTATTCTTTCCACAGTTAGTAGCATAACTGAGCACCTCTAAGTTGGTCCCTGTTTCCCAACAGTTTTAGGATTAAACACTAAACTGTAATGACATTTGACCTCTTGCCACAGACTTCTCAGGATGGGTTTTGTATGATTATGATGAACCTATACAAGTAATCTTAGAAATCATTTAATACCCGATTTTATTTTTCCAACACAACTGAAACAGTTTTATTAAATAAAGGTTTATTTTCTACTGTTTACACTCATGTTGTTGCTGTAAAGTACAACAACATACACAGATTCCTAGCACGAATTACTCATTGTTCACCCCCACTGAACTACAGACATTGCTTGAGAATTAGATCTTTGCTTTAGGGATTAAAAAGAAAAGAGAAGAATTGGGGCATCGTATCTTGAAAGAATATTCTCAAGGGATGTGTTGGAATTCGAAGGCATAGCCAATACAGTAAAACAGCACCAACTGCTGTCACTGGGAAGAAAGGAATGAAAACCAGGAGTAATTACAAGCAGTTGTTTTAGGAACAGCTGGAACTGAAGCTCAGCGTTGCCCATCTGGGCTGAGTGGCAGCTGTGAGAGGGGACGAATCGGGCAGGGGACGGAGAGGGAGGGTGGGAACGTGGATACTAGGTTTAGGAGTTAAAAAAGTATAAAAAGTTAATTATATCTAAAATACAGATTAGATATAAATGTTCCAGAACTCATTAAATAAGCTCAAAAATACTGGAAAGTGGCAATTTGAACTACATTTATTTTTAAACAAGTGGGGGGAAGAGTGAGTGTTCTGAATGTTGTGTGCAAAACCGATCCACGTCACCATCTCACCGTCACAAGTGAACAGGGCAAGGCGGGTACACTGGTTTCCAGCATCACAGGCAACACTACAAGTACATTTTTGAACGAATAATGTAAACTTCAGTTTTAAGGCAGCTGGTACTAATGCTGCACACAGGCTGAGCTCGGCGCCCATCTCACAAACGGGCCGGTGAGCGCTTGAAAACAAACCGTGAGGGAAGAAAAGGGATTATTTGACAAACAGGGATTATTTGACAGCATCATTTGACAAAAACAATGTGTCAAAATTATTTTCCCTTTCACACACACAAGAAGAAATACTGGAACATTTAGAAAAACAAAGCACCCATCCCACCGACTTCAGCCTGTTCCTTCACAAAAATTTCAAAATACTGATAAATAATAGTGACGGCAAGCAGGATGCCGGTGCCGGAGCCAATGGCCCCGAGGAAGTCAGCCAACACTGACAGGGCGCCAATGCACAGGCCACCAAACGCTGCCGCCGTGGGGATGTACCTGCAAGAGAGAACGCTCAGTCAGCCAGTGCAGGGCAGGGGCGCTGGGGCGTCCTCCTCACGCTCCACCGGCAGGGGGCCGTCTGCGGGGAGGACGTGCATGTCCCACGTGCTGCTGACGTACAGATGGAGACTTTGTGACTCAGGGAAGGATGTGACCTGGATTTCCAGAAACCAGTCAATAGCCAAGAAAAGCAATACTTGATTTTTATGGCAGAAGGTTGGAATCCTCAACGTTGATTTAAGTATTAAAATATTCACTATTTTAGGGGCGCCTGGGTGGCTCAGTGGGTTAAAGCCTTTGCCTTCGGCTCAGATCATGATCCCAGGGTTCTGGGATCGAGCCCCACATCGGGCTCTCTGATCAGCGGGGAGCCTGCTTCCTCCTCTCTCTCTGCCTCTCTGCCTACTTGTGATCTCTGTCAAATAAATAAATAAAATCTTAAAAAAAAATATTCACTATTTTAAATAGGTCGTCTTTAGCTCACTCTTGTAGAAGAAGAGTAAATTTCAAAATGCTTTCTATGTATCACATTTACATGACAAGAGGCGGATGATCCTCTTTACAGGAACTCAATCTTGGCTGCACATTAGAATCGCCTGAAGAACTCTTTTTTTTTTTTTTAAAGATTTTATTTTTTTATTCGACAGAGAGAGATCACAAGTAGGCAGAGAGGCAGGCAGAGAGAGAGAGGAGGAAGCAGGTTCCCCACCAAGGAGAGAGCCCGATGCGGAGCTTGATCCCAGGACCGTGGGATCATGACTTGAGCCGAAGGCAGAGCCTTTAACCCTCTGAGCCACCCAGGCGCCCTGCCTGAAGAACTCTTAAAAACAATGGGATTGTGTTTAAAATATTCTACAAAGAAGGGGGGAAAAAAGACTGAGGGAGATGGTGGATGAACATGAATGGCAGACTGAGGCTAACCACTGAAGCTGGACACAAGTTGGGCACCTAGAGGTTCATTCTACTACTCTCTGCAACCTACATTCTAAATAAAAAGTTTACATAAAAATACAAGTGCCTTTCAATCAATGGTTCTGGGACAACTGGATATCCACATGCACAAAAAGAAATCTGGATCCCTATCTCATACTAAGCACAAAAAAAATTAGCTCAAGGCAATTCAAAGACCTTAATATAAGAGCCGAGATTCCTAATGGAAAACAAGAATAAATCTTTGTGACCTTGGGTTAGGCAATGGGTTCTTAGATAAACACTAAGAGCAGCATAAAGCAAGCAAGAGAAACTGACCTTCATCAAAATTAATAATTTGTGCATCAAAGGACACTAAGAAAGTGAAAAGACAATCAAAGAATGGCAAAAGATATTTATAAATCATAAACCTGAGAAGAGACATATCCAAAATATTTTTTTAAGAATCTTACAGTGGCTCAGCCCCTGCTTTCGGCTCAGGTCACGATCTCAGGGTGCTGGGATCGAGCCCCACGTCGGGCTCTCTGCTCAGCAGGGAGCCTCCTTCTCCCTCTCTCTCTGCCTGCCTCTCTGCCTATTGTGATCTGTCAAATAAATAAATAAAATCTTAAATAAAAAAAAAAAAAGAATCTTACAACTCGGTAACAAAAAGACAACACAATTAAAAATGAGCAAAAGATCTGAAAAGATACTTCTCCAAACAAGATACACAAATAGCTAACTAAACGCATGAAAAGATGTTCAATGTAATTACTCATCAGGGAAATGCAAATCAAAACCACAAAAAGCTACCACTTCATACCCACTAGGTGGCTATAATCAAAAAGCAAGAAGTCGTGCTTGCAAGGATGTGAACTGGAAGCATCATCCAGGTGGGCATGCAGACCAGTATGGCTACGCTGGAAAACAGCCTGCCGGTTCTTCAACATGTTAAACACAGAGTTGCCAGATGGCCCAACAATTCTATTCGTACAGGAATGAAAACATGTCCACACAAACCATGTTCAAATATGTTCTTAAAAGCCTTATTCATGATAGTCAAAAACTGGAAACAACCAAAATCTGCATGAACTGATGAACGGATGAACAAATGCAATATAGTACATCCGTATAATGGACTATTGCTCACAAATAATGCCTGAACTCTGAAAACCTTACGCTATGTGAAAAAAGCGCTTCGCTAAAGACTGCAAGTCCATTTATATAAAATGTCCAGAATAGGTAAATCCGTAGAGATCAAAAGAAAAAAGTTGGCTCGGGTGTGGGGGATGAGCTCGGAATGGGAAATAACCAATAGGAATAAGGTTTCTTTCTAGGTAATGAAAATGTTTTTGGTTTGTTTTTTATGTTTGTGGGGTTGGGTTTGTTTTTTGTCTTTTGTTTTTTCATAATCTCTACACCCTCCGTTGGGCTCAAACTCACAACTCTGAGATCAAGAGTTACATACTCCTCTGACTGAGCCAGCCAGGCACTCCAGTGACAAAAATGTTTTTTAAATTACATTGCAATGAGGACGCCTGGGTGGCTCAGTTGGTTAAGCGGCTGCCTTCGGCTCAAGTCATGATCCCAGCATCCTGGGATCGAGTCCCACATCGGGCTCCTTGCTCGGCAGGGAGCCTGCTTCTCCCTTTGCCTGCCACTCTGACTGCCCGTGCTCACTCTTTCTGACAAATAAATAAAATCTTTAAGATAAATAAATAAATAAAAATATATTACATTGTAATGATTACACACCCTGAATATACTAAAAACAGAAACACTAAACCGTAAACTTCAAATGAATAAATACATTTTTATGTGAATTATAACTCAATAAAGCTGGTATCAAAAAATAAACTAATGCACAGGATCCACCCTAGACCAAATAAATCTCAATTCCTAGAGGTGGAATATCAGGACTTTTTAAAAGCTCCCAGGGGATTTTATGTGCAGCCAGACAATAAGGACCTTCCATCAAGAACATTTTAATACTGGGCTGAGCAGTGAAGGGAACACAATTTTAAAAAATAATTTAGATGTCAATTTTGATGGGGAACAATTTTAGAGAACCATTCAGTATTATGTTAAATTTTGGTTCTTCTGTGTGAAACAGAAGAAAAATGATTCATATGCAAACAGGATAACATCTGACAATAAATTAAAGATTGAAAAACCAAATACATGTGTATGTATATACATACACACATCAAGGATTAAATTTTGTGACCTTACCTATTAAGCTCATGAACCATAGAGGTATCTCTGTGGCCCCTCATTACCATTTGCTGTTCTTTAAGCTGCTTAGCTACCTGCCAAGAGAAAGACAACTTTGAAAATCGAACTGTAAATATTTCAATTTACTAACTATGAGGTGCAAAGTGCTTTCCACACACCAATCAATCAAATAAAGACCCTTAAGTAGGCACTGTCGTATCATTCCCATTACATCTGAGGCTCAATGTGCACACCACCTATCACCCACACATTAAACCAGTGTTTCTCAGTCTTTTATTTATCATCCCTCTAAAACAGAAATTAAATACTAAGGAGTAAGAATTTGTTGGGAAGGGTTCAGCTTTGGAGAGTCACAAACCACTGTAAAAATCAAAGAATTTTTCCACCTTCCAGAAACCAGTTTTTAACCCCCTAGGGATATATTAACTCATTATTAAGAATGTATGACTTAAAAGCTTAAATTACAAAAGTAATTAAGAGTGTTTCAAACCACCTCACACCAGTCAGAATGGCTAAAATTAACAAGTCAGGAAATGACAGATGCTGGCGAGGATGCAGAGAAAGGGGAACCCTCCTACACTGTTGGTGGGAATGCAAGCTGGTGTAACCACTCTGGAAAACAGCATGGAGGTTCCTCAAAATGTTGAAAATAGAACTACCTTACGACCCAGCAGTTGCACTACTGGGTATTTACCCTAAAGATACAAACGTAGTGATCCGAAGGGGCACGTGCACCCGAATGTTTATAGCAGCAATGTCTACAATAGCCAAACTATGGAAAGAACCTAGATGTCCATCCACAGATGAATGGATAAAGAAGATGTGGTGTATATATACATAATGGAATACTATGCAGCCATCAAAAGAAATGAAATCTTGCCATTTGCGACAATGTGGATGGAACTAGAGGGTATCATGCTTAGCGAAATAAGTCAATCGGAGAAAGACAACTATCATATGATCTCCCTGATATGAGGAAGTGGAGATGCAACATGGGGGGTTAAGGGGGTAGGAGAAGAATAAATGAAACAAGATGGGATTGGGAGGGAGACAAACCATAAGTGACTCTTAATCTTACAAAACAAACTGAGGGTTGCTGGGGGGAGGGGGGTTGGGAGAAGGGAGGTGGGGTTATGGACATTGGGGAGGGTATGTGCTATGGTGAGTGCTGTGAAGTGTATAAACCTGGCGATTCACAGACCTGTACCCCTGGGGATAAAAATATATGTTTATAAAAAATAAATAAATTAATTAATTTTTAAAAAAAGAGTGTTTCAATTACCACTTTGAAATTAAAAACGTTTATTTTCAAATATAACAAATACTTACATCTTTGGCTGAGGAACCAGACACTTCTATCCATGTCTTAGAAAAGAATGCACATGATCCCAACATGAAGATGATATAAACAACCACATGGACAGGATCCTCAAATATGGCGCCCATGGACTCAGGAGGAGAAAGATAGTAACAAAGCCCTCCTACTGGGTAAGAACGAGCAGGTCCTCCCCCACTGACATCCTACAGAACAAGAATAAAAAGGAAAGATGGTGAACCCAACATTTTTATGACTTTTCAAACTCCTCAAAAAATCACGGCAATGCTTTCAACTCAAAGCCCCTAGAGTTAACGATTCTATATAACTTAAAGATTTTCTTTTGTGTCTAATATCTTCACTCCTTCAAAATTATATGGTGAGCATCTACTATATAAAAGACATTGTGGGGGCGCCTGGGTGGCTCAGAGGGTTAAAGCCTTTGCCTTCGGCTCAGGTCACGATCCCGGGATCCTGGGATCGAGCCCCACATCAGGCTCTGCCTGCTTCCCCTCCTCCCCCGACCTGTCTCTCTGCCTACTTGTGATCTCTGTCTGTCAAATAATAAATAACTAGATAAATGACATTGTGACTATATTATTAATAGAAGAATGTTCTTTTAAAAACCAACATTATAATACATTTACAAAAAACCTTCCTTCTTTTCCTAAAGACAGGAATATGATGACATTTACAGTCCATCTCTGATTACATGTAGAATCTGAAACTTTCTGCACTATACAAGAGTATGCAACATATCCTTTCACTTCAAAGTATTCTATGAAGAATACAATCAAATTATCAATAATATTGACAGATGACTAATAACTACCTAAACTTTATACATTTTATACGCTATAAGAAATAGTCCTTTAATATTTATAATAGGATTTTTATCCAGACCAACATTTAAGAATTTTTATACAAACAGAACTGGGAACAGTGTTAAGTTTTTGGGCATAAGGGGTGGGAAAGCAATTTCTGCCTGCAATGATTAAAATGTCTGGTTCCTGAATATACATTTCAAGATGATTTCTTTACTGTGCCCCTAGAATCAGTAATCCCCAATCAAAAGCACTGTTTATAGACATAATTCAATTTCCAGTAATTCTCTCATTAAAAAGGAACTTAGTTAAGATCACAACACATTCTATACACAAACCACTCAATACATTTACTGCTATTAAATTATTACAGTCATAATTTCTGATGGATTATTAGCTCACAAAGGGAAGGACCACATCTTCCCTCATTACAGGTAATCACATTTCCATTACATGAGTGGAGAAAGAGTACTGTGGATAAACAGAATCCTACTTCCTTCAATTAACACTCAAGAGTTACTTTCTTACCCTGTTAACCTTAAAAAAAGAAAAAAAATGACCTTTATTGTAGAAGCAGAAAGATATGTCACTGTAACTTACAATGTAATAGGGAGCATATGAAGATAAATGCATGGAATAAGCACATTTCAGAAACAGTGACTATAGGTGAAATACAAATTATACAACTACGTGTTCTGAAGAAGAATAAAAAACCATGGTCTCTTTTAATTTTATAGTTTTAAAAGAGGAAAAAATGCTCCTTTGTCATATGACAGAATTTAAACCAATTAAAATTCGATCCGACAATAACTCACGCTTCAGTAACAACAGGGCTGGACTGCTTTGGAAGAAGCTATGATGACAGGATCTATAAAGGGAAGTCAGAAAGTCCTGGATTCTATTTCTAGTAACTCTGTGCTCTCTCCGGTCTAGTAATCACATGCCTCTCTCTAGCCCAGTTAATCACAACTAGTTTATTGCCACTCAGGCCATGAAAAATGGGGGTAAAACATCTTTCCAAAGAAATGATAAACTCTGCAACAAGTAAGTGAATCTGAAAATGTTATAGCAACTGCTTCAATTATGGCTCATCTCTTTCAGTTACAAAATATAACTATGAAATGCAAATTATAATAAATATGAATGCTTAGAAGAAATAACAAAATACTCACAGCCCACTGTCCTAGTAAATTTACTAAAAAGTTGCCACTAAATCGAACAGACAGCATCTGGGAAATAACATACAGGTTTGACACTAAGGCCGACTGGAGAATAATGGGAATGTTCGAGGTGTAGAAGAGCTTGATGGGATAGCTACTGTACTGTCCTCGATACCGGGCCGACTTGATGGGCAAGTCAACACGAAATCCCTGAAAAATGAAAAGGAAGAGGAAGTAAGAGTAACTGCACATCTCACCTAGAGAACACAGATGACAGGCAGAACAATACAGTGGGGAATGTGAGAAGCAACAGTAACATCTTCCCGGCCCCATACACACACACACTGAAATGTAACTCCTGTTCTATGCCGTCACCAAAAATTTTTGCCCCTCAGTTGAAAGAACAGAATTATTTGCTTGACTAGACTCTGCAATACTAACTTGTCAGATACTGACACTTCAAATAGCATTCTTTTCTTTAAAAGCAAAATAAAAATCCACATCCCCCTGACTCCGGTGAAGAAAGTATACGTACCTGGAAATATATAACAACGGCAAACACAAAGACCGTAGCGATGAGGTTCATGAGATTGGGTAAGTTCTGACGATAGAAAGCTTCCCTTAAAGCTCGGACCTTGTCTGTCCTGGTGGCCAGTAAATGAAAGAGCGCTATGACTGCACCCTCAAACTCGGTACCTGATAAATCAAGAGACAAATTCACTGTAGACTCTTTCTCCAGAGCCTCCCTAAGATCAAACAAATAACCTTGAAACTCCAGTACATGGCAAAAATAGGAGTCAAAATCATTCATCAATGTTTACTCTATAAATCAGCCATGTGTGGGGCTTCCAAAAATCTTTACATCATGGAGGCAAATGTATCTTTTTTAGCACAAATCTCAAGTTTTCTCAAGAGACTATTCTTGATGAAAACAGCTAAAGGAGAATAAGCCTAAGCAAATATTTAGGTCATAATGATTTGCCTCTCCTTTACTTTAGGGAAGAGAAAAGGAGGGGGGAAAGCAGCAGCAAAGCAGAATAAAGATGTCAGAATCAAAAATCTATGTCACTCTATCGAGCTGGCTTTTAAGTTTATTTTATCAAGAATACTAATAAAGCCATCATTGCTCTTTTCTTAAGGCTGGGATCAGTTTAGACGTTAACTGTTATGAAGCTTGGATGGCATCAGAGACAAATGGAGATGGGTAAGGGGAAAGACAGAATGAAAGATTTCAAAAATTTAGTTGCTACTGAAAGCCAAGGAGAGTGGCAGCAAAAGTATTAGTGCTCCCTGATGATACAATAAATAATAGTGTTTTCATTTGAAAAATCTTAATCCACTACCTTTTCCTCCCCCTGGAAATGCGGAAATCAGTCAAATCAATGACTTCTGCGGCAATGGCTTAAGTAACCCTTTAAAAAGCTTGTTTGCAACCACTGAAATTTTCAACGAGCAGAGGCTAATATTTAGATATGATTCTTTTTGAAGTACTATTTCATACTCCACAAACTCTGCTGCTTAACTCTTGAGCAATTAGCACCAGATGTCCCCTGGGACAGCAAACCAGGATGTTTACAGGCACGTCCTGCTCCGTGATGGGTTACTTTCCAGCACACATCCAGCAAAACTCGTGCAGTTGCAGTCACTGTGCAATGTACCTCTGCCAGTGTTAATAGTAGTGGGACTAAAGGCCTTCCAGACAATGGTTTCACAGATGTTGGTGGCAATAAAGAGGGAAATACCAGACCCCAAGCCGTAACCCTTCTGTAGCAGCTCATCTAACAGCAGCACAATCAAACCAGCAACAAACAACTGTGGGGAAAGAAATGCAAGTAAGCTGAAGCAAGAATAAACTCAAGAAAGGGGAAGGTGAACACCATTGACTATTTTCAAAGTACGGGCATTTTTAATAGTAAAACCCAATTGTTGTAATATCACTGTTACTACTCTCTGCATCTTTTTAAACCCCACTTTTGTCAGAAGTCATTTCTGCAAATCAGATGGGTAGAAACATCATTACATTATAAAGCAGACATTTAAACCTTTAAAGTATTTTTTATAAACCATCTGAATAGTGTTTCGTACAATGTAAAAGCCCTCTAAAGCAAAAATGTTCAAACCTGTTCAATTTAGGACAGCAAAACACTGAAAACATTCCAAGTAGTTCCAAGGAAGTGAAAGACCAAATTAAATATGGTATAATAACAAGACACAATTGCATACTGCCACTAAAGGAAAAGTATGTAAACCATGCTGATACATTGTTAAGGTATTATGCATAATACTTGAGTAATTATATTACATATACAGTTACCATTGAACAACACAGGTCTGAACTACACAAGTCCACAAATACACAGGTTTGGTTTTTTTTTTATAAATACACTGCAGTACTATAAATGTATTTTCTCTTCCTTCTGATTTTCTTAATAACATCTTTTCTCTAGCTTACTACATAGTATAAATATGGTATATAACATATAAAATGTGTGTTAATCAACCACCTATGCTATCAACAAGGCTACAGGTAAATAGTGGGCTGTTAGTAGTTAAGTTTTGAGGGAGTCTAAAGTTATATGTGGTTTACAACTGCATGAGCGGGGTCAGCACCCCAACCACTGTGTTAAGGCTCACATATAATATATAGAGAGAATAAGTCAAATATGTATAGAGATTATAACAATGTCAAAAATGCACTCCATACATACACTGACAAAGACTGAATGTAAATTTGAAGACAAGGATTTGCCAGGTTCTTAAGCTCATCCTTTTTTTTTTTTAAATAAAAGCATAATAACTTTAGTTTATGTGAAATTGAAAATTCTTAATTTTCTCCTTGGAGAAGACATTTCTGTAAAAGCATACACCAATTAAAAATAATCCACAGTGACCTCCACAGTCATGTCTTCCCTGCACTGCAATAACCTGATCAAGAGGGAAAGAAAAGATGTTTCTAGGCCTCGAACCTCACACCTGTCCCCATTTAAAAAACCCCATCCTACATAAGTGAGGAAATGCCACTTCCATTCTGCCCAGCTCTGCAGCCTCCCACCCTCTTACTTGCTCAGTTTACCTGACAACCCCCGTTACAAAAGGAGCAAACTACAGTACACCATTTTAAGCATGCTTACCTTCAGCAGTTTTTTTTTTCCCTTAACTATCATTTCAGTGGTTGTACAGAGCCTAAACTGTCTATTACAGTCTTTTAGCTTGACTTTCAAAGGATTGGAAAAAGGGTGCAATTCTTCAAACTTCTAAGAATGCTCATGAATCCTTTACTGTTTGAAAACCAAGCTTAACACTTTGACAAGATAAAAGAGAAGTTAGGACTTAGTACGGAGATTTTAATTTCACCACAATTATGTAAAAAGTAAATAAATACTCTCAATTAGAAAACCAAACTTGTGCAGGGACTAACCGCTGTCCTCAAACTACCAGCCCACCAGAAAGTATGATCATGGGCTTCTGATTAAATGACCTTCCAGAGTCATAAAGTCACTCTGAAAGACCTGTAATTCTCCAAACCGCCTGTTCAGACCAATAACCAGTGGACTACAGAGTGATTCATGTATGTCCTGTGAAATTCAAACTCATATTTTTCTAACCAGAGAAAGGAGTTACAGAGAAGTCTAAATGAGAAATCGTTTCTATAATCTAAAGAATAAGATAAAGGACTGTAAAAAGCATGTGAACTATGCCTCTGAGGTGGGAGATGCTGAGAAACCAAGAAGCTAGAGCATCTCATTGACTACGATGCTGACAGAGACTCAATGCTACCTGCACGTGCTTGTGCAATGTGTCACAGGTAGAAATCTCTAAATCAGGCATAAAAATAACTCTCTACATTTTAATTCTGCTTGTGCATGCACACACACGCACGCAATTGTACAACACGACACTTACCTTTCCTGTGTGCCATGCACACTGGTATTTTCTATTCTGTTATTTTAATCAAGATCCACTATTTAGATTTCAAATCTCACTAGTTGAAAGACATGACCACATGAAGGAAACAAGAATAATTAAGGCAAGAAACACGTTACCTAACAACATGCAAACAGTTTTCACAACCATGTTTCTGGGTGAAGCACACTGATCCAATTATCTCTCTTTAGCATATCCATACATTTTCAATGTTAGCAATGCCTTTAAAGACACACTATCTACCTATCATCAAACACATTTCTCTATACATTAACACTGAAAGAACTAACCACAAGTATTTGTATGCCAGAATTTCTATTTTTAAAAAAGTATATATCCATTTATTTCATTCCTGGTATATAACTATTCCCTGACTTCTGATACTGGGGGGTAAAAATTAAAATAGCTTAACTCTGTTTTATCTCAAATTCAAATTTGTAACAACTGCACAGGAGTCAATGCTTTAACCCAGACCTGGTCCAGATGAAGTTCTTCAAGAATCCAAAATTATCCTTACTAAAATACTAGAAAAATTGTACTGGAGCATAATGTTCTAAGAGCTAGGTGCCAATTCCAAGTGTCTTTTAACACCTGGGGTTATTCTGGGGGTGCCTGGGTGGCTCAGTTGGTTGTGTCTGCCTCTGGCTCGGGTCATGATCCCAGGGTCCTGGTTTCATGATCTCAGGGTCCTGGCATCATGATCCTTGCTTGGCGGGGGTCTGCTCCTCCCTCTCCTTCTGCCCCTCCCCCTGCTTGTGCTCACGTTCTCTCTCCCTCCCTCCCTCTCACTCAAATAAATAAAATCTTTAAAAAATAAAAATAAAAATTGGAGCTATTCTGAACTACAAGTTGTATAAAGCAAAGGCTATAAGGAAACAAAGTAGGACAAGAACTGACGCATCAGTATCCTCAACAATGGCAAAAGCACGCGGAGAGATCCTAAGCACTGAAACACATAAATCAGTTTTCAGAGGCTCCTCTCTCCCAAGCCACTGCTACACTGCTTCCTCTAATTCTCAAAGGTTATAAATTTGCCAATCAGTTTTTTTTTTTTATGGAGAAGTAAGGACATTATGGGAACACACTACAGCTCAAAAACCTACCAAAGATTGCTAACACATTAAAAATTCCTTACCTGGTCAAAAGACAAAATATTTCCATCTAGTTAGAAGAGCCCTCCCTGTTGTAATGACACCAATAACTACTTGAACAACCTAATTCTATTTGCTCTAATCAAATGCACAACAAGATCTTATTGTGCTTCTTATAAAGGTTTCTCATTAAAAAATGGTCAACCATGCCAATCTGAAATCTCAATGTATATATTAATAAGTTGGTATTTTAGTTTTGTTTTTTTTTTTAAGATTTTATTTATTTATTTGACAGACAGAGATCACAAGTAGGCAGAGAGGCAGGCAGAGAAAGAGGAAGGGAAGCAGGCTCCCCGCCAAGCAGAGAGCCCGATGCGGGACTCGATCCCAGGACTCTGGGATCATGACCTGAGCTGAAGGCAGAGGCTTTAACCCACTGAGCCACCCAGGCGCCCCGATATTTTAGTTTTATTTAATAATATTTTTCTGAGGGGCGCCTGGGTGGCTCAGTGGTTGGGGCCTCTGCCTTCGGCTCGGGTCATGATCTCAGGGTCCTGGGATCGAGTCCCGCGTCGGGCTCTCTGCTCGGCGGGGAGCCTGCCTCCTCCTGTCTCTCTCTGCCTGCCTCTCTGCCTACTTGTGATCTGTCTGTCAAATAAATTAAAAATAATAATAATAATAATAATATTTTTCTGAAATTAATGCTCTGACCATTAAAAAAAAGTGTTCCTAAGTGAATCCTAATTCCATAGACTGAGGAAGAAGAGGCATTTCTAAAATAACCAGGACTCTAGATGTTGTGTTTATTAAACTTCTTTTCAAAATCCCATAAATAATTACTATGTACCTTAAGTACAATCCCTTAGTGGATAGCCTCTCTAAATGACTTCTAAGGACTGTACATTAGAGAAGTATCTTCTAACTTTGACAACTCTGAGACAGTTATTACAGGGATAATTTTTTTTTTTTAAAGATTTTGTTTATCTATTGGACAGAAAGAGATCACAAGCAGGCACAGAGGCAGGCAGAGAGAGAGGAGGAAGCAGGCTCCCCACCGAGCAGAGAGCCCGATGCAGGGCTCAATCCCCGGATGCTGAGATCACGACCCGAGCTGAAGGCAGAGGCCCCAACCCACTGAGCCACCCAGGCGCCCCCAGGGATAATTTTATATTGGCCTTTAAAAGTTCAATTCCAGGGTTAAGCCTCTGCCTTCAACTCAGGTCATGATCTCAGGGTCCTGGGATCGAGCCCCGCATCAGGCTCTCTGCTCAGCAGGGAGCCTGCTTCCCCTTCTCTCTCTCTCCGCCTGCCTCTCTGCCTGCTTGTGATCCCTCTCTCTCTCTGTCAAAAAAATTAATAAAATCTTAAAAAAAAAAAAAGTTCAATTCCAAAGGATCTACTTTAAAAATCCACAGAATATACGTATACAGGTTCATCAGGTTCATGTATTTTACTGGCTGTAAGATATTTATGATGCCATCATTTTATACACCACTAAGAAAGAAAAAATATATCATCAATTAAACTATGACACAATAACTTATCACAAAGAAATTTTATTTTCTACTTATAAGAAAAGCTATTTTAGACCTAAACACGGATTTTATCATCTAACCTGTTCCGTGTCTTAGCTACACACAGTGACTGTTCCATAACAAACCAGATACTCTTGCAGACATTTTAAACAGCAACTAATCTCAAAAACATGTTACACCAACAATGCACACAACCAGTCGATGCAATGAACATGTGACCAGCTCCAAGCAGCTGATACACATACGCGCACAATGACTACTATCACAACCACTGCCTGGCTGATAGCAAATGCGTGGCACCATCAGCTGTAAGAAAAAACACCCTGGGGGCGCCTGGGGGGCTCAGTTGCTTAAGTGTTTGACTTCAGCTCAGGTCATGTTCCCGGGGGTCCTGGAATAGAGCCCTGCCTTGGCTCCCTGCTCAGCGGGGAATCTGCTTCTGCTTCTCCCTCTCCTTCTGCCCCTCCCCCTGCTCCTGCTCTCTCTCACTCTCAAATAAATAAAAATCTTTAAAAAAAAAAATCCTGATTTCAAAGACATCAAAAAGTAAAAGATGTGCATCTAAAAATTGGTGAAATATAGTTGATCCATAATTCCTTATACTATGCAGCTATGAGGCTATGAAGATAAATTTTAATTTTTTATATCAACACAATTTATATGTCACTTCAATAATCAAAATCTTATAATTAAATAATTCAAAGGAGGACAATTAATGTAGCAACCACTTAAAGAACTGTTAGAAAGGAAAAAAAGGGGTCAAACTGTTTTGTTATTTGCAGATGAAAAATTGGATTTCTTACCTGAATAATGATAAGGAGACAGATGCCAGCACCCATTTCAGCAGGATCCCCATACATGCCCGTCATGACATACACAATGGCTTGCCCAATGGTAATGATCATACCAAATACTGACAAAAATTGGGGGAAAAGGAGTACATGCTTACAACCAAAGACAAAAAAGACTAGGAAAGCATCTTTACTGCAAAATTCTTAAATTTGGAAAAAACTCTTTAATTGTATTAATAGCTCACGTTTCTGGGCTCCATTGAATAGAGCTCGATCTTTGGGTGTATCTCCAACTTCAATGATTTTGGCTCCAGCTAACAACTGCATAATCAAACCAGATGTTACAATTGGGGAGATACCCAATTCCATTAAAGTTCCTGTAAAGGAGAAGGAAAAAAAGTAAATCTTTCCTATACCCAATGTAGATTACACGTGTTACAATCCTTAATTATGTCTATTAAAACACAGGCTCAAATGTTAACAGGCAGATTTTAATTACTTAAACATTAATTTATTAACACATTTATTTACTTCATTTATTAACACAACCTTGCAACAACTCATTGAATCAAAATTACTATTTCCAAAATAGGTAAATTTCTGTAAATTCTAAACTTAAAATGTTAAAGAAATCCTTTGAAAGATATCTTCCAAAATATCTGTCCAAATCATTATTTTTAAAACTTACACTGAACATTTTATTTTAATGCAAAACAAGAAATACATACCAAGCCTGAGAATTAAATACCAAGTTAATAAAAAATGACATTTAAGACTATCTGTGACTCTTCTAATTCAAATTCTAAAAACACATGGAGAGTCATCTAAATTCCTGTTGTGGAACACTTAGTGGCATGAAAAATGTTCATGCCATAGTGGAGAGCAAAATAAAAAATTTGGAAACTAGTATTACAGTTTGATTCCAGTTAATACTTCAGTGGAAAAGTGGTTTTCTATATTTTAGTCTGGTTGTCAAGATGTGGTTATTTTTACCCAGTGAGATTATTTTCTTCTTTTTGCCTCTCTTGATTTTTTAAGTTTTTCTTTATGGAAAACATATACTGTACTTATAGTGAAAAATAAGAAAAACAAATATGCCAAGTGTACAAGTTAACATGTAAAATGATTAATTCTATAGCATCAAGAATACATTTTCACTGGTCTTTCTATCATACCACAACCTTAAATCCTGGCTTTTATAAATGTTGAAAAGGTGCCCTTAATATAAGAAAAGATTCCATTCTAGGACTCTTCATGTCTTGTCAAATACTTCAACAGTAAAAGGTAACATTTCTTATTGTTAAAACCAGTAGATACAGAAATAGGAAGGTAAACATTTTTATTAAATAAAATCACAAAAACTTATAACTTTCAAATGGATCTAGTCTGAGAATAAATATAGTCAAATTTTAATGACAATTTCATATAGGAAATATGGTACCTCAAATCAGTAGGGAAAGGATAAACTGACCTACCAAATGCCTGGCCATTTATAAAAAATCACACCTCTATTTCTTACCTCATGACTTACATCAAAATAAAGGCCCGACGTATAGAAAATTTAACCATATGAGACAAACAACAAAAATACTACAAGTGAATATGCTTATCATCTTGGAAGAGAAAAAGCCTTTCTAAGCATGACAAAAAAACTTGAGAACCCACAATGGAAAAGACACATGCTATGGTTAGATACAACTACAAAATTTCCATGTGGTAAAACACTGCATAGAAGTTTAAAAAAAAAAAAAAAAGCAGCATAAAAGTTAAAAGAAAAATATTTGAGCACAAATGACAGAGTTCATATCTTTAATATGCAAAGAGTTCTTACAAATCAATTAAAAATGAAGAAACCAATAGTAAACAAAATTTAAAAAGGAAAAAGAGAACACAATTTGGCTGCTCCCAATAACGTTCTTTCTCAGGAAATACTGACAGTACAGGAGAGGACCTCCCCACCCAAATCTGAACTACGTAACTCTGAAACTCTAACCAAAGCTGACTGAGCCCGGTGTAAATCGTACAGTTTGGAATTTTGAGCTAAGAAGCAAAGAACCCAGGAATTTGGGGAGCTAAATCCCAAAGAAAAGGTTCCTGGTCCCTGCTGCTGATCCAAAGCTGCCCTGGTTTTCTCTCCCAGCCCAGGCTTAGTTGTTCTACCCCCTCTATGGATTCCAAAAAATGATCAGTATCTTTCTAATAAATTCCATTTTTGTGTTTAAACTGGTCAGTAATTTTCTATTACTTAAAACAAGTCCACTCAGAAAAAAGTCAAATATTCAATAAAAATATAAGATGATGCTCAAGCTGACCAACATACAAATTAAATAACAGGTACCAATTTTTACCTGTCCAACTTCCAAAGACTAAAGGACTAATAATATCCACTGATGGAAGAAAAATGTCATTCTCATATACAACTGCTGAGTGTATAAAATTGTACAAACTTTTTGGAAGATAATTTAGCATTATTTATCAAAAATTTAGGTTTTTGTATCTTGCACAGTAAAACTTCTAGAAATTAATTTTATTAAAAAATGATAAGAGGTAGCATTACAGTGATGCATTCATGGTAGCACTGGTTAAAATGATACAAAATTGGGGGAAAAACTTAGATGTGTGACAGAAGAGGACACTAACGACCTGGAATCACACTTGAAGTACCCTCCTTACTTTGTCTCTAAGCCCTTTATGATCTGGCTCTTGGACTCATCTGCAATGTCCTGCCTCATTACTCCTTTCCTTATTTTCTTCTAGCCACAATGACCCCACATCCTTCCCTGAACTTAAGCACACTCCCATCTCAGGGACTGGACACACGCTATATTCCCTACAGTGTTCCTCCCCCAGATCTTTACATGGCCTTCCTCTCGCGTCCTGTAGATCTCTGAGCAAATGTCCCTCCCCTCACCCAAAATGTACTTCATGTAGAGGATACCTCCCCAAAAAGAATAATATAAACTCCATGATGATGGGGACACTGTCTTAATCACTGCTCTAATCTCAGTACCTAGCACAAAAAAGACCTGAATGATTAAATAATTCATGGCAGAGCCATATAATGGAATAGCATATGGCCCTTAACTGAAATAACTCATCCAAGAAATTGAGTAAACACACTAAGTAGAATAGTTACATAATTTATCTTTTTCTTTTTTTTTTTTTAAGATTTTATTTATTTATTTGACAGATTACAAGTAGGCAGAGGCAGGCAGAGAGAGAGGAGGAAGCAGGCTCTCCACGGAGCAGAGAGCCCAACGTGGGGCTCGATCCCAGCACCCTGGGATCATGACCAGAGCTGAAGGCAGAGGCTTTAATCCACTGAGCCACCCAGGCGCCCCTATCTTATTTTTTAGTTTAGAAAAACAAGCACAGTTGACCCTTGAACTACAGAGAGGTTAGAGCCACTGACCCCCCCAATACAGTCAAAAATCCACATATAACTTTTGACTCCTCCAAACTAAAAAGTTAACTATTAATAGCTTACTGTTGACCAGAAGCCTGACCAATAACCTCAACAGTCAACTAACACATATTTTTTATATTATGTGAGTGTTATATACTAGTAAGTAAGCAAGCTAGAAAAGCAAATGTTATGAAAAATGTCCTAAGGAAGAGAAAATACATTTATAGCACTACACTGTATTTATTTTTTTTAAATCCATATATAACTGGACCCACACAGTTCAAACCTGTATTGTTCAAGGGTCAAGTAAATATAAATTTGTATATGTGAATATATATTCAGAGAAAAAGTCTGGATATGTATTCACCAATCTATTATCTTCCCAGGAGTTATCCCTGAGATGCAAGACTTTCATTTTCAGCTTTATATAAAACTGCATACAAATTTTGGTGCATTTTTTTAATGATTAACCATTATTTCTATTTTAATCTAAAAAAATTACCAACAAAGCCCTCATGATCCAGTACCTACCTATCTCTTTAGCCACTGCTTTACACACAAGGGCTTTTAGATCAGCCTTCCCTCTCCCATCGCTTCCTTCACATACTGAATTCCAATTCAAATGCTACCAGTATTGTCTCCTCTGACACTGCAGATCAGGGTCTTTCAGGCCCATGCGAAACGCAAGGACCAGACTTCAGAGGGTCATGAAGCTCAAAAGGTTTTATGTAAAATCTGTGCGTGTGAGTATATGTGAATTTTTCTTGGGAAAGTATACATAAATTTAATAGAGTTAGATTCAACTAATGAGTCATTGAACATTTTATCAAAAACTAATGATGTACTATACCTTGGCTAATTGAATTTAAATTAAATAAAGTAATACTGTACCAAAAAAATTTTAATTAGAGTCTCAAAGAAAATATGACCCATAAAAGGATGGAGGACCAAAGCTCCTGACAGTGTTATCACTCCATTCTCTGTTGTACATCTATACTCTGTAAATATTTCTATTATTACAATATATACAGAGATTTTTAAGTATTTATGTGTTGGTCCCTTCTCCTAGGCAACGGGTTTCTTTTACCATACTCTCCCCACCCCTGTAGACATCAAAATAGTTGTTTCCACATTTTCACATCTACTTGATGTCAGTACTAATACCCAGTATGGAGGCAAACAAACAAACAAACAACCAAAAAAGAAGTACATACCTCTGTTAGATGCAAGAATAACTCTCATCCAGTAGAAAGGATCTGCAGAATCTGATGACATTATTCCAAACAGTGGTATCTATAATATTACATAAAAGTTTTTAAAAATGCATTACATAAATTAAGTTGGAACTTAATTCACAACTCAATTACTTAATGTTTGTAATACTTAGAAGAAAAAAAAAACACTACTTCTCATGTTCTGTAACAAAACAAGTGAACCCTAAAAGCAAAGTTTTGGGGTTTTTTTTAAAGATTTTATTTATTTTGACAGAGAGAGAGAGCACAAGCAGGCAGAGCAGCAGGCAGAGGGAGAAGGAGAAGCAGGCTCTCTGCTGAGCAGGGAGCCGGATGTAGGGCTTGATCCCAGGACCCTGGGAATCATGACTTGAGCCAAAGGCAGTGGCTTAACCAACTGAGCCACCCAGCTGTCCTAAAATGAAAGGTTTTTTTTAACAAAAATAAAAACAACAGAAATCACTACTTACACAAATCTACTAGTAAACACACCTATCAGGATGAAGATTTGTTGCATAACAGTGTGAATACACTTAACACTACTGAACTGTATGCTTAGAAATGGCTAAGATGGGGGCGCCTGGGTGGCTCAGTGGGTTAAAGCCTCTGCCTTCGGCCCTGGGTCGCCCTCAGGGTCCTGAGATCAAGCCCCAAATCAGGCTCTCTGCTCAGCAGGGAGCCTGCTTCCCCCACTCTCTCATCCTGCCTCTCTGCCTACTTGTGATCTCTCTCTCTCTGTAAAATAAATAAATAAAATCTTTAAAAAAAAATGGCTAAGATGGTAAATTTTATGTTATTTTTTTTACAATTAAAAAATACCCCTATCAGTAAATTACAGGATATATCCACCCAGTCATAGAATAATTTTGCTAAGCTATGGGTACTAATGACAGCCACAGTCACACTCCAATGTTAGACTCAAGGTTTTTTTATATATGTGTGTGTGTGTGAATATTATGCAGCCACTAAAAAGAAGCTTAAAGAAGCTTGTAACAGCATAAAGAAGTGCTTATGTTTTAATACCAAGTATGACACTATGGTTATCAAATTGGGGCAATTCTGCCCCCCAGAGGATATCTGGCACTATCCAAAGACATTTTTGGGTGTCACAACTTGAAGGGAAATGCTACTGCACCTCGTGGATAGAGGTCAGGGATGCTGCTAAACATCCTACAATGACCCCACAACAAAGAATTAACCGGGCCTAAAATTCAGTGCCATTGTTGAGAAACCCTGCTATAAAAAAAAAAAAGGTACAGAATTATATAAATGGAAGTTTGATACTGTAAAAATATGTGTAAAAGATAAAACTAAGTGTAAATATTTAAAATCCTGAAAAGTAATTATCTGTAGCTGGTAGGATTAAGGCTGACTTTTTTTTTTTTTTTTAAATATTTTATTTATTTATTTGACACAGAGAGAGAGAGAGAGATCACAAGTAGGCAGAGGAGCAGGCAGAGAGTGAGGCGGAAGCAGGCTCCCTGCGGAGCAGAGAGCCCGATGTGGGGCTCGATCCCAGGACCCCGAGACCATGACCTGAGCCGAAGGCAGCGGCTTAACCCACTGAGCCACCCAGGCGCCCCTAGGCTGACTTTTTCTTTATTCTTCTCAGCATTTATCAGATTTTCTGTAATAAGTACATAGTACTTTTTCATCGGGAAAAAAAAAGAAAAAGAAACTCTTCACTTCAGAATGTTTCCTATTATATGACCGATGTTCAGGATACAGCTCCTGGTCATACCTCTTCCCTTACCATGCAGGGATCAGACACAAAGAAAAATACATTTCCAATTTCAAAAACCTTCTTTACACAAAGCTGATTTTTTTTTTTTTCAAGTTGCAAAAGATGCTGCCAACAATTCTGAACAATCCATCTGGTCAACCTCACCCTTTCTGGGCATCTGGATTTATTAGCTGGGTAGCAAAGCTGGTGAAGCAAGAAGCATGGATATTTTATTTCCCCTAATGCTGCAGATACTCTTCAGATAATGTGAGAGACAGGGAGGAAGGAAGTTAGTGTATAAGAACCAATTAACACTACAGGACAGTCCACATCACAATCTTTCATAAGTGGGAGAGAGGTCAATCAGTCAAATTACTTTGCTTAATTGCACCTGATAGAGATGGCCATTACCTCCACAATTAGATGATTTGTGGGACAATGAACAAGAAAAAGTCAGCCAACCTGCCCTAAGTAATGGCATTCCCTCCTTTCCTGAAGACAACTGGATTATTAAACTCCATGTCTGATTTTATTCCTCTCAGTAAAACCAATAGCTATGGGTTTACGTACAACAATAGTTGAGCAGCAACTCCCCCATGCATAAGAAAACACACTTTTTTAAACATGTAAAATAGTAGAAGCTAACAAGAGTGAAAAAAGCTAACAAAAAAAGGGGTGCCTGGGTAGCTCTGTCAGTTGAGCATCTGACTCAATCTCAGCTCAGGTCCTGAAACTAATTTAGGGTCGTGAAATCAAGTTCCACACTGGGTTCCATGCTGGATATGGAGACTACTTTAAAAAAAAAAAAAAAAAAAAAAAAAAAACCTAAGGAAAAAGAATAAAAAATCCATGAAGTAGCCTAAGAAGAAAAGGGATCATGAACTTGAAGCACTGGTGGTCATGGGGGTGAGAAAAGTGCAGACAACTGAGAAGCAGAGAGCCCAGCATGAGGCTGCTCCAGCCATCACAATGGGAAGGCAACAAAATCCTCACAATTCCCACAACATTCCAAACCTGGAGCGGAGCAGGCTGCACAGATAGCCTTATCTTTTTGTCTCCTTTGGTTAAAGGGACTAGAAACAGCAGCTGGGATGAAAGATGAGAGAAGTCAGCAATGGGACTCTCTTCTGGTGACAATTACAGGGTCACCATGAGTTGGGAATGAGGGAATGATCTGAGGTCAGGAATGGAACAGCCTGTTCAATCACCTGATGAGAACCACTTCGGGAGAGAAGACAGCCAGGCCCACGTAGTAATTATTGCACTTATCACTGCTTATCTCACCTCCCACCATTCCCTCCAACTAAAGAAAATTCGGTGAAACTGGAGACCCCAAGCCCCTTAACTGTGTCTAGGAAGGGAAAATAAACCTGTCTGAAATTCAATGGAAAGAGATTCAAGAAATTACCAGCACTGGGCAGAACTGGCTAAACATGAGAAAGACATAAAACACACTTTGGCAACTATGCAATTATACTGCAGGAAAAAAAAAAAGTAACATAAAATACATAAACTAATTTATTGCATGAAACAGTCATGAGAAATACCACACTTTTTGAGCAACACAGTTCCTACGGGTCTTGGGTTCTAGCAGCCAAGCTTAAAATATTTACTACCGAGCCCTTCACAGAACAATGTTTGCTGGCTGACCCTTGGATTAGAAAATTCAATATTGTCAAGAAGGTAATTTTTTTCTAAATTTATCTATAAATTCAAAGCAATACAAATCATAATCCCAGCTATAGAAACTGACAAGGTGATTCTAAAATCTATACAGAAATATGAAAAACCTAGAATAATCAAAAACCATTGTGAAAAGGAAAAACAAAGTTGAAAGACTTTTACAACCTGATTACAGGACTTTATATAAAGCTACGGTAATCAAACAGTGTGACCATAACAATGGAATATACATGAATGGAAAAAAACAGAGTATAAAAATATATCCACACTTAAACAGTTAACTGATTTTCAACAAAGATGCCAAAGTAACTCAATGGAGAAAGAAGAGCCTTTTCTGGCTATCCAAACAGAAAAAAATGAACCCAAACCTTACTTACACCATACACAAAAATTAACTTGGACTCGATCACAGACCAAGATATATAAGCCAAGACTATAAAATATTTGGAAGAATACAGGAGAAAATCTTCACAACCTTAGAAGATAAGAAAACAAAAACCATGAACCATCAAAGAAAAAAGTCCCTAAATTTCCAAAGGAAGGATTTTTGCTCTTCACAGATACGAAGAAAATGAAAAGGCAAGCCATATACTAGGAAAACATAGTCATAGTACATTTACCTGATGAAGGACCTGTATGCAGAAAATATTTTAAAAGGCATATAATTCGGGGCACCTGGGTGGCTCAGTTAAGCATCTGCCTTCAGCTCAGGTCATGATCTCAGGGTGCTAGGATCGAGCCCCACATCAGGCTCTCTGCTCAGCAGGGAGTCTGCTTCTCCCTCTCTCTCTGTTCCTCCCTCTCCACCTGCCCACCCCCGCCCCCCGCCCTCCTGGCTTGTGCTTACTCTCTGTCTCTCAAATTTTTAAAAATCCTTTAAAAATGCATATAATTCAATGAGATAATAATAAAAAGTTTTCATGAGCAAAAGATTGGAAAAAGACACTTCACAAAGATAAACCAATGCCCTATAAGTACATGAAAAAATTGCTCAATATCATTTACTAGGGAAATGCAAATTAAAAACCACACCCATTAGAATGACTAATACTAAAATGCTCAACAACAGGAAGGGCAGGCAAGGAAGGGGAGAAACTGGAACTCCTATACGTGCCTGATGAAAATAAAAAATGGAGCAATCACTTAGAAAAAAAGTTTGACAATTTCTTATAAGACTGAACATGTAATTACCATACAACCCACCAATTCTACTCCTAGGTATTCACCCAAGAGAAATGAAAACAAATATTCACAGGAAGTCTTGCCCAGGAATGGTCACAGCAACTTTATTATAGACAAAACTTGGAAACAACACAAATGTCCAACAGCAAGTGAACAGATGAACAAATTCTGTACAGTCATCTAGCAGAAATAAGAAGGATGAATTACTGCTCTACCAAACACAGGGACAAATCTCAAAATACTCATGATAAAGCCAGAGCTAAGGAATGATACTGCATGATCCCACTTAGATGAAATTCTAAAAAAAACAAATCAAATTATAGGAACAGAAAGCAGATCAGTGCTTGCCTGACACTGGGGGTGAGTTGGGAGACTGACTAAGAGATTACACAGAACTTTCTGGAGTGACAGAATGTTCTGTATCCCCTGAGGTAGCAGGTATGTGGGTGTCTACATTTGTCAAAACTCTTCAAAATGTACACTTAAAAAATAAGTGTATTTTACCATACATAAATTATACCTTTATAAATCTAATTTTTTTATGGAGGGGAGGGGAATTTCTAAGATGTTAAAAGTAACTGATAAAAATATGGATGATTATTCTTTTTTTTTTTTTTAAGATTTTATTTATTGATTTGACAGAGAGAGATCACAAGTAGACAGAGAGAGAGAGAGGGAAGCAGGCTCCCTGCTGAGCAGAGAGCCCGATGCGGGACTCGATCCCAGGACCCTGAGATCATGACCTGAGCCGAAGGCAGCAGCTTAACCCACTGAGCCATCCAGGCGCCCATGGATGATTATTCTTTTTTTTCCTCTCTACTTTTCCGTATTTAAAAAAAGTTCTCAGGCGCCTGGGTGGCTCAGTTGGTTAAGCCACTGCCTTCGGCTCAGGTCATGATCCCAGAGTTTCAGATCAAGTCCCCAGTTTGGCATGGGGCTCCCTGCTTAGCAGGGGGTCCGCTTCTTCCTCTGACCCTCCCTCCACTCAAGCTTTCTCATTCTCCCTCTCTCTCAAATAAATAAAATCTTAAAAAAAAAGGTTCTCTCTCCCTGACCACCCAAAACAATTTTAAACTAAGTACAGCAGTAAAATATCTTGATGACCAAATTATTTCACTCTTCAAAAAAAATACATTTGGCTTTTCCCCAGACTATGGGCTTAATCTGCTCTACTCCTTCCTAATATAATTTTTTATACTTCCTTTTATGTATTTTCTTTTTTTTTTTTAATTTATTTAACAGACAGATATCATAAGCAGGCAGAGAGGCAGGCAGAGAGAGAGAAAGGGAAGCAGGCTCCCTGCTGAGCAGAGAGCCCAATGCGATGCAATGCGGGGCTCCATCCCAGGACCCTGGGATCATGACCTGAGCTGAAGGCAGAGGCTTCAACCCACTGAGCCACCCAGGTGCCCCTTTTTTATGTATTTTCAATAGCTCTTTTTTTAATTTTTTTTTAAGATTTTATTTATTTGACAGAGAGAAAAATCACAAGTAGTGCAGAGAGGAAGGCAGAGAGAGGAGGAAGCAGGCTCCCTGCTGAGCAGAAAGCCCCATGCAGGGCTCAACCCTAGGACCCTGAGATCATGACCCTAGCCAAAGGCAGAGGTTTTAACCCACTGAGCCACCCAGGCTCCCCATCCTCAAAAAACTTGCACCTAAAGCATCTAGTTTAATCCTCTCAACAATCTTGTGATGGGGACAGGTCACATTTTACCCTCATTCTGTGAACTTAATCTCTGCAAAATACTAATAAAAAGCATCAATGAATTTTATCTATTTATAAATACAGTATATCACTGGGGTTCTAGAATTTGACTTTTTGAGATTTTTAAATTAATACATGCTATTTACAACATGATTAAAGGCCAACAAAATAGAAAAAAAATTTGCAATGTATATGTCAAAGGTTTAATGCTTTTATATATAAAAATCTGTCTTTATACAAAAAAACCTCAAGAAAAAAATGGGTAAAGATCATTAACTGCACACTAAGGGAAAAAAAGAAAAAATATGTTCAAACCCACTAATTAAAAAAAAAAAAAAGAGGGGCACCTGGGTGGCTCAGTGGGTTAAGCCTCTGCCTTCGGCTCAGGTCATGATCTCAGGGTCCTGGGATCGAGCCCCGCATCGGGTTCTCTGCTCGGCAGTGAGCCTGCTTCCCCCTCTCTCTGCCTGCCTCTCTGTCTACTTGTGCTCTCTCTCTCTCTCTGTCAAATAAATAAATAAATAAATAAAATTAAAAAAAAAAAAAAAAAGAATACACAGTAGGACAAGATAACCATTTTCACCATCAACTCAGATTAAAAATAACAATGCTCAAAATATTTCAGGCTTTATCTACTTAATCTATTTATATTTATCTATTATTTTAACTAAAATAAATTTTCTCAAACTATAACCAATCAAAACCCTCCAACTACAGCATAGACATTTAATTAATATTTTGGTTACATACCTGACAACATACTAAGAAAATGAAGAGAGTTATGGCAGTCCATAGTACCTTCTCCCTAAACTGGATCTACAACAAAATAAGAATGATCAATCAAAACCAAGAAACAGCAAATACAAAGCAAAATTCCACATTAAAGCATAACATTCTGCATCATGGCAGGCTCCAATTATTTACTATTAAAATACTCTCACCTAGTTAGTATCAGCTAAAGCAAACAGCTCAACTTTTCAAACATACCTTCTTTACTTTTCCGAGAATTAAGTAAATTAAATACAGGCAGGCCTCAACACCCTGTACTACATTAACTGAAAACCAAAAAGGATAAAAAGCAAAACACAGATCCAGTATGCACGTATTTCAGTTAACACAGCATTGTGTGAAGCAGGGACTGCCCATGATAATATTATACGAATATCTTATGGAATATGAAAAGCTAGAGCTTCTCGGGATGCCTAACATGTAACTGAAACAACTATTTTTAAAACCACATAGCCATAAAAAAAAAAAAAAGAAAGAAATACACTTCTAAATAAAACAGTAAGTTTAACAAAAGTTTCACACACCTATTTCTGTTAGTTTTGTGAGATATCAAAAGCACAGAAGAGGACTGTCAGGGAATTGGCCAGTTTGGGACTAACAGTATTACTGAATTTAAATACCTGAGTTCCAAAAGTGCACAAGGATTGAAGAATAATTTGATGCAGTCATATTATTTTCTGAATGCATTTCTGTGATTCTTCCATGTATTGAATGATCAAGAAATGGGAGGCATATACTTGCAAAACTGTAAATCATTTAGGTAAAACAACTGTCTCATCAAAAGGGACCCAGCAGACTGAGTCATTCATAGTGCAGTGGGTCCCTAGAGATAGAATATCTTATCTAACACATAGGCCAGAGAAACACTTGGTTTGGAAATGTCCCAACTTAAAGAACAGTCCTTTTTAAAAAACAGAGGATAACCCATCTAAACTGGTTTAAACTAGTGTTACTTACTTTGCACCTCTTGCAAGGAAGAACAGTTTTATTTCTCCAAATATACCAGAAAAGGGTTGGGGACAGTAAATCAATCTTGCTAGTTGAGTAGAGTAAGTCATTTAGCTACCCTCTATATTACCAATATGTTATACTTACTTTCCTTTCAGGTTTCTGAATTTCTGGTAGAACTGCACAGAAAGGTTTGATAACTTCTAAAAATTTGACTGTAAAGAGAGAAAAAAGAACATCTGTTACAAAGTTTTTAAAAAGAGATGTACCTTTTTATAGAAACAAATACAAACATCCTCTAACTTTTAATGAAAATTCATCCCATTCCCACCTCCAAAGTAATCACAGTGCTCTCCATTTCAAATATATCAGGGAAGAGAAATAATTAAGGGACAAAAGAATCCAAAAGTTTTAAGGGTTTACTCCATAGAAGCAAATGCAAATACCCTTGTGCCATGATTTTGCTTCCTCAGGTTGGTATCCAGCCCTTTTATATATACAGAAAAGGAATACTCTCATAAGCATCACTACATTAAGAAAGAAAGAAAGAAAGAAAGAGCAAGAGAATGCAGTCTACTACATTACCCACATGACAATGCACTATAGAAGAAAATCAGATGTATCAGAGGAGAAATGCAAGAGGAAATGTGCTGAAACTGCAGAACTGACCTAATTTAGATTAAAAGATGCTGAAATGCATAAGTGAGAAAGATTATGGATTCACCTTCTACATAGAGTTTTGTGTGTTTTGTTTTTGTTTTTAAGTATACAATCTCTATTTCATTTCACTTACATCAACCTTCCTTGCTTGGTTGCTCTCCCACATAATGATCTCAAAGTACTTGTGTATGGATGATAATCAGCCCAGAAAATGACCATGACATTTCATGAGAAAGTACTGCTTTTCCAGATAACTTATAACATATCAAAGTAAGACAAACCAAGGTTCTTTAAGGATAGACACTATATTCTGGCATAGCTTAAGTCAATTCCTGCCAAAGAACTGGAGAATGAAGATGATATTCTCTCAGTCTTTGCCAGCGTCTGTAATGTGCAGAAACACAAGAAGGCAGTATTAGTTATGATCATCATCTCCTACAGAGACTGCAGTCTGTATCCTAACATCATGAAATTGTTTTAAAACTGACCTAACTAATTACACTCTCATAGTGAGCTAAAAGCTGACTATATAATCTTCTCATGAAACTTCTCAAAATGATGGCAGTCGCTGACATTTGACAGAACTCAGAAATTCCCACAGGCAGATACTCATTGCCCAAGTGCCATTTTGGACTATTTGGAAAATGTGAATGATAGAAGCTTTCTTCTCTAATGCAACACAAATTATCAACCACATCAGGAAACTTCCTAGACTCCTTTATCCCTCTTTCCGTCCCACCTCAATCCAAATCACCCTCCCAGATTTCTTGGCATCGTCCCATCACTGGTGTTGGAGAGCTCCTGCTCAAGCAATGCTTCTGTCGGCCACTTGTCTATTCTTGCGTTGCAGAATGTCACCGATTAAAATGTAAATTCAAGGTCAGGGGTCTCCTCTATTTCCTTCCTAAATGTTCACTAGTTGGCCAGTGGATGCACCGCTCAGGTTTGCACTTAACCATTCATCCAACAAACATCAGCAACAGCTATGTAAGTATATGCGTGAATGCACGGGGCGTTGAATGTTCAGGAGATAGCCCTCAAAGATCCCCAGAATTCAAGGCCTTGTCCCTAAGGCTTATACAACCTCACACACAGTGAGTTTTCAGTCAACGCTAGAAAATAACTGAAATGAAAATTTTAGGGAAAACGCTATGCTGCCAATCGCACTTTCTTCCTCCCCTAAAATACATGCCGTGCATCACTTTAAAAAAAAAAAAAAATCCAACAAGTCAGAGAGCTTTATTCATCACACTAACGTGCCAAGGAAGGGTGACTTGGAAATAAAAATGTGAGCTTCCTAAGCTCCTGAAAAATTAGAAGTGGTCCAGGTTTCGCTCGGTTCCTTAACTCCCCGCCCCCAAAACCAATGGCTTCCCCTCTCCGTCTTCCGCTCCCCGCCACCTAGCGAGCGCAAACCCCGGGCCTCCGGGCCCCAGACCCCGCAGGCGGCTCGGAAAAGGCCGCACCGCCGAAGGAGCCTCGGAGGAGGCCCCCGGCCCGCGCCCTCCGCAGCAGCCCGGCGCGGCCCGCGCCTCTCCCTCCGGCCCCCAGGCTGGGCGACCCCGGCCAGGCGCCCGCCCCGCCGCCCGCAGCCCGTGGAGGCCGGCAGCCCAGCGAGTGCTGCGCCGCCGCTACTCACTGCCCATGGCGGTGGCTGGGGCGGCCCGGCGGGGCACGGCGGCCTAGGCACTGCCTTCGCTCGGGTCCCACGGCTCGGGTCTCGCCGCCGGCTCCCGACGCGCTCCTGGCCGGCCCTGCGCAGGCTCCGCCCCGCGCCACGTGACCCGCGCGCCCGCCCCGCCCGGCCCCGCCCCCCCGGCGAGCGCCCGGCAGTTGGCAGCCGGCTCCGCGGACGTCAGCGCGTTGCCATGGTCACCGCCAGCGCGCCAGTGGGCGTGCTCCAGCTCCGCAGCGGAGTTCAGGAGCCTTGGCAGGATTGCAGCGGCCAGGCTCTCTCCTGTCTGAGCTCTTCTCCGAGCTCACTGTCGAGCAATACCCCCTTCCTCGACCTCCCTAGTCCGGTCCCGGCCTCCCAGGCCAGGACCCGGCCAAAGCGGCCGCCCGAGGGTCGCGGGCCAGAGTTGCATCCCTGAGTGTGACCCTTACAGCCCTTTTTTTTTGCTCCTGCCTTATCGGAACTTCGTGGAAGTTGTCAAAAATCTTGTGATAATCTGTCTATAATTAATAGCTTATGAACTCCCCACTATTACGTGTGCTCCTTCTTCAGCTTCTCTGATAGACGAAGATCAGCGTTTTGTCCCCCCTTATCCCTTCTTGGACAGCGTGGCATAAGGGAAATCAGTCTTTAGAAATCAGCCTGCAACCTGTACCCCTGAAGCAAATAATACACTGTATGTTAATAAAAAAAAAAAAAAAAGAAAAGAAAAAAGAAATCAGCCTGCATTTTAATTTCTTCTGAATGGCTTTGGGCAATTAACCTGAGGTACATCAGTAAGATAAGGATAATAGACACGTACTACAGGTGTGAAAATTAGAGGATGAGACTGACACACAGAAGGCCCTCAAATGTATTCTCCTAAGTCAATTTTAAACCCCTACTGTAACTTCTGCTCTAACTTCTAATGAAACAAGCTATTTCAAAGTTCACTAATGACCCATAAACACCAAATCCAATGATTTGTCCTAAGACTTCATCTGCATCCAAGAAGGAAACCAATGATTCATGTGTGTTTGAGAGAGACAGAGAAAAGTTGATTTTCTCCTTGACCAAACTCCAGCCAGGCTCCTGTGAGCCCTTTCTTCACTAAGCTTTACCCGGTCCTATAAAGACTTAAACAGAGATTAACAGCTCCGTCCCGAAAGTGACCCTAGCCCTCCCTCAAAGAATCTACCTGTGAAAACTCAAAACTGCCCGAAGAATTTACCCTTTGTTCCAACACCTGAAGATACTAATTCTGTCTTCTAGCCTCTGTGGAAGGTAGGAGCCTAACTTTCATAAGCACCAATTAACAAACCCAGATTGGTGTCACATGGACAAATCCCTCTTCCTTCAAGCTTTTTGTCATTTTTTCACTTCCTGACTCTGAGCCCCACCCACCTGCTCCTTGTTCTGTCGTTTTTGCTTTAGATTTCCAGTCCCCTCTGTACAAATCAAAGTTGAGTTCAGTTCATGCTGGACTCTTTTTCTACTGCAATAATATACTGCTGATTAAAATCTGTCCTGACCACTTTACCTGGTGTGAGGCATTGTTTATCTTTGAAAACACACACACACACACACACACACACACACACACACACACACACGTAGGCTGGGCATGCACAGAACTCTGCTCCACTTGGGGTCATCTGGGACAGCTCCAAGACTGGAGACTTGAATGAGCAGAGGGCTCTCTCACTCACAAGCCCAGCATTTGTGGCTGCCTGTCAGCTTCAACATCTCCACAGGGCTCCTTCATTTTGCCTGGGCTTCCTCAAAACATGGCCACTGGGTACCAAGGGAATGTTCTTGTTAATGACCCAGCATCACTTTCAGTGCATTATATTGGTAGAGGCAGCCACAAATGCCTGTTCAATCTCAAGAGAGAAGAAAAACAGACTCTGCCTCTAGGTGAAGTTGTGGCAAGGTTCTGGAAGGGCAGGTGAAGCAAAATACTGCTCTAGCCGCTTTGGGAAAACAGTTTGCCAGAGTTATAACTTCCCATCCTATGACTTCATTCTTGTCTCACTCTACTCTGTACTAGTCATTTTTATACTTCTCTAAGCTCTCCTACTATCCATAAACTTCTAGATGGCAGAAACGTAATTTTTGTATCATCTATGGTGACTGGCAAATGGTTGGCTTGCACACAGTTTTGGCCCTACACCGTGAGCTAATGTCACACATATAATATCCTTTCAATAAAGATGCACTAAAATGAAAGCTTAATTGACAGAAGAAGAGTTGCCTCCACTTCTCTTTACTTCCTCTTTCTGGGACAGCTCCATGTTTCAAGTAAAAGAACCTGGGGATAAGCTCTGACATGTTAGATAACTGTTGTGAATTATCCTTCCAACATTCTTCAGTCTTTCTACTACATGCTACCCAGGACTTGTCCTCATGTGACTACAATATGCCAATTAATCTACATCTATCAGCAGTATCACTCTACCTTGACCTCCCACACTGTTTTAGCACACTCAACAAGAACATATCTATGTGTAAAATGCATTGTCATCTCAAATAGATAGTTAGTCCACTGAGGACAAATAGCAACCCATTTTCCATTTTACTCTCATGTATTTCTAATGTCTCGAACAACACCATATATGCAGTAAGTGTCCAATAAACTACTGGGGAAATACTATCCTACTCTTAGAGGGTCATTTCTCACTTTTGTTCAATTATGGTTGATTCTCCACATGACTCAGAGAAGACACAGGGAAATAACACTAAAGGAACATACTTTTATTAAAAGTTTTCTAAGATTAACTGATTTTGCAAATGGCAATGGGGAAATAACAGTCTGCTTTAGACTACTTTATCAGATTTAAATACAAACATGACGATGAGTTATTACTCCCACTGAGTAATTTAGGAGTTGTTTATTTGAATTAATAGTAGGTTGTAAATATTGAGGATTTAAAAACATTTTGTCCAAATTTCCCCCAAATGTCATGGTTTTAACATGAAACTTAGAAGCTGAAGGTGAAAAGCAAATATCCAAGTATATCCAAGGGAAATGGAGGTGAAGCTTTTGGAACTTCAAGATTCAAGTCTTGATTCTCATCTGTAACTTCCCTCCTGTGGAACCCCTAATTTCTTTAAACTGCATTTCCTCGCTTTTGTAAAATGGACACTATTTCTATTGTCAGTCAAGGAATTAAAAAAAAAACAAAACTTCAGAAGTAATACAGTCAGGCTAAAAGAAGTTACGCTTAAGAATATTTTCTAAATAATATGAGTATACAAAAATGGAGCAAATGGTTCTTAAAGAAGAAAATTTTATTTTACTAAGAATATGTCACTTTAGACAATATCAACATTTTTTTCTCGGTTGTTAATACTTCTCTTCAATGAATACCCAATTTGAGCTCTATTCTTCATTGAATATGAAATTAACATAGATATAAATGGGATACAAATATCACATTATCAAATTTCCCAGAGGAATACAATAAAGGTTTTTTATTAATTTTGCTATGATTTTTTATCCCATACTTTATTATGGGAGTATTTGGTTTGGTCCTTTCCTACAACGTAATTAAAAATGCTCACCCGTGTTGCAACAGTGATTGAGAGTAAGAAGGTTAAGATACAGAAGACACATTTTTTTTTTAGAAGACAATTTCATGGTTCATGGTGGTGAAGACATAATAAGATACCAGAGAAATTAGAAGAAATCTAAACTTCTAAAAAACAAAACAAAAAAAAGAACCCTAGTTTTCCATCTCATTTTGTGCTTCAACTTTGGAATTTTTAACTCAAGAAACCAAGAGATCTGAAAAAAATGACAGGCCTTTCATGTTTTTCTAGTTCAGTATACAACACTGATAACCGTTTTTATTAGATAGACTTTGTAATTGTACCGATTTACATGCGTGGCACCGAGTTACATGATTTATAAGGCTTGACACAGGAAGGAAGCATTAAGGTGCATAGGAATAAAAGGGCTGTGAATATTACAGAAATATTAAATCAACACACTAATGCATACACTGAAGATGTGAACTGCAAATCTACTCCTGTGGCCCAAACAACATGTTGATTGTGAAAGACTTTACCACTCGCCAAAAAAGGGAGAGGCCATTCCAGTGCCCCAGCACTTCCTCCATTATTTAGAAGAAAAACTGTCATAGCACCAGAATGGAAGATGGCAGAGCCCCTGAAGCACCAACTGACATTAAGCTACACAGCTTGCTGCTCTGGAGTTAAGCTTCCATGAAGTTTCAGAGGTAATGCAATGGGCTGGTGATCTCCGTAAACCCCTAAGAACTTGGTGCTTGGAAGTTTTCAGTGTTAAAGTTAAAATCCTCCTTAAACACCACAAATGAACATCACTTCATCATACCCTTTTAGCAGCAAGACTGACTAACCAGGAGCTGAAATCCCCATATCAGACACCGAAAGTCAATCAAAAATATTAAGATATCACTGCAATAAGAATTTAGGGGGAAAAAAGATATGATGACAAACAATTTCATGATAGCTAAAACTCCTTAATAATACTGTGCAAAAAGATGATACATCCCGAGTCCTTTGTAATGGGATGGATATTTAAGGTCAGTGGGTGAAAACAGCTCTTCTGAAGAACATCCATCAGGACTAGCATAGCTTTGCTCCAGCATTTGGTGAAACATTTCTCACCGCGGCTGGAAAGCAGCCCCTGAGATCACATAAAATGAAAATACTGGTAGTCACAGGACTCTGAATAAAGAATGGTAAAATTAATGAAAGTGACACACACCAAGCAAATTGAGAAGTCATGTCCAGGTGATCTGCAGGTAAATCCTGTAAATTCAAATTAAAGAGACTTTCCTGGGCATATATAGTTAATTAGAAAACATGGTCTGAAAAAGTCTGGGTAAGGCACTGGTTCTACAACTCACTCAGATCTAACCAAAACAAAACACTGGATTAAGGTGACTCGAGGATAATTGACAGAAGAAGAGTTTAAGGATTAAGGTGACTCATCAGGTTCATGGATTGATGGATAATTCCCTTGGTTACTCTGTGTATTCTGATTAAATGTTCCTCATCAATCCCAACGTCTTAGAGGAACAGACTTTTCATGTTGCCTAATGGAAGAAGAGAACAAAGGAGCCGGCTTTTCTTTTCATGCTTATTTTCTTAAAAGGAAGTAACACTGTTCCAAAGGACACCATCAAGCAAAGGTCTTGGTGAGGACATCTTCATGCTGCTGCAGGTGAAGGGTGCCAATTCCTACAGCAGGGACTGGCAAAGGGGGTCGACTCACAAGACGGAGCTATGATGAGAGCAGAAAAGAAATAAAATGACCTGCTGACCTGATCAGAGCCCGGCTTTATTCTCCCGAGGCAGGGCATGCATGTCTCTTAGCTTGTTTAACCACAAATCACCTTTTTTGGAAAAATAATGGGTCACCTAGAATAGACTGGAAGGAGATACAGGTCACAACTAAAAACTAAATCCCAGGCACCATCAGGGGAGATCAATTCTTGAATTTTTCCTATTCTTCAGTAACTATTAGTTGGTTTTAGCAGTAGAGTTTCCTAGATTAGAACAATGACAATGATTTGACCCCAAAAACTAGTAACAAATGTGTGAAGTGAGTTCTAATTGAAGCAGAATAGGAAGAGAAACAGAAGCCCATTTGCTCTTCTCATTGTTCTTCCCTCCTGACAGTCTAAGCAGTAAGAACTTGGCCTTTGATGGACCCCAGGTATGTGGAAGAGCCTAGAACAAGCATTAGTGAGCATCTCTTCTCCATTACTGTAATAGAAGCCCACTCATCATCCTGCTCCCCCCGGGCCTGGATTGTGACCTTTAGGACAAGACTAGTAGGAAAGGTAGCTGACAGGTAAGGGCTTTTACTTTAAGTATAATCACTTTTTCTTACATCATACTAGCACATACACATATATATCTTGATAAACATTCAGCATTTCATTCCAAAAAAAAACAGTCTAAGTTAGGTTTTATAGTTTAGTTTCTCTTTAAAAGAATTGGACGGCTAATGGGGGATAAACCCATTTACTGGCACTCCAGAAGAAATAACACACATACACAAAACACTGTAAAAGGGAAAGCTATTACCTTGCAGGCCAGCTGCTTTTCAAACCTTGGAGAAACAAAGCACCATGGTCCCATGTTCTGAGGCTCCTCCTGACTCCAAATAAAATCTACAGCAGAAGAAATCTCATTTCAATACTCCAGGTAAACCTATAGTACACACACACACACACACACATACACACACACACACACACACACCATATATATATATGGTGTGTGTGTGTGTGTATACACAGTGCATATGTACATACACAGATACCTTTTAGCCATATACATATGCATATGTACATATACAGTGTGTATGTATGTATAGCTAGCTTTCTTCAAGTAAATATATGCCTTTCCAATATGGCATGGTGTGGTTTGTTTTTTGTTTGTTTTGTTTTGTTTTTGGTAAATGATAGTCACGTATCAAGCACCTCACTCATGATACAGAACAATTCTATCAACCCTGAAAATTCCCTCATCCTGCCCTTTGAAGGCAACTCCTCCTATGGCACCAGCCTCTGGGAACCACTGAGGTTCTCTTCTCCCTATGGTTTTGCCTTTTCCAGAACATCAGATAAATGGAATTATACGATATGGAAGCTTTGGTTCTGGCTCCCTTGAACTAGCAAAATCCCAAAGCCATAGTTCACTCTCTTTTATTGTTGAGTAGTATGATATTGCAAGGATGTACCTTATATCCTTGTTTATTTATCCATAGGTTCAAGGACATCGTGGTGGTTTCCAGTTTGGGACAATTATGAATGAAGCTGTGGTAGACATTTTTCTGTGAACACACTGTCATTTCTCTTGGGCAAATACCTCATAGTGGACTGGCAACTGTATGTTGGAACTAACTATTTTCCAGAGTGGCTGTATCACTTTCCATTCCTCATCAGCTCTTGATATTGCCAACTTACTGTTTTGTTTTCATTTTAGCTATTCTGACAGGGGTGCAGCTGTATCTCGTTTGGGTTTCATTTGCATTTCCCTTATCACTAATGATGTCAAGCATCATTTTTCTAAAAAGATTTTATTTATTTATTTGGCAGACAGAGATCAGAAGTAGGAAGAGAGGCAGGCAGAGAGAGAGGAAGCAGGCTCCCCACTGAGCAGAGAGCCCGATGCGGAGCTCGATCCCAGGACCCTAGAATCATGACCTGAGCCGAAGGCAGAGGCTTTAACCCCCTGAGCCACCCAAGCACCCCATCAAGCATCATTTTATGTAGTTATTTGTGATCCCATTGTTTCGTTCAGATCTTTTGCCTAGCCAAAGGTCATGGAGATTTTCTCCTAGAAGTTTTAGAGTTTTATGTTTTACATTTAGATCTGTGATCCTGAGTTAATGTCCGTACCCAGTACATACAGATGTCTAATTACTGAAGCCCCACTTGTTGTAAAGACTTGCCTTTTACAGTTACATCAATTTATCCTAAGCAATAGTATAGCACTGATTACCTCCAACCTGTCAAGAAATGACCCATCTTAAAGTGAGAGAAGGGGATGGTTACCGAAAGGGACACCATAAAAGACAAGGAAACATTGGCTCTAGCAGTATTTTTTTTTCCCCATATTTCCAAATTCCAAAAGATTCAATCCTTTAAGGACTCTCACTGCCCCAGAATTCCTTTCCACATGAGACGTTGGAATAGGTTTCAGGTATCTAAAACCCAAAGAACCCCACCAAGAATAATGTACCTTTAACGTGTTTATATTTGCTCATCTCTTGCTGTAACGAATCCAGTGGGAAAGGGCAGAGTTCCTCTACTCGGATGATGGCAAAGTCATGCTTCTTGGCCTCTAAGGATTCTCTTTGCTTCAGCAGGGCATAGAAATGTTTGCCACAGCAGAACACTAGCCTCTTGACCCTGTTGGGTAGAATGGGGTAGAGGAGAAACAGCTAAGAGAATTGTATCAAAAGAAAGAGGAGACCGCATTGATGAAAATGCTTCGTTATGGAAGCAGTGCGGGGCTCTGTAGTTGGGTTCAGTGACACACTGTGCCCTGTGGCCTTCTTCAGCAACACACGCCTCTGAAGCTCCACGTTCCATGCAAACTCTGACTCCCGTCCCATGGGGGCAGAGGATTTCTATCAGGATAGAGGAGACTTGGGTCACTCTGGGTTCCCTAACGTGAACTAGTTTTCCCATTAATTAAAATTCTACTACAAAGTATGAAAACAGAGATACACAGCAAATTACTTTTTGGGATCCACAGATGAATCACCAATGACCGGCTTGAATGTCGTTCCTGGCGCCATTTCTTGAAGAGTTGACACAGCAGCCTAAGGAGGGTAAAAAGCCATACAACTATCAACCAAAGAAAGGAGCTGAAGATGCCTGCACTTTCAAGGGATCTTTACCAAGAAATAACATCAAACTTTCCTCCTAGGACTCATATATGTAAACATATGCCCTAGTAAACACAGTATCTTTCAAAAAAAATACCAATTGTGTATATTTCAGAATAAAATTACTTTTTCAAGGTTATGTAAGATTGCCTTTTGTGCAATACTGAAACAAGACTTTTAGAATCAAAATTTCAGTTTGATCCCACTTTTTGTCTCAGTAAAAATACACTTTGGTTTGTTGGAATCAGAAATGACATTTGTGAACAAAAACAGCTAAACTAGAACAAGGATTTCTGTCTTTAGGATTTTGACTATAATTTATATGTGAAAACTAATGAGTCAGAACAAGCAGGAATAATACATGAATATTTCTGTGATGAAAAGAAATTTTATTAATGAGCTCAATTTCAATAAGTACCTGCTGTTGCAAAGAACTTAGCACATAGACAACTCTAGTTCACTGCCCTATAATCTATTCTCAAATGGAAATACATCTTGATTGGTCCACTGATAGGTAGCCATGCTGATGGGGGAATATTGTGGTATACCCTAAAAAATTAATATTAACTAAGAGAATGAAATAAAAATATATACTTTATATATTATGCATTATCTATATGTCTACATAATATATATTACCTATTATATATAGACATACATTTTATTATATATCACATATATTTTAGTCTTATTTTTTACTTATTCTTATTGCTAAACAATGTATGATAGAAGCCAACTTTCTCCACCCTGAACCCTTGGTCAGCTCCCATTTCCTAGGGTAGGAATCCAAAGGAGCAGGAGGGGCGCCTGGCTAGCTCAGTTAGTGGAGCAAGTGACTCTTGATCTTGATCTTGGTGTCAGTTCAAGCCCCACATGGAGGTGTAGAACTCACTAAGGCAAAAAAAAAAAAAAAAGGAACTGGAATTCAGAGCTAGGTGGGAAATTTGGGTAGAATTTAGGTACCACTTGTCAAGCAAACTTCTTACAGCCCTGAGTCATATTTGTCATATGGCAAGTCATCTCTGAATACACCATGGAAAGAAAGGGTGAACTTCTGTTCTGCTAGATCACTTGTACCAATAATCTAATTTTCAGGAAGAAATCAGACTTCAATAATGGTGGTACTCACTTTCAGTTAATAGAAGGTTTTACATGTTTAATGAAGATATTTAGCTACTTAATAAGAGTAGTTTTTCACTTAAAAATCTATAGGATAGGGGCACCTGGGTGGCTCAGTGGGTTAAAGCCCCTGGCTCAGGTCATGATCCCAGGGTCCTGGGATCCAGCCCCACATCGGGCTCTCTGCTCCGCGGGGAGCCTGCTTCCCCTCTCTCTCTGCCTGCCCTCTGCCTACTTGTGATCTCATTCTCTCTCTGTCAAATAAGTAAATAAAAAATATAATCTTAAAAAAAAATCTATAGGATAGCTGTTGAGAAAAAAAAAAATATATATATATATTTTTTTTTTCTTCGAGCGAGAGAGAGAGAGAGAAAGAGTGTGTGAGCGGAGAGACAGTGAGAAAGAGAGAGAAAGAGTGTGTGAGTGGAGAGACAGAGGGAGAGAGAGAGAGAGAATCTTAAGCTCTCAGGGCTTCATCTCATGACCCTGAGATCTTGACCTAACCCAAAATTAAGAGTCGGACACCTACCCATCACAGCCACTCAGGTGCCCCTAGCTGTTGATATTTTCAAGGTTCCAGAGCAAGACCTCACTTATTTGGTAAGTTATATATTAGACATGAGAGAGGAGTAGACTATTGGGGCCTGAATGTGAACTCTCTTTCTCATTAGAAACAGCAAAAAATTTCTCAATAAAATTTCTAATTGTTCATTCAATACTTAATAATATACATATATTATACTTAATGTGATTACATGCCATTATAGTAATGATTGAGGGAGCAGGTGACACCCTTAGGGGTATAATGAAAACTGGGTCAAGAATCCCAGACATACATATTTCTTAGAAATAAATTATAGTAATCTGCATTATGACTCAGCCCCTTTAACACTGCTGCTTCAAAACATCTGTGTCCAAAGACCCCCATCAGAAACACGTGTTAAAGGGATTGCATTCATTATTCCTGAATGTCCTGTGATGCTGCGAGACCGAGGAAGCCATCTCACAATGTGCAAGGTTGTTCAACGCACAGTCGGGGAGCAAACGAGAAGAGGGGATCAAACACACGAACCACGCCATCAGTGTAAGAACGGGAAGTACACTTCCACAGTACTGACCCCTGGGGTCAGCACCAGGGAGAGGCAGTAGAGGGGCACAGAGGGTGGAATTTGAGGCGGCACCCACTCTGGGCTCGTGTGGGTGCTGACCTCCACTAGAGGCAAATCACTCACTGCTTTCCTCAACACCCCTCAATTCCAAATATATATTCTCGAACCTTCGTGAGAAGCACAGGGTAGTCTTGAAGAGCCAAATCCTAAATGACTTCTTTTACCTCCTTTGCCTAGCATCCGAATAAGTGCCAAGGTTTTTTGAACGTTAATCCTAATTAAGACTCTCATATAAAACCAGAAAAAATGCTCGCAGATGGGATAAATAGATACTTAGCAGTATTTATTATCTTGAACTCTGCGTATTTTTGTGACTTAAAAAATATATTGCAGGGGGCCTCGGTGGCTCAGTGGTTAAGCGTCTGACTCTTGATTTCGCCTCAGGTCATGACCTCAGGGTGGTGAGATCGAACCTCTTGTCTGTCCAGCTCTACGGTGAGCGTGGAGCCGACTTAGGATTCTCTCCCTTTCCCTCTGCTCTTCCCCCTCCAGCTCACACGTGCAACCCCTTTCCCTCCCTCTCTCTCTCTCTCACACAAAAAAATAAAAATAAAAATAAAAATAAATTAAAAATAAAATAAAAAACATATTGTGTGCTTAACACTCAGTTCAGGTGAACCCAGACAAAATGTACCCTTTCTTCTTTTTTAAAGATTTTATTTATTTATTTGAGAGAGAACAAGAGAGAGAGAGAGAGAACAGATGTACCCTTTTAAATGTTATAGCAATAAGCTATATTGTTTTAATGTTTGAAACAGGAGTCTACCCACTGGTAAATCATTTAACAGAAAAAAATCTCAGTAAAAGCCAATGAACATCACCACTGGTTTTCATCAAAATACTTGGCATTCCCAACTTGCTACTCTCAATATAGTGCATTAGACCTGATTTTCTCTGGTTTTGCTTTCAGTGGTTTGTGTTACATACAGTCAACCTAGGTCGAGAAGCAGATGATCTTCCTCCTGACATGTGGTCAGAAGGTCACTAGTAGCATCATGCTGTCACCATGCCTACGTCATTCACCTACTTCCTCTCATTATGTACGCATTTTATCATCTTGCTCCATCACAAGAAGGATGAGTACAGCAAAAACAAGGTATTTTGAAAAAAGACCATATTCACATAACTTCTTTTATAATATATAATCATGATTGTTATATTTTATTTAGTCCTTGTTAAGCTAATACTGTGTCTAATTTATAAATTAAAATTTATTATAGGTATGTGTGTATAGGAAAAGACATGGTGAGTGCAGCGTTTAGTACTATCTGCAACCTCAGGCATCCGATGGGAGTCTTGGAATGTATACCCCACAGATAAAAGAAGAATACTGGTACTTAGAACTACTTGCACTTTAAATAAAACTTTTTCTAAAAAATTATTTCTGCTCACAGTGAGATGGAGTGCTCCCTATAGTCCAAGTTATTCCAGAAAGATTTTTTTTTTTAAAGAGAGAAAGCAGTTAGGCCAACTAAAACCGAAAAGACGTTTCTGTTTAAATATAATTAGACACAAGGGGATGTGTGGGTTTGCAGAGTGTAGGGGCCAGGGGGGCGGGGTGGGAAACAGGTGAAACAGGTAAAGGGGATTAAGGAGTGAGTGCTCTTGTCGTGATGAGAACCAAGTGATGTATGGAAGTGTTGAAGCACCATTTTGTACACCTGAAACTTACATAACACTGCATGTTAACTGGAATTAAAATTTCAATTTAAAAAGCCAAAAAAAGGGGTGCCTGGGTGGTTCAGAGGTTAAGCCTCTGCCTTCAGCTAGGGTCATGGTCTCATAAAATAAATAAATAAAGGCCCTAAATAAATAAATAAATACATTAGATACAGAAAATAGAAGCAAGTATGTACAAAAATGACAAAAGGACATTACAGACCAATACCCCTGATGAACATGGATGCAAAAATTCTCAACAAGATACTAGCTAATTGGATCCAACATTAAAAGGATTATTCACCACACCCAGGTGTGATTTATTCCTAGGCTGCAGGGGCGGTGGTTCAATATCAGCAAATCAATCAATGTGATATTCTACATTAATGAAAGAAAGGATAAGAACTATAAGATCTTCTCAATAGATGCAGAGAAAGCATTTGGCAAAATACAGCACCCTTTCTTGATTAAAAACCCTCAACAAAGTAGGAATAGAGGGAACATACCTCAACATGATAAAGGCCATATAGGGAAGACCCGCAGCAAATAACATTCTCAACAGGGAAAACCTGAGAGCTTTTCCTCTAAGGTCAGGAACACAACAGGGATGTCCACTCTCACCACCGTTACTCAACATAGTACTAGAAGCCCCTGCCTCAGCAATCAGACAACAAAAAGAAATAAAAGGCATCTGAACTGGCAAAGAAGAATTCAAACTCTCCTCCTCGGAGATGACATGATACTCTATGTAGAAAACCCAGAAGATTCCACCAAAAAATTGCTAGAATTGATACAGGAATTCAGCTAAGTCATAGTATATAAAATCAACACACAGAAGTCTGTTGCGTTTCTATACACCAACAATGAAGCAGTAAAAAGAGAAATCAAGGAATCAGTCCCATTTACAATTGCACCAAAAACCATAAGCTACCTAGGAATAAACCTAACCAAACAGGTAAAAGATTTGTACTCTCAAAATCATAGAACACTTATGAAAGAAATAGAGAAAGACACAAAGAAATGGGAAAACATTCCATGCTCATGGATTAGAAGAACAAATATTGCTAAAATGTCTACACTACCTGGGGTGCCTAGGTGGCTCAGTCAGTTAAGCATCTGCCTTTCGTTCAGGTTATGATCCCAAGGTCCTAGGATCAAGTCCCATGTTGGGCTCCCTGCTCAGCAGGGAGGCTGCTTCTCCTGTTCCTTCCCCCCAACCTCCTGCCCAAGCTCTTGCTCTCTCTCACTCTCTCTGTGTCTGAAATAAATAAAATCTTTTTTAAAAAAATGTCTATACTATCCACAGCAATTTACACATTCAATGCAATCCCTATCAAAATACCACCAGCATTTTTCACAGAGCTAGAACAAACAATTCTGAAATTTGTATGGAACCAGAAAAGACCCCAAAAAACCAAAGTAATGTTGAAAAAGAATCAAAGCTGGGAGCTCACAATTCTGGACTTAAAGCTTTATTATGAAGCTATAATCAGCAAGACAGTATGGTACTGACAAAAAAACAACAAACAGATCAATGGAACAGAATAGAGAACCAGAAATGAACCCTCAACTATATGGTCAACTCATCTTCGACAAAGCAGGAAAGAACATCCAACGGATGGGACACCTGGGTGGCTGAGTCAGTTAAGCGTCTGGCTTTGGCTCAGGTCATGATCCCAGTGTCCTGGGACCGAGTCCCACATGGGGCTCCTTGCTATCAAGGAGCCTGCTTCTATCTCTGCCTACCACTCCCCCTGCATGTGCTTTCTCTGTCTCTGACAAATACATTAAAAAAAAAAAAGAATATCCAACAGAAAAAAGTCTCTTCAACAAACAGTGCTGGGAAAATTAGACAAAAACAACATTCAGAAGAATGAAACCGGACCATTTTGTTACACCATACACAAAAATAAATTCAAAACAGATGAAAGACCTAAATGTGAGGTAGAAATCCATCAAAATCCTTTGACCTCAGAAGCAGCAAATTCTTACTAGACATGTCTCCAGAGGCAAGGGAAACAAAACCAAAAATAATTATTGGGACTTCATCAAGATAAAAAGGAAAGGAAACAATCAACAAAACTAAAAGGCAACTTACGGAATGGAAGTAGATTATCAGACAAATGACTAGTATCCAAAATCTATAAAGAGCTCATCAAACACAATGCCCAAAAAACAAAAACTCCAGTCAAGAAATGGGCAAAAGACATGAACAGACATTTCCCCAAAGAAGACATACAAATGGCCAACAAACACATGAAAACATACATGCTCAACATCACTTATCATCAGGGAAACACAAATCAAAACCACAATGAGATATTACCTCACACTCGCCAGAATGGCTAAAATTAACCACTCAAGAAACAAGAGATGTTGGTGAGGATGCAGAAAAGGGGGAACCTTTTTCAGCTGTTGGTGGGAATGCAAACTGTGGAAAACAGTTTCCTCAAAAAGTTAAAAATAGAACTACCCTCAGATCCAGCACTATTAGGTATTCATCGAAAAGATACAAAAATAGTGATTTGAAGGGGCACATACACCCAAATGTTTATAGCAGTAATGTCTACAATAGCCAAACTGTGCAAAGAGCCCAGATGTCCATCGACCGATGAATGGATAAAGATGTGGTATATTTATACACAATGGAATGTTACTCGGCCATCAAAAATAATGAAATCTTGCCATTTGCAACGTGGACAGAACTAGAGGGTATTATGCTAAGTAAAATAAGTCAGCCAGAAAAGACAAATACCATATGATTTCACTCATATGTGGAATTTAAGAATCAAAACAGATGGAACATAGGAGAAGGGAAGGAAAAATAAGATGAAAACAAGAGAGGGAGGCCAACCATAAGAGACTCTTGACTGTAGGAAACAAACTGAGGGTTGCCTGGGGAGAGATGGGTGAGGGGCTGGGGTAACTGGGTGATGGGCACTAACGAGGGCACGTGATGTAATGAGCACTGGGTGTTATACACAACTGATAAGTCACTAAATTCTACCCCTGAAACTAATAATACACTCTATGTTAACGAGCTTAACTTTAAATAATTTTTTTTTTAAACAACAAAATGACAAATGCTTCCTAACTAATTTTTCTACTTACAGGGAACCTGAGTAACATCTTCGGAGAAGCAATGATGAGGGGTTTTCGGAAGTTCCGAACCATCTGTCTCCTGAGCAGGTGGAAATACTGTGCAGGGGTGGTTGGGTGTGTCACGAACATGTTCACCGTGTCTCCATCTACCCCCTCTTCGACACTGTCACACATCTGAGGGAAAAAATGGTAGAAAGGAGCAAATGTTCAGATCATCTCGTTCAATCATAAGGACCCAGGCTGTCCTAAGGGAAACATGTCTGTATCTGACAACTTCCAAACCGTATCTTCCGCACAGATGTGTACATATCCCGTAATTTCTTTCCCAAAATGTACTTTTCTGTTTGCATCACATGCCATCTTTAATTTACCTGCCATTTATTTCTGTATCCTAATTTTTTTAAAATCATTTTTCTGCATTTTCATCTACCAATATAACTATGCATCTATCTACTGTTCTGTCTACCTTTCTACTGACCTATCATCTAGTTGTGTATTTTATCAGCGCATATGCCAAAATGACTAATGATATTCCGATACTAAGTGGATGTGTACAGGCGTCTCTATTTACTCTGAAATGCATCAGAAGATAATAAAGGTTTAGAGACAGAAGGATGATAATGAGTAGTTGTGATAAACCAGTACTGTAGAATAAAATATTAATGGTACACTCTAAGGGGTCGGCCTATAAACGTTCACTGGAAAATCTTCTAACTTCTGTATGTTCGAAAATTTTTGTAATAAAATATCCTAGTATTTTCCTGCATATTCTGCTGTATGCAGAAAAAGACGTAGGTATTGCTCCTTACCAATGAGTAACAGTGGTTATTTCTGGGTATTTAAAATTTTTTTGGTGATCATGAATCATTTTTTAAAAATACAATCATTATTTGAAAAAAAGTTTTTTAAGTAAAAATACAGATTTCTAGGCCTCACTCTGAAGAATCTGATCTGGTGTTGGTCCCTGTATCTCTATTTACAAAATGTTCCCCAGGTGATTCTGACAATCAGGCTGGTTTGGGAGACCCTGACTTCTGCCATACAAGAACCACTTTAATGGCTGTACAACCATGATGCTGGTGTCCCCAGGCATCAGGCTGATAAGGAATATTGACATTGCATGAAATCTGTGTCATTCAAATCTTCCAAGTCCTCTCGTTTGAGGTGTGCGCAAAGTATCTACAGGACACAACTCTATTTCAAACCATCTAGGAAGCAGGAAGCGTTTCTTGGAATCCAGAAGGCATGGGACGCGTACCTGCAGGAAACGCTCTATGCGGCAAGAGGAGTGGTCGGGTCCAGCCCCGTCGTACCCGTGGGGAAGGAGAATAACAATGCCACTCTGTAGGAGCCACTTGGCCTCCCCTGGAAAAGCACATGACAGGGAATAAGACCTCTCTGAGGCAGGAACAGAATGGCCTGAGGTGACCTGGGAGTGCCACATATTTAGTTTGCTGTCTGATCCCCTAAAATCATTTCCATTCTACGCACTTTCCAGCAGTGTTCCAGGCTTCAGAGGAAGATATCCATCCTTCTGGCTGAAACCCTACAGAATATGTTCACTGAACGGGCTCTAGCAGATGGAACACAAATTAAAAGGGGAATGACCCGGGTTCAAGGACAGCATGTATCTCTGATTCCAGGTGGATCTTGCGTCTCCTCACGTACCACTTGCAACACGGGCCACTGTCCTTAGCCGAGGGAGCAGACACTCCAGGATGGCTTCTGTACATGTCAAAGTTCAGTCAGTTCCTTCAAGGCACTTTTCTTCCTTCTTTTTTTTTTTAAAGAATTTATTTATTTATCTCTTGCAAGCGCACGCGTGTGAGACAGAGAGCACACAAGCAGGGGGAGCAGCAGACAGAAGGAGAAGCAGAATCCCCATGGAGCAAGGAGCCTGATATGGGGCTGGATCCCGGGACTCTGGGATCATGACCTGAGCTGAAGGCAAATGTTTAACCGACTGAGATACCCAGGTGTCCCAGCACTTGTCTTCCTCACAACTATAAGGTTGCAGAGAAACACAGCAAAGGGAGGCCTGAAGTGTGCAAATTCCAAGAGTGGTTCCCCCCAGAAAATGGGGTGATAGGAACTCACACTTGTACTTTACTACGTACCTTTGAATTTTACAATAAGCAGGTTCTGCTTTTATAAATGGTGATCAAATACAATAAAGATGCACAACTGCCAGCTTTCAGATACTTAAATATCCCTGGGTTAGGGAAGTGGGTTTTCAAGGCCACCATTAGCTCCAAGCACAAATCCTCCCTGTGTCACCACTGCCTGCTTTGTATTCATGTCACAACTCCTCAACACGTCCCAAGCGCAGACCCAAAAGTCCATTGCCTAGGAGCTGGCAGGTACACATGCCCTGCTCCCGACAGCCAAGTGCCCTCCCCTGGAGAAGTTGCTGCCTACAGTCAGAGTGGCCCCCAGCCCTCCGGCAGCTTTCATAACCATGCAATAGCTGTCCGGCCCCAGCAGAGGGCAAGGCAGCCTCCCAACTCTCCTGAGGAGCTGTGCTACAGCACCTCATAGGCAGCTATGCCCCTTTCCATTCATTTGTCCCCAAGGGGCTGGGGCCATGCCACACGCATATGCCAACACCAACCTCCAGAGATGAACGTGTCAAAAATGATCTGAGCACCATTGAAGAAATCACCAAACTGAGCCTCCCAGAGGGTCAGCAACTTGGGGCTTTCAATGCTCATTCCATATTCAAATCCCAGGACAGCCTCTTCTGACAATGGGCTGTTGCTGACCTAATACAAAGGAAGAGAACAGAAACACTGTCATGCTAGGTCAGGGGACACAAAAGTCAGTAAAGCATCATAAACCTCTCAAAAGGGAGGAGGGGCCCAGACGGGAACTTTCTTTCTAGTCATCTCCCATTTCTTTGAGAAAGGAGATCTATTGCTCTCTGTGAATGACGCATTTGGGGAAAGTTGGCATGAAGAGAGAAGGAGGGAAAAGAATGGAATATGGGCATTACAAATTTTCTTTAAGGATAAGCAAAATAAGGGGCACCTGGGTAGCTCAGTCAGTTAAGCAACCAACTCTTGATTTCAGCTCAGGTCTTTAGTTCAGGCTCATGAGTTTGAGCCCCATGTTAAAAAAAAAATAGTAATAATTTAAAATTTTTTTAAAAGGATAAGCAAAATTAACTTCTCAGATAACCTATTTTTATTACTGAGAGTAAAACTGTGTCACACAGCTTTTAAAAAGACATCACAAAACAAAGGAGGGGAAGTTACCAAAGAAGGCCTACCTTTGGTTAGGATCCATTATTCTAACATCCTATCTGCACAATAAAGCAAAAGAACCATCATGACATGTTAAGATAAAAAAGAAAAACAATATAAAATTAGATCTCTGAGGAGGCAAAAAAGATAGGACAGTTAAAGGCAACATAATTCTACTCAATCACAGGATAACAGGGGTAGATCTAGAGGATATGACGCTAAGTGAAATAAGTCTCACAGAGTAAGATAAATACTGAATGATTTCGCTTATATGTGGAATCTAAAAAACAGGAGAAATGAGAAAACAAACAAAAGCAGAAAGAGACCCATAAACACAAGAGAAGAAATTGGTGATTGCCTGAGGGGAGTGGGGAATGGGGAATGGGCAAATTGGGTGGGAGAGAGTGAAAAGCCCAGGCTTCCAGGGATGGAATGAATAAGTCACAGGGTGAAAGGTACAGCACAGGGAGTATTGTCAATGATATTGGAAGAGCATAAGGGGATAGATGGTAGCTATTCTTGTGAGCACCGCATAACATACACACTTGTCACATCAGCATGTTGTACACCTATACTAATAAAACATTGTGTGTCAACAGTATTTCAACTAAAAGAATTAAAAAATAAAAAAATAAATAGAAATAAATGCAACATGATTCTCAGCGAGGTTGGAGGACGACATGGTAGTCATGTTTTGACATTCATTTCCTGACGTGGATGGTTGTACTGCTGTGGTGGCAGTGAAGGTCTTTGTTTGCAGGAAATACACATTCACAGCAGGAGGTGAGCAACCTGGTATTTCCAACTTGAAGTCTCAAATGTTTCAGAAGGAGAAAAAGTTCCTTTTGTATTGTACATCAAAATTTTTGTAATTTTGTCTTTGTTTGAAATTGTTTCTCAAAGATATTTGTAAGTCATGTATTTATAGAATATTAGTTGGCAATAAAAAGGAATGAGGTAGTGACACAGACTACCACATGGATGAACCCTGGAAACATGACGCTAAGAGACAGTCACAAAAGGCCACTTTATTGTAGGATTCTATTTATATGAAAAGTCCAGGGGCTCCTGGGTGGCTCAGTGGGTTAAGACCTCTGCCTTTAGCTCAGGTCATGATCCCAGGGTCCTGGGATCGAGCCCCGAATCGGGCTTTCTGCTCACCAGGTAGCCTGCTTCCTCATCTCTCTCTGCCTGCCTCTCTGCCTACTTGTGATCTCTGTCTGTCAAATAAATACATAAAATCTTTAAAAAGAAAAAAAAAGTCCAAAATGGGCAAATCAATAGAGACAGAAAGTAGATAAATGGTTGTCAGCGGCAGAGTGGAGGAAGGAATGGGGAGACTCTCACTGGGTGTATGGGGTTTCGTTCTGGGGTTGCTGAAAACATTATGAAACTAGATAGTGGTGATGTTTGCACCACTCCATGAATATACTAAAAACCACTGAATTGTATACATTGAAAGACTAAATTCAAAAAGTTTTATCTCAATAAATCTTTTATCAAAACAAAACAAAACAAAACAAAAACCTCTGGAGGAGCCAAGGAGGCTCAGTCAGTTAAGTGTCCGACTCTTGGTTTCAGCTCAGGTAATGATCTCAGGGTTGTGAGATTAAGCCCTGTGTTGGGCTCCACGCTCTACAGGAAATCTGGTTGAGATTCTCTCTCTTCCTCTCCCTCTGCTCCTCACGCTGAGAGGGAACACTCTTTCTCTCAAAAACACAAAAACAAAACATACAAACAAAAAAGACTCTGGGGAAAAAAACTGTGACTACAAGTATAAAAATGTGTGACTTATGTGTTTAAGCACTCAGTGACAACACAGAAAAATAAAAATAGATGATTTATAAGCATGGTAGGATTATGTATAATAATATGTATAATAACCTTATCTTTTCTGATTTCTCTTTTGATTTCAGTTATAATCTATATGTTACATTAATTTTTAAAAGACAGCTACATTTCTCAGATTTATGAGTGCATTGTAAATGGAGTTTAGACTGACCACTTTATCCATACCTTCTTTCTGTCCTCACATTCTCATTTGTCTTCCTACTCAACGCTGACATACCCACCAATGTTCTAAATCCATTCTTCCTTTCTGCTTCTTCACTGGCTTCATCACCTAATGCCTGTTTTCTGAACCTCTCCTCACTGACTTTCCCTTCATAGCAGATAGAAATCAATACACAAAAATGCAACAAGAAACAGTCCCCTGACCAGTGTTCTACAGCTGTAGCTTCCTTTCACCATCAAGCTTCTAGAAGAATTATCTAACCCACTTGTCTCCAGTTCTGTAACCCCTGTTGACCGCTCAGGCTAGTGCAATCTAGCTTCTGTTCTCACTGCTCCACAAAAAAACAGATCTATGCGAGGTCGACCCTTGACCTTCCAGTTGCTAAATCCAACGGCCATGTTGTTCTTCCTCATATCTGATTTCTCCCTCCTTCAGTTCATGACACAGAGACTCCCAGTTGTCTTCCTGTCTTTCTGGGTGCTCTCCTGGGAAAAATCTCTCCCTCTGCCAGCACCTTAAAAACTGTTTTTCCCAGGACCCTATCTCCCAGTCCTCTTCCTATTCTGCTCTCTCCCAGGGAGATAATCCCACCCCTGCCCACCACTGTGGTTTCAAACATTTCTACACCCTGATGATGTCCAAATGTGTACCTCGAGACTAAATTCCTTTATTAACTCCAGACATACACATCTAATTGCCTTTCTGTAATGGACAGAAACTTCTAGTTTCTTCAGCCACCTCAAAGGCAAATATCCAAAACTGAATCCATCATCTTTCCTTACCAAACCCATTCCCTCTCTTTACTCTCTATCTGGGTGAATGCCACCATCATATAGCAAATGTCTGAGTTAGGAAGCCAGGAGATAAGCAAAACTAGTTTTTCTTCTCCACTCTCTACATCTACAACTAAGTCCTATCGCTGTTCTCTAATCTGGCCCCATATTCCATCTGCACCACTTCTGCCCTAATTCAGGTCCCCACGATTTCCTGCCTAGAACAACTGAGAACCCTCCTTAGAAATTGCCCTTACCTCAATAAAGCTAGGACAGAAGTGCCCAAAATTCTCATCCACCTTCAGCTTCCAAGTACCATCAGGAGGGCTCTGTCTGATATAAAACCTGATCACCTGTTCAAAATTCCTCCAAGGTTTCCAGCTTCTATAACATTCCAAATCTTTCACGATGTGTGGAGTCAGGCCAGGCTCCTCTTCCTTGCCCCTGTACCCACTTTGCAGCTGAACCTCCAGTCACATGATGCTATTTGGAGTCCCTATCCTCTCACCTCACGGGGTTTTGTGTGTACAGTTGTGCCCACCTGGAATGTTCTCCCTACGTGCTTCAGACTAGGCAACTCCTCGTGTCCTTCCAGCCCCAGCTCAAATCTGGCTTCCTCCCCCACGCTCTCCTGACTTCCCAAGTAGACTCACTACACCTTCACCTCTGCATTCAGCATACTTTATACAATTGTATTCACACATCTACCTTCATGTCTTGGATTTATTAATGGTTTTATTTATTCCCAAAAGCATCTGATTTGGATACATAATATATAGTGTGATAGTGTAAATGTAAGTAGAGAGAAGAAAGGTAAAGAATGAGACACAGCACAGAGGGGACAGACAGCCTTGGTGGTCTACAGTCACCCAGGGTCCCATGGCCTGCACCCCTTCCTGGGAGCCCTTGCTGACCAGGAAAGGCCGAGCGGTCAAAGCACTTACAATGCATACACAGTAAAGACAAACCACTACTCAGTGAGCTGCAACCCCTCTCAGTACCACAAGTGAGCAGCAGTTCCACCAGGGCCTTCATACAAAGACACAGTCTTAAATAACTAATGAAATCTTTGGACAGCGTCCTCATGAGAGATGCAAGGCATTTACTTGGGGCTTTCTAGATAGTAATATTCAGAATGAACTGATACTATATATCAAGGCACAATTCAATGAAGGACACTGGGGTGAGGGGCTACTTTACATTTCAGTGTCTGGATCCCCAATCTGACTTGATCCGGGGTAGATTTCAGACTCATGTAAAGAAAAGATGAGCTTTGTGTCCTTTTAAGTAATGGTTCTGGCAGCTTGCTTTTGACAAGTAAATTTTTTTAAATACTGAGTATCGGTAAGCTCGAGATTATACCCAAACAAATGCTAGAATAGGAAAAAAGATGACATGCCACCAAGCGTACCTTGAAAGATAATTTATTTTAATAAACATCATGTGGCCAGCACTATGCTAGCTGTTGGAGAGAAAAATAAAAAGACCCAGCCCCTGCCTTTGACTCTATTGCGACCACCACATAGAAATATATGGTAACAGATATATTTGTCAAGCCTACTAAGCCTTAGAAAATAAGGTAGCCTTGAGAAAGCTGGGCTCTTTTTTTTTTTTAAGTAAGCTCTATGCCCACTGTGGTGCTTGAACTCATAACCTGAAAATCAAGAGTTTCATGCTGTATGAACTAAACCAACCAGGTGCCCCAGGGCTTTTTTTGTTGTTGTTGTTGGCTTATTATCTACATCTTTGGGTTACTTTAATGAATTCAGCAACACACAGATTACGATGTCAATTTTGCTTCATGTGTGTGTGCTTTTTTAAAGATTTTATTTTATTTATTTAACAAAGAAAGAGATGGTGAGAGAGGGAACACAAGCAGGGGGAGTGGGAGAGGCAGAAGCAGGCTTCCCACTGAGCAGAGAGCCTGATAGGGGCTCAATCCCAGGACCCTGGGATCATGACCCAAGCCAAAGGCAGATGCTTAACGACTGAGCCACCCAGGTGCCCCACGACATCATTTTTGGATTAACAAAATGAACAACCATTTGACATTTATAAGACTACAGATAAGTAGCTGGAGTGAAACAGCTCTAGTCTACTCACTAGTATGCTCCTTCCATCCCAAGTGTATAGCCCTATATTCTCCACCCATTCAGAACCCTTTATTTCAAAAAGGATTAAACCCATGTTGTTGCAAATGGCAAGAATTCCTTCTTTTTTGTGGTTGAGTAGTATCTAGAGGGTATAATGGTTGGTGAAATAAGTCAGTCAGAGAAAGACAAATACCATATGACTTCACTCATGTGCGAAATCTAAGATCTGAATGAAATGAACAAAAAAAGAAGAAGAGACAAAAACCCAGACTCTTAGAGAATGAAATAGTCATTACCAGAGGGAAGGTGGATAGGTGGATGAGGAAATGGGGGAATGGAGGAATGGGGGAAATAAATGAAGGGATTAGGAGTACAATTATCTAGATGAGCACTGGGCGATGTAGGAAGTATATCCAAAACTAATATAACAGCATGTTAATTATACTGGAATTTTAAAATAATTTAAAAAAGAAGATTGAACTCAAAACAGCTAACATCTGTTTCTAATTGCTTTAAGAATCTTTTAACTATAATTATCGGCACCTGGGTTTTACAACGGATTAATAAGACATCCTACCTCTAGAAACCCCTTTTGATCAGGATCCATATGGTTCAGAGGGATATAGGTATCATCAGTCTTCTGGCAAACAACCATTGCATGCCGCTGACTGAAAGTTCCACGGCCAACATCTTGCCCACTCAGACGGACATTGAAACCTTAAGAAAACAGGCAGGGAAAAAAGAAAAATCCAGACTCCCATGAATAACCTAAGTACTGACAAGGCATGGTGACCCTGAATTCTTAACACAATAGCTCATCCTGAGAATTTTCTGTAGCAAAGAGATTATCCTGATTAAAATATACCTGTGCTATATTCAAAAGTCTGGGTAATGTGAGAATATACAAGAATGGAGAGTTATCATTTGCTCTACAATCTTTAGAGGAAAATACCTTCCCAAGTCATCCAGCACAGAGCCTGTTTCCCAGCAAGAAATGCTCTGTCATTTATTCTCTGATGAAGGTTACCAACATGAGTTATACTAAGATTAAATATTGCCAAAGTAAGAAAAGTTTAGAGCCTCTCTAGTCAATGATAATGACGGGAGATAGCTCTAATTCAAAACCTCAGGGGTCACATATAACAGATGTCATACAAAACACTCCCTACCAGCTGTGCAGCTAACCAGAAACTTCTTACCCTGAGCAAGTAATGAGCCCAAGGCAAGAGCTTCTGCCGTGGCCCAGTCTAACTTTGTTCCATCCATCACTTTCTCCAGCCTGGACTGCAAAAAAATGGAAGGGCAGGAAAAAAAACAAAAAAGACACTTTTAAGAGTCTACCCCCTTTTTTACATGGAGTCCCAAAAATGTAATGCAATAACAGTAAGTATCAAAATCATAATATTAAGTAAAAGAGAAAGTGCAGAAGGAAACAGAACAGGACAGCAGTTCTAGGTTTTCAAACAGGCAAAACGAGCAGGCACTCGAGTTAGTGGCTAACCTCTTTATGGAAGACAGGAGATGGAGCCAGGGAGGGCGTGAGGGGGACCATCCTTCTAATATTCTAGTTCTTCAGCTGGATGGCAAGTACATAGATTGTTTTAAGAGTCTAAGCACCTGGGGTGCCTGGGTGACTCAGTCAGTTAAGCATCTGACACTTGAATTTGGCCCAGGTCACGATCTCATGGGTTGTAAGATCAAGGGACTCCCCACTCAGCGGGAGTCTGCTAGGACATTCTCTCCCTCTGCCCCTTCTGCCTTCATAACTTGAATTAGTAAGTCTTAAAAAAATAAAGTCTCTTTACGTATAATAAAAAACCTAAAGATGAAGTTAGCTTTGTAACAATCACCCAGAGGACAGTGTCTCTGTTCAAGTTTAAGTAAAGGCAAAGGCCTTTAGCGCCTTGCTTCCCCCATTTCTGCACGGAGAGTCCCACATTTTAGGACTCCTGAGGCGCAGGACAACTAAAACTTCAGTCTATATTTAACTTAAGACAATACATAAAACTGCGATGTGCATTAGCCTCTAAATGGTTGCCCTTGGGGTATGCATGTTGAATTTCTTCATTTTTATTTAAGCTACCCCCTAACATGAAAGTGTTTTTCTGTTCACTGGTCAGAAAAATCAAAGCTGGCATTCCTATGCCGCTGTACTTGTGATAACAGGCACGCTGCCCACGTGCATGTGATGTATTAACCATTTAATACATAAATAAACGGAGGGAAATGAGTAGTATTGACTCTCAGTACCAAACTCCACTGACTCTCAGTACCAAACCACGTATGTGCACTGGAAGGGAAGAAGAAAGAAAAAAGAAGTGGACACATCAGAGCTCAGTGACTATCAGTACCAAAACTTCACTAGGTTCAGCTCCCAGAACCTAGCGATCCACCATCAGTAACACTAATTCAAAAAGACCAGATCCACACCGATTTCTCTGTGACTCGAGACAAACAAACAGTAACCTGAAACTGTCAGGCTCCCTACCTGCACGTAGGTCTTCAGCAGATGACTGTGCATCTGGAGTTCCTCCGGCACCTCCACCGACTTCCCGCCAATAAACCGCAGGAGGTCGAGGGCCACACCAGTGTTCCAGGTGCTAATGCAGGCTGGCGGCTGGACCAGACCCTTCCAGTGCGCCTGCAGGTTGGCGGCTGGGGGGCTGTAGAGCGCCATGTTGGTTAAATGGTCATTTAACTTCGAGTAGTAGGAGGATTTGATTTCTGACACCTCTTCCCCAGTCATGAGTCCATTGGCAATCAGGTGCTCTGCATAGGTGTCCGGGATGCTCTTTCGGGCTCTGTGCAGCAAACAAGGGAGAAAAGTCAATCTGATCTGCAACAGTGGAAGAGTGACAGACACAGTCATTGTCAAAGGTATCACAGAGCATCATCACTGTAAGAAGGCAAGCAGGACATGTTCGGGAACTAGAGAGTGTGGGTGGTGGGACAACACGGTTAACATACTAGATGCCTCTGAATTGCTCACTTTAAAGTGATCCATTTTATGTTATGTAACTTTCACTCCAATATCTTATTTTTTTCTAAAGGCAATGGGGAGTAACAACCTCTTCCAAGGAAAAACAAAACTCTTCCAAGAAAAAACAAATCCATCTTTATAAGCTTTTGTCTACATTAAGGTAGAAATAATTAGTAGAGTTTTTCTATGAACATTCTGGACAGTTATTGACAAGACTGACCTACGTTGTCTACACCCTTATTTCAAAAAGTATTGAACTCAAAGTCACCAACATCCATTTTTGGTAGCTTTAATAATCCAGTAACCATAATAACCAGTACCTTGGTTTTACAATAATAATAATGATACTCTATGTTCACATAATACTTTAAACTACAAAGTTTGTTCACATACTTTATCGTATCCAGTCCTGACAAAAGAGGTAGACCAGACAGATATATATATATATATATATATATATATATATATATATATATTTTTTTTTTTTTTTTTTTTTAAATAAGGCCCTGAGCCACATCATGCATTCAGGAGCTAAATTCCAGATTTGTTCTTCCAAGAGCAATCTGCTACCTATGACCAGAATGACCTATAAAATGTCACTCAATTGGGGTGCCTGGGTGGCTCAGCGGATTAAACCACTGCCTTTGCCTCAGGTCATGATTTCAGGGTCCTGGGATCGAGTCCCGCATCAGGCTCTCTGCTCAGCAGGGAGCCTGCTTCCCCTTCTCTCTCTGCCTACTTGTGATCTCTCTCTCTCTCTGTCAAATAAATAAATAAAATCTTTTTAAAAAAAAAGTCACTCAGGGTGCCTGGGTGGCTCGGTGGGTTAAAGCCTCTGCCTTCAGCTCGGGTCATGATCCCAGGGTCCTGGGATTGAGCCCCACATCGGGCTCTCTGCTCAGCGGGGAACCTGCTTCCTCCTCACTCTCTGCCTGCCTCTCTGCCTGCTTGTGATCTCTTGCCTGTCAAATAAATACATTAAAAAAAAAAAGTCACTCAATTTATTCCTCTGCTTTCATTTATACCTATGAGGAACTAAAGTGGGGAAGGGGCTCTGTTGTACTTTCTAGTATCAAAAAAGGAAATTCCAAAGTAACATGTTTCTCTCCATCATATTAACCTTCTATCCCAGCACTGTCCAAAAGAAATGTAGCATGTCTACTGGGTATTTACCCCAAAGATACAAATGTAGTGATCCAAAGGGGCACTTACACCCCAATGTTTATAGCAGCAATGTCCACAACAGCCAAACCATGGAAAGAGCCCAGATGTCCATTGACAGATGAATGGATAAAGAAGATGTGATACAAACACACACACACACACACACACACACACACACACACACACACAAAATGGAATATTATGCAGCCATCAAAACATGAAATCTTGCCATTGCAATGATGTGGAAGGAACTAGAGGGTATTATAGTAAGTGAAATAAGTCAATCAGAGAAATATAATTATCATATGGTATCACTGATATGCAGAATTTAAGAATCAAAACAGAGTATCATAGGGGAAGACAGGAACCAATGAAACAAGACTAAACCAGACAGGGAGACAAACCATAAGAGACTCTTAATCTTAGGAAACAAACTGAGGGTTGATGGAGAGAAGGTGGGTGGGGAGATGGGCTGACTGAGTGATAAGACATTGGGGAGGGTATGTGTTATGATAAGCACTGTGTATTGTGTAAGACTGATGAATCAGACCTGTACCCCGAAACAAATAATACATTATATGTTAATTTAAGAAAAATGTAGCATGAGGGGCACCTGGATGGCTCAGTGGGTTAAGCCTCTGACTTTGGCTCAGGTCATGATCACAGGGTCCTGGGATTGAGCCCCGCATTGGGCTCTCTGCTCAGCAGGGAGCCTGCTTCCCCCCCACCCCCGCCTGCCTCTCTGCCTACTTGTGCTCTGTCAAATAAGTAAATAAAATCTTTAAAAAAAAATGTAGCATTAGCCAATGTGTAATTAAAAATTTCTTAGCAGTCACATTAGAAAAGGTTAAAAAAAACAGGTAGAATTAATTTTCATAACAAATTTATTTAACTCAATATGTGCAAAATATGGTCACTTTAATACTTTTATCAACATAAAAATAAGTATTGAGATAGTTCACATTTTTCTTGACAGATGAAGTCTTTGGAACCTGGTGTGTATATCACACTTACAGCCCCTCTCCAGCAGGACCAGCCACATTTCAAGTGTTCAAGAGCCACATATGATAGTGCCTCCATATTGGATAGCACAGTTCCCAAGATCCCTTACAACTGTCATGTTACCTCTTGCAGAGGCACCAAGTGAATCACGGAGGACCGGTTTCTGGTCCTGTCAATGGCATACTATGGGCTCTGCCCAAGTCCTCCTACTTGTTTCCCATCTGCCAAGTGATGTTGGTAAATTGCCTTTGTTTATTCATCAAGCAAATGAGTAGAGTTTGAAGAATATGGGGACCTTTCCTGGGACCCACAGAATGACCACCCCAGTTTGCTCAGGACTGTCCCAGTTTTAGCACCGAAAGTTGTGTGCGTTAGGCAACCCATGGAGCTGGTCACCCTACTTCAGAGCATCTCATAAAAATAGTAAAAATAATGTGAGCCCTATGGGGGCGAGGGGATCTTCAACAAAGGTTTATAATTGTACCTGATGATCTTGTACATGACCGGGTTGGTGAAGAAGGGCTCATCCAGCTCATTGTGGCCCCACTGCCTGTAGCATAACAAATCAACAATCACATCCTTCCGGAAATGGCGCTGGTATTCAAAAGCCAGTTGTGCGGCACGGACCACTTCCTCTGGGCTATCTCCATTGACGTGGATGATGGCGCAGCCCACAAGCTTTCCTGAGGCAGAGAAGACAGATGAAACCAGCCAGCTATCCCCATACGACATTAGCCCACCTCCAACTCCTGTTGCCTGTGTGGGGAGGCAGCCCACAAAGTCAAGAGGTAGCTTGGCTGGGTGGTTAAGAACCCATACTTTGGAGACTAGCTGAGAGGAAAGAGGTCATGTCCCAGCTCTGTGACTTACTCTGTGACCTCAGTAAAGTTATGACTCTCAGTCTTCTTACCTGTAGAACTGAGATAATAGCTCCTACCTCTTAGCAATGTTGGAAAGATTACATGAGCTAACAAAGAGAAGTCCTACAATGTGTTTCCAGTATCTCTATCAAACTAATCACAAAAAATTCACATAGATAGGGATCTCTGGCTGGCTCAGTCACAGCAGCAAGAGACTCGATCTTGGGGTCATGAGTTCAAGCTTCACATCAGGTCTAGAGATTACTTAAAAATAAATGATCTTTAAAAGAAAATTCACACAGATAGCCCCAAAAGGCATCCAGGCCAGGGTCTAGGTGCAAAAATGGAAGAGTTTCTACCACCTAACAGTTTACTCTGTGAACTGGGTGATGGGTTTAAAAAAAAAAAAAAAAAAGGCCCTTTCTCTTCATACTGCCCAATTTCTGGGATAAAACAAGTCATCTTAGCTTCCTCACATCTAACTTCTAACCAAGACCACTTAGCCAAATTCACTGGTTGAACCTATTCTTCTTGATGAGGGCTTTGGGTACCCCAGGTCTGAATCCCCTAAAGACAAGTACCCTGGTGTTGTGCCAAATTCATTGATCCCTGGTTTTCACCACATCATTCAACTGGATTCTTGGACAATTTGAGATGGCAGCCTCTCAGTTCCGCTCTTGTCTTATTTCCCTGTATTCAAAGATCACACTCAGACTTTTCAAGGAATGTTAGTAACACTGTTGGTGACTACTGAGCCCATCTGATCCAAAATTTAAAATGGGATAACCAGAGAGGCTCACTCTTCTAAGTAAACTAGATATTTCTCTAGGGCTGCCTCCCTGTGTCACATACCGATGTCACTGCAGTATAAGGAAGATCTTCCTCTTTCTGCAGGAGTGGTGTAACCCAGCTGGTTATTGACAATCAGATGAACACTCCCACCTATTCTGAAATGTGGGAGACTAGACAACGTAAATGTTTCAGGAACAATCCCCTGACCACAGAAAGATGCATCACCGTGAACCTAAATCATGGAGGAGAAAATGAGAAAATGAACATAAGGGGTGTAGAAATTTATGTTTCCAATTTGGAATAAATTGTTTTCAAATAATAACAGGAATAAAAACAACAATGCTCTCTCTCACTGCTCCCCTGCCTTCCCAAAACTCTGCTGGTTCTGTACAGGATTTTCTAGAAGGATTGCCTGATCTCAAGCAGGTTTCAAAGCCCCTTTCCTCTTGTGACCACCACCGGCCAATCCATTCTTCCCACCACCACATTATCACTCACATGCATCATTTCTAATATACCCAACAACATTCTAGAACAAACAACAACACCACAGAAGGAAGGGCTATTGGAGGTATAGAAGGAAAATCAGCCCAGCACAGTTTTCAGGAAAAAAGACTGCAAGACATGAGGAACGGTACACAGTTTTGAACCCTCTCTCTTCCCCAATCATCCTACATCTAAAGAGAGTCCGTGTGCACCTTGCATCTCCTGGTCCCCATTGGGTGTACTGGCCACCCCTTGGAACATAAAGAAGGGTGATCTGACTGCAAACACAGGAGACAGGGGGGACAGTCTCTCACAGGTGAGTGAAAGGATGCTTTAAGGAACCAACAAAATACTACCACACAACATCTGAAATGTGCTATTCTTCCAAACCATTTGAAGTCTGTTAGATCACAGTATCACCACAAAACCTGATGGATGGAAAGCAGTAGAGAAAAAGGGAAATCTCTTTTAGAAAAGTTGAATGCAAATAATAAGGGAATTGTAGATCTTAGAAGATCTTAGAAGATATGAATTCTACTGACTTCAGGCTAAAAGGAGATTACCTGTCAAATCAACATGTTATACCCCTTAAATTTATGTAATGTTATTATCAAATATATTGCAGTAAAAAATAAATTAAACAAAAGGCTAATATCAAAATGATGGACTAAAGAATAAAATGATCTCAGATGCCCTAAGAACATGACCATTGCAATTCTAACAATAACAGAAGTAAAAGACTTTAATATGTGTGAAGGAAGAATACTTGGAAGTAGATTTTTTTAAAGGACATTGAAAATGTCCTTAATATAGTCATTTTTTAATGTAAATAGAATATTCTGGCTAAGAAAGGAAGTACTGCTTTGCAGAAGTGACATTTCCAAGCTACACCTTCCCTTGGCTAGGGACTATATGGATGACCTCCATTTTGGAGTATCTATACCTAGTAATAACATACCTTTACATTATCTGCACAGCATTAACCCATTCAAGGTGGGGCAGGGGGAGGGGATGCAGAAAAGAAAGTCACTACTGTCCTTTTTACAGATGAGTAAACCAAGGTTCACCAAGAGTGTATATTTCACATTGGAGTAGACACTAGGCCTTCTATGGTACCTCTGTTTTTTTTTTTTTTCTATGTATTTCTCCACCCCTCCAAGCATTTCTCCTGGATCAAGGAACTTATGTACATGGTCTCATTTAATTCTCAGAACACTATGAAGAATGCAGTATACTCCCATTTAGCTATGAGATTCAAAGACCCTAAGTAACAGAATCAAGCACACCAAGCCAGAAAGCAGCAAAGGCAGGATTTGATCTCAAGTCTTCTTGGTTCCACAGTCTTTGTCTTTTCTGTACCACATTACACTGTAAAGTCCGACTCTTAGCCACCAGGTCCAAGGGCTCTGGGCATCTGAACACTCCTCCTTGATGATGGAATATCTGGGGGATATCAGTGTAAGTGGAGTTCAGTAAAGCAAGGAAGAGGGAGGGATGTGTGCCTCTTCTGCTCCTTTAAAAAAATGTTACAGAAGAGGCATTGTTAAGAACATACCATCTGGGGGGTGCCTAGGTGGCCCAGTCGGTTAAGCATCTGACTCTTGATTTCAGCTCAGGTCATTATCTCAGGGCTGTGGAATGAAGCCCTGCATCAGGCTCCATGCCCAGTGCTGAGGGTGGGGCCTGCTTCAGATTTTCTCTCTCACCTCCCTTTCTTTTACTTCCTGCCCCCCACCTCTCTCTCCCTCTCTAAAAAGAGAACATAACATCTGGTGTCAACCATTCTCAAACAAAAATTTCTCAGAAAAAGAACATAACATCTGCTCATAACTTGCATCGTTTTATCATGGTCTTTGGATTCCTGGCACTAAAGCACACATGTGCCATTTGCTAATTTTATTTTCTTCTTAAATCAGAAGAGAACCCACTCCACTATGCCCCATAAAGCTTTTTGGGAGTAAGGGTCCATACGTACAAACAAATGCTGGGTTAGGTGGGAGCTGCCCAGGCCAGGGGGTTAGACACATGGCCAAGGGGTTAGAAACATGGCCGGGGTTTAGATACATGGCCAAGGTGTTAGAAACATGGCCAGGGGTTAGACACACAGACATCATAAAGGACGATCTACCTTCACCAGGTTCAGGACCCAGATAAAGAGAAGACAGGCAGAAAAAGAAGCATCCAGAATCTCACCTACCAGGATTTTATAGGCTCCAAATTTAGAGTTCTCAGAAGAAGTTAGAACTGTGTCCTTGAACAAGGCAAGACATGTACAGACACAGCAGGGCAAAATAATTTCGGAACACAAAGTAGACAAAAGAGAGCAGTCAGTTGCTCAGCACTTTAAAGAGATCGGCACTTTCACCTCTTACTTTGGAAGTCCATGCAAAGACCTACTTCACTCACTGGGTAAACGTGAATGACGGAAATACTTTAAAGTATCATGAATTAAGTCAAGTGACAGGTAAAGAGAATGATTAACAATGTAACATTTCCATTTCAAAATACCATACTATAGTCAAATGCAATGCTGCCTACCCCCAATTTACTTATTATAAGTTTCTGGCTCATGAAAATTAATATGAGATAATAAGATACAATTGGTATTCATTTACATAGCCAAATATTCTCCTGCCTTACAGATTTACCTATGCCTGTGGGGTTTAAAGACTCAGTGACTAATGCCCAGAATTAATTATTGCCCAGTAGTTAAAGGTTCATATTTAAATGAATACTCATAGGAAAAAAAAATGTGACCCAGAGTCCAAACCTCTAGGCTGTCGGGTTACAAAAAACTGGCGGTTGGAGTGGATAAAGGAAGTAAGAGCCACACTAATGATCAGTACTGGTTGCCTTAGTGCCAAACACCTTTATTTTATTTTATTAGTATTTTTTTAAGCAGGCTCCACACCCAGCATGTAGCCCAATGTAGGGCTTGAACTTAAAACCCTGAGATCAAGACCTGAGCTGGGACCAAGACTCGGGTGCTTCACTGACTGAGCCACCTAGGTGCCCCAAGACCTTTACTGTGAAACAAGCAAGCCTTGTTAGATATATGGAGACCATGTAGTTTCCTAAAAGTAATAAAATCTGTCCTCTGAAAAGCATCAGGGATACCACTCAATACTCCCTTAAATAACACACACAACTCAAGAAAGGAAAACATAAGACACACCATAAGGGACTCTTAAGCATAGGAAAGAAACTGAGGGTTGCTGGGGGGATTGGGGGAACTGGGTGACGGACATTCAGGAGGGCATGAGATGTGATGAGCACTGGGTATTATATGAGACTGATGAATCACAGACCTATACCTCTGAATCCAATAATACATCATACGTTAATTAAATAAATTTAAATTTTAAAAATGTTTAAAGTGGTTCTTCAAAAAAAACCAAAAACAAAAACAAAAAGAGTGAAACCTGAGTCTAAAGTCAGTTGCCTTGAGACTGGACCTCTATCTGCTATCAATTTTAAAAACAAGCCCTGAATCTTCTTTTCCCAAAATTTCATCTTTTCTCAATTTCATCTTGAATATCTACCATCTCCCTTTCCCTCCTCCTGGTCTCCCCAGCCTCCTGCCTCACTTCCTGAAGCTACAAGTACCTGTAAGCAAATGACTTTGTCCCCAGGCTGAGCAGAACTATCTGGGGAGTAGTCCCCATCCTGTCTAGACTGCTGCCTTCCACGAGTCTTCCCCACCGCCACGGGGTTGACAGCTTCCAGGTGCGAGGGGTTAGGCAGCATGGTCACGTGGAGGGGATGGTGCGCGCCGAAATCCAGATCAACGGAGGAGGTCAAGTGAGACAGGACATCTCCAGTGGCTGAAACATTTTCCGGAAATTCACTTAAGCCTCTCATTTTACGAAACATCAGCTGTTATGAAAAAATACACAAGAAAAAATGTCTTTTATCACAATGGAGACCGGAGATAAGTGGTTAGTTTAAATCAAACAATTGAAAAAACTTTACACCCATGCTTGTATAACTATGATCACCATGCATTCTTAAAAAAGAAAGGCACAAACTTCCAACTGCTCAAATGCCCAGAATTATTTGGAGATCTTCACCATCACATGAAATACTAACACTTTGAGAAGAGTCTATCATGACTATTTAGACATGTAGATAGTAAGGTAGTAAACTGTTCGTTATCGCTGCCTCGCAATATGCAAAATAATTTTTCTTTTTTTTTTTTTTTTAAGATTTTATTTATTTGACAGACAGAGATCACAAGTAGGCAGAGAAGCAGGCACAGAGGAGGAAGCAGGCTCCCTGCTAAGCAGAGAGCCTGATTTGGGGCTCGATCCCAGGACCCTGGGATCATGACCTGAGCCGAAGGCAGAGGCTTTAACCCACTGAGCCACCCAGGCGCCCCCAAAATAATTTTTCTTTTCTTTCCTTTTTTTTTTAAGAATTTATTTATTTATTTGACAGAGAGATCACAAGTAGTCAGAGAGGCAGGCAGAGAGAGAGAGGAGGAAGCAGGCTCTCCACAGAGCAGAGCCCGATGTGGGACTAGATCCCAGGACTCTGAGATCATGACCTGAGTCAAAGGCAGAGGCTTAACCCACTGAGCCACCCAGGTGCCCCCAAAATAATTTTTCTTAAATACAACCGTTAGAATATATTCTCTGAAAGAACTTTTTATGAATCTTGTTAAAGGTAGACAGGAAAGGGTATTGGGTGGCTCAGTCGGTTAAGCATCTGCCTTTGGCTTAGGTCACGATCCCAGAGTCCTGGGATGGAGCCCCATGTCAGGCTCCCTGCTCAAATGGAGAGCCCGCTTCTCCCTCTCCCTCTGCCTCTGCTCCTCCCCACCATTCATGCTCTCTTTCTCTCTCTCAATTAAATACATAAAATCTTTTTAAAAAGGGGGAGTAGACAGGAAAATGATAGAACAGAACTTAATCCCATTTAGACACAAGATGACATCCATGATTAGCTCAAGTCATGCCTAAAAAGTTCTACTGTCCAATTCTCAAAGGACTTCACTTCATTTTCCCAGTCTACCTCGAGATAAACATTACTACCCACTTGAAAAATGCACAAGCAAGAGAAATTTACTAATTTAAAGGTCTTTAGCTAGTAAGTAAGAAAAATCAGGTCTCAAACCAAGGTAGTTACCAAAACCAGCATGTTGTCCTCATTTACCCAAATGGTTTGAATGACCCCAAAGCTTCTTACTGACCTATGGACAAACAGGAGCACACATCCTTACACAGTATGGGTATATCCATGTTTCTCACAAATATGATCATTCATAATTCAGCACTTTTCAGTTGTGTTTTTGTCTGTGATACTTTAAGAACACAATTTCTCATTTAGGGATTTCTGCCTGTGTTTCAGCACATGCCTCCATCTGTCAATCACTTTATTTTTTTTTTTTAAGATTTTATTTATTTATTTGACAGAGATCACAAGCAGGCAGAGAGGCAGGCACAGAGAGGGAAGCAGGCTCCCCGCTGAGCAGAGAGCCCGATGCAGGGCTCAATCCCAGGACCCTGAGATCATGACCTGAGCTGAAGGCAGAGGCTTTAACCCACTGAGCCACCCAGGCGCCGCTGTCAATCACTTTATTCTGTTTAGTCTGCCTTTTCGAAAGTATTTGTCTTTTAAGAGCTGACTATCAATCTCTTAGCATCAGAAACGCTGAGGTACGAGTAGTAGTGGTAAAGCTCAGCCCCCAGACATACCGTCATGTGTACCTTCTAGTGGTTTAAGGGTAACGCATCCTTCCATAGGCTCTATTCACTCCATTAACTTTCACAGTCCCTTTAACACTTACAATTACTTTTAATCTCCTGGCCAAGATCAGTAGTGAGGTTTATCCACACACAGCAGCCACCTTCTGGTTAAATTGCAAGTCACCCTGATGTTCTCGGACCTAAAATCTACAGCCCTAACTCTCCAGTCTTTTGAGAGACTAACAGAGCCGCTGAGTTGCACAGAATAGGAACACCAAGATCCAATTACCTATAAAACCTCTCAGGTGGCGGTCTCCGAGGATAACAATGTATTATTAGTTTTATAGAGGATGTTCAGTATAAACTCTGCACATCAATGGAAAGTAAAACGGACTTCTTGGAAGGTAAAATTATAAGCAATCACACAGATCTTAATGTTTGTTTGAATAATTTCTATTACATTAGGAAAGCATGCTTCAGAGAACAGGAATTACCTATTCATGTCATCCTTGAGAAAACTAACCTTTACCTTCCCTGAGAGAGAAAGAATCCATATAAGAAGACACAGAAAATCAACTCAAATACCAGATCTATCCATCAACTTATTAAGCTATCCCCCGGGCCAACAGCGCAGAGCTTTACTGGGTTTCTAAGGAATGATTATTGTTGGCTCTATTCTGTTACAATCAGTTGTGCACCATCGAAAGTATCTTACCTCTGGAGGGAACTGCAGAAGGCCTGTTAATAAATTAAGCCTCCCTCTGTGGGGCATGCCAATAATCACATCCGTGATCCCACTGTAGGCTGCCATTTTCAGCAACTCGTGGAAAAAGCCCATCATGCTTTCCGCTCCTTCACCCCCATACCGCTTCACTGTGGCAAACTTGGTGGCCAAAAAGTGGTCAAACTCCTGTGGAACATCACGTCAAACACATTTGTTATGGGAAGAGAGCCAGCTATTCAGGTCCAAGTCAGACACGTTTCTGTGTGTTGTGGGGAGACCTTACGCTAGTTTAAGAAGGTGCAGCAGTGCCCCTTCATGACGTACTCCGGAGACAGATGTGACTAGTTCAGGGCATGGCAGGAACGCCTGGCCAAGGACACCAGGCAGCAGTGGGAAGGCAGAGAAAATAACATGAGTGGTAGAATAACTTAGCCCCAGAGGAAGCCTCTTAGAATGTATTCTTCTGGGGAGAAAAAAAAAAAAAAATGTGTTCTTCTTCTTTTTTTTTTAAAGATTTTATTTATTTACTTGACAGAGAGAGATCACAAGTAGAGAGAGAGAGAGGGAAGCAGGCTCCCTGCTGAGCAGAGAGCCCGATGTGGGACTCGATCCCAGAACCCTGGGATCATGACCTGAGTCGAAGGCAGCGGCTTAACCCACTGAGCCACCCAGGCACCCCAGAATGTGTTCTTCTGAAGCAAGGGCTGGGCCTTTCATTCTGCCCCTCCTAGCCCCTGAGCTTTAGTAGAGGCCTCTACAGTACTCTTTCCTCAGGGCTGCAAACCATCCAACTATCCAAATTACTGGGAAGTTTTCTTGTCGTCTTGGTATGCCAGAGCCTGATCCAAGCCCTGACAAATTCAATTTTATTTATTTTGTACCAAGAGCTTTCGTGCATAGCTTTCTTTGATTGCTTGAGGTAATAAGAAGAGAAGAGCTTAAGGATTTTGCAGTCTTTTAGAGAGTGAATAGGCAAATATATAAAAAGTATTTTGACTCTGAGGAGAACCAACAGCTCTGGTGTTTGGCGATCTAGCCTTTTCTACTGAGAATAAAGTAGCACATGTTATACTGTCCGTTGTGTTGAGGCAATGGGATTAATGGGGTAAATAAATGCTTTAATTCCCTTTCTTCAATATTTATGCATCTTTGTAAAAAAATGAGCCACGCTATTCCATTAATATTCACTGGCACTTTTATACCTGGGATTCTAGCATTAGTTTTGACAGATGTTTTCGCTCTTCTGTGCTAAAGGTCTCTTTCTTCAGTTCCTCAAATCGCTTGGCAAACCAGTCTTTCTCCTCCTGGCTCTGAAGTTGGGAGGTTTCAATAGAAATTTGCCCACAGTAGATTTGGTTGAGATAGGCCAGTACTTCCTCAAGAGAGGCCTCCTCCTTCCCCATGTTTAATAATCCTACAAAATGGAATCAAAGGGATCATTTTAAAAAGCAACCAACCACGTAATTACAGAACATACAAAATATTTCAGTTCAGAGTATTTTGTTCGGATAACTCAGATCATCATCAATGGCTATCTAGATTTTTCTAAAGGCAAAACTAAAATTATGACCAAAGGCCATGAAGTAGTCATACTAGGAGAGGGAATATAAATCTTTGCTTTATGCTAAATTTTGATTGTATGGTAACTTCAAACTAAAAATTGAAACCTGATATTCATCTGCTTTATAGCTATAAATCAATGTCCTACCTTTATCTAAAATATCTTCCCAAATGTTCAAGTCTTGTTAATACCTATAAAGTAGTGTCTACCATTGAGCAGCTGGTCTTAATGTGAATTAATATTGATAGCAAAGCAATATTTTAAGGTCAAGGGAAATCTATCCAACTCTCAGTCAAAAAAAGGGAAGGTTTGTAATATATCAATAGCTCAGCACAAACCAATCATCCATCATTCGCCTGAACCTACAACTTGAGTTTAACAAACTAACACTTACTTTATTATTGCTTATGGTTTCTTACAATAAACTTTGATACCGACTGATCATTCAACTTACAGAAATTGCTTTGTGTTCCTTAGCTTCTCTGCTTCACATTTTAACCTATAAAACGGGAGCAGTCAAAGCACGTTAGGGGGGAATTGTTAAGATTAAATGAGATAGGAAATAACACAATGTCCACTGATGGGATAAACCAAATGTGATGCAGCCATTCGATGGGGTATTATTTAGCCACATAAAGGAATGAAGTACTATGTTACAACATGGATGAAACTTGGAAACATTATGCTACAGGGAAAAAAGCCAGACACAAAAGGGCATAGTGTGACTTTATTTATACAAAATGTCAAGAATAGGCAAGTCTATAGAAACAGAAAGTAGAGTAGTGGTTGCCAGGGGCTGGGGAGAGGGCAAAATGGGGAGTAACTGCTAACTAGGCACAATATTTCTTTTTGGGGTGATAAAAATGTTCTGGAACTATCTTGATGTGCACAACATTGTGGATGTATCAAGTGTTGTTGAATTGTATACTTTTAAATGGCTCAAGTGGGGGGCGCCTGGGTGGCTCAGTGGGTTAAAGCCTCTGCCTTCAGCTCAGGTCATGATCTCAGGGTCCTGGGATTGAGCTCCACATCGGGCTCTCTGCTCCGCGGGGAGCATGCTTCCTCCTCTCTCTGCCTGCCTCTCTGCCTACTTGTGATCTCTGCCTGTCAAATAAATAAATAAAATCTTTAAAAAATAATAAATAAATAAAATAAAAAATAAAAATAAATAAATGGCTCAAGTGGTGGGGCACTCAGCTGGCTCAGTGGATAGAGCATGACTCTTGATCTCAGGGTTGTAAATTTGAGTCCCATGTTGACTGTAGAAATTACTTAAAATAAAATTTTTAAAAATGGTTAAAGTGGCAAAGGTTATGTGTACCTTACCCCAATAAAAACTTTTAAAAAACTAAAATCATTAAATGTGATAATGCAGAAAAGCATGCAGCTTAAAAAATTGCTTTGGGTTTCTCTCATTTTCTGCTCTTCTTATTAACTACATGTATTTCAAATATGCAGACCCATGTCTCTAAAAGAAGAGATATAAAAATATGTGGCTATAGATAAACATAGATTCATCCATCCGACGAGCAAGTTTGGAGAACCTACTATATACCAGAAGCAATACTGGCTTCTGGTATATAGTGTTCAAACATGGCTGAGAAATGGTCTTTTTCAGGGAGCCTGGCTAGCTTAGGCAGGAGAACATGCAACTCTTGATCTCAAGGGTGTGGGTTCAAGCCCCACAATGGGCTTACTTAGGGAGGGGGAAAAAAGGTTTTTTCCCTAAATGAAATTTAAGCCTTATAGAGAAAAATTTATAAACAAGTAATGATAATACTATGTCATATCAACAAGTGGTTTTTCCTAGTAACAAGACTGTACCTTCTGTTAAGTAACTTCGTATTTCTGGTTACTGCTGAATGGAGGGCTCGAGAATATTTTTTAGGGGGGCTTTGTTCTGAAGTCAGATAAAGTTTTTTACCAGTTTTGGTAATTGTGCTATTGTTGAGAGTTGCCCACAGTACTAGGAGAACACAGGTGAGGGAATACTGAACACTACCTTGGCAAGTTCTGGGCAGGTCTGCCTCACAGAGCAGGCAGTGCTTGCTGAATGCTTAAAAATGAACAGGAATGTCCTAGATTGATGAGGTAGAGACCTATAGGAACTCCATGCAAAGTCATGGACATATGAGTGGACACAGTATCAGGGACCTGTTAGAAGACTCAGCAAGAATAAGACACTGAAACAGTTAGCTTTTCCACTCCTGAAGGGCCATTTACATTATGATAGGAGCATGGATTTTGTCTCAGAGACCCCCCAACTGAGAATTACTTAGCTGAGTCTAGTCAAATTCTAGAACTACATGGTAATGAAATTGTTGTGCCCTAAACGTCACTACATTTTGGAGTGGTTTATTACCAGAACATTACTAACTGAAGCATATACCAGAATTTGACATTGGCCAAGATTAACTTTAAAAAAATGATGTGAGGGACGCCTGGATGGCTCAGTTGGTTAAGCAGCTGCCTTCGGTTCAGGTCATGATCCCAGCGTCCTGGGATCGAGTCCCACATCGGGCCCCTTGCTCGGCAGGGAGCCTGCTTCTCCCTCTGACTCTGCCTGCCTCTCTGTCTGCCTGTGCTCGCTCTCTCTCTCTCTCTCTCTCTGACAAATTAAAAAAAATAAATAAATTAAAAAAAAAAAAATTATGTGAGAGTGTGTGACTCTCATTCTCGGGGTTGGGAGTTAGAGCCCCACATTGGATGTAGAGATAACTTAAAAATAAAATCTTTAAAAATAACAGATAAAGCAATGACATGGATGGAATGAGAGGGTATTATGCTAAGTGAAATAAGTCAGAAAAAGACGATTATCATATGATCTCCCTGATATGTGGAATTTGAGAAACAAGGCAGAGGATCATGGGGGAAGAGAGGAAAAACTGAAATGGGACAAAACCAGAGAGGGAGACAAACCATAAGAGACTTATAATCTTGGGAAACAAACTGAGGGTTGCTGGAGTGGTGGGGGGTAGAAGGGATAGGGTGGCTGGGTGATAGACACTGGGGAGGGTATGTGCTATGGTAAGTGCTATATATTGTATAAGACTGATGAATCACAGACCTGTGCCCTGAAACAAACAATATATCATATATTAATAAATATATATCTAATAATAATAAAAAAATAAAATAAAATAAAATAAAAATATGACATGAGATGAACCCAGGATCCTGACAGGTTATCCATTCCCAACTGGGCAAGAAAAAAGGCAGAAAAAGTTCAGGCTACAGAAATGGAAGGTGACGTGGGTTGTCACCTCACCTCCGCCATTTTTTCACTACTAGCTACTTAAGTTCTCTGAGTGTCTCTTTTCCTAAACATAAAGGAAAGACAGCAGTAACTTCTTTAGAGAGTAAGTATGAGAATTAATTGACATAATGGATATAAAGTATCTGGCACATAATGGGAGTCTGACTTTATTTTATTATTATTATTTCAGGGCTTGCAATTTTTTATTCATTTTTAAAGTAATTTGTTTTCTTTTCTGGAAAGAGCACTGACCATAAGATCTGTTTTCTTACCAAAGTTTTAAGTATACAATACAGTATTGTTAACTATAGGCCCTGTGGTGTATAGAGGATCTCCAGAACTTATTTATTTTTCATAACTGAAACTTTGTACCTTTTAACCCACACCTTCCCTTTTCCACCTCTCCCCAGACCCTGGGAACCATCATTCTACTGGTTCTAGGAGTCTGACTATTTTATTTTGTTATTGTCCTTAAATATTGGAAGGCTTCATGAATTTGCACACTTTCCTCATGCAGGGACTCAGCTAATCCTCTCTGTATCATTCCAATTTAAATATCTGCTGCTGAAGCTAGCACGAGTTTGACTATTTTAGATTCTTCATACAGTGGGATCGTGTAGTATCTGTCCTTCGGTGACTATAATCCCCTCAAGGTTCATCCATGTTGTCACAAATGGCAGGATTTCCTTCTTTTTAAGGCTGAATAATATTCCATTTTGTGCATATACTGCACTTTTTTTTTTAAAGATGGCTCTACACCCAACGTGGGGCTTGAACTCACATCTCCAAGAGAAGAGTTGTATGCTCTGCCAACTGAGCCAGCCAGGTGCTCCTCCACTGCATTTCTTTATTCATTCAGCCACTGATGGACGTTTCAGTGGTTTCCATATTTTGGCTATTCTAATAACGCCACAATAAACATGAGAATACAGATAACTCTTCAAGATCCTGATTTCAAGTCCTCTGGATAAACACTCAGAAGTGGGATTATTGAATCATAGGGTAACTCTATTTTTAGTTTTTCAAGGAACCTTTACATTGTTTTCCACAGTAGCTGTACCCACCTGCATTCCCATCAACAGTACCCAAGAGTTCCCTTTTCTCCACATCCTTACGAACACTTACTATTGTGTGTCTTTTTAATAATAGCCATTCTAATAAGAGTGAGCTAATACTATCTCATTGTGGTTTTGATTTGCATTTCCCTGATGATGACTGATGCTGAATACCTTCCCATCTACCTGTTGGCTATTTATATGTCTTCTTTGGTGAGTAGGTTTTTAAACTCAGAGGAAATGGGCCCTATGGAAAGACTATTCTAGAACCTCCAGAGAGGTCCTCATAGACAGTGCTTGAACATGCTCCTCATTGTCGACTGGAAGCCACAGCTCCAGGGGAAATGTGGATTCTTTAAGAACCAAGAAAGGAGCCCTTCCACCTGTTGGCAGCGAGTTGACACATGGACAGTCTAGTGTCAATGGCTTTACCTGTGGTATTAAAATGTCCCTGAAGGGTCTGTACAAGAGCTTGGATCTCAGGCACGTTCTCCTGCAAGGCTTGTCCACTGAAGAGGGGGTTGATTTTGGCAGCTTTATGACCATGTTCACAATATGCTGTCACCAATCTGGCAAGACCGTGATCAACTGATTCAAGGGGGAAAGAAAACAGTACAAACAATTTAGGAAATCCCCACAAACCAAAAAAATCAGTTTTTTTCAAAGAAGTCCTTGCTGGCTTAGACTTTTTAAATGTGTTGCTCCTACCACTACATCTCAGGATTAAAGACTACAGAATCCAGGAAAACACACTCATCTCCTTAAATTTATCTTGTGAGCGCTAAAGCCACTAGTGGAAAAGAGAGAACTGAATGCACATATGTATAAACAATTATGCCTGTCAATAATCATAAAAGGAAACACCCCAAATTGAAAAGAATTGTTCAAATGCTGAGATTCTGGATAATTATAATTCTCTTATTATTTGAGATTTTTAAATATTTGAGATTTTTAAATATTTGGTAGGGCGCCCAGGTGGCTCAGTCATTAAGTGTTTGCCTTCAGCTTAGGTCATGATTCTGGGGGGTCCTGGAATCGAGCCCCACATCAGGCTCCCTGCTCAGCGGGAAGCCTGCTTCTCCCTCTCCCACTCCCCCTGCTTGTATTCCCTCTTGCTTTGTCTCTGTCAAATAAATAAATAAAAATCTTTAAAAAAATTTTGACATAAAAAGGGACACCTGGGTGGCCCAGTCAGTTAAGCATCTGCCTTCAGCTCAGACCATGATCTCAGGGTCCTGGGATGAGTACGGCATCAGGCTCTCTGCTCAGTGGAGAACCTGCTTCTCCCTCTCCCTCCACCTGCCATTCCCCCTGCTTGTGCACTCATGCTCTCTCACTCTCTCTCTCTTGTTCTCTCTCTGGCAAATAAATAAACAAAATCTTTAAAACTATACATTTTACATTAAAAAAAAAAAAAGAAATGGGACTACAAAATCAATGTTACATTTCCTTCTCTATTTCTTAAAGGCTCCTGGTACAGTTATTTCATAGACTCATGAAATCTTACACTAGAAAAAGAGCTTAAAAATCATCCTGTCACTCACATGATTAAAAAAAAAGAAAGAAAGAAAGAAAGAAAGAAAGAAATACCCTTTATAAAGCCCTAAATGAGTGGTTCCTTGGTCTCTGCTTGGAGGAGAGGCATTATCTCTCAATGAATTCAATTGGTGATTTTCTATTGAGCCAGAAACTGCTTTTCTTCGCCTTTTCCACACGAAATTTCTTCCCAAATTTGAAGAAAAAAAAAAAATCCTACATGCCCAAACTCAGTTCACCTTCAGTTCAACAAGGCAGCCTTACAAACTGAGCGCGAATCCCTAAAGACGAGCAGATCTACTCTTAAGGGCACACATTTTCTGAACATTTTTTTCAGTTTGTGTTTTTCTTCTTAGAACCCAGAGAAAATTGTTAGCATATTTTGAAACATCTAGTGACTATTTCATGAACCTTTATTGCCATGTAGTGAGCTACACATGTGCTTGGGTTTGTAGTCAGAGAACTGCAAAATGTACCTCCTGCTGTAGGCTCATAGGAAAGAGCAAAGATGAAATGAACATGTAAAAGACATGTTCACACTAATACAACAGTTAGGAGGTTCCATACTATGTCTAATAAACTAGTAAAGGAATCAAACAATCCCAGAAATGAATTGATTTCAGTCTGGAGGGTAGTCACATGAATTGCTGTAGGGCTCTACCCTGAACTCTACTGAAGTTCTCAATTGCTGTTACGACATAAGAAACCTTCAAATCTGTGGCTAAAATCCAGATAGGCCATGTCTAAAGCATTGTCCCCATTGGCCATGCCTTAAAAACACATTCTTGGGGCACCTCGGTGGCTCAGTGAGTTAAGCCTCTCTGCCTTCAGCTCAGGTCATGATCTCAAGGTCCTGGGATTGAGGCCTACCTTGGGCTCGCTGCTCAGCAGGGAGCCTGCTTCCCCCTCTCTCTTTGCCTGCTTCTCTGCCTACTTGTGATCTCTGTCAAATAAACAAATAAAATCTTTAAAAAAATTTTTTTTTCCTCCCTGCCCAAAAAAAAGCAAAACAAAACACATCAAAAAAGCCCACATTCTTCCCTGGGCTTCTGTGGCATTGCAAGATCCCAGCTTTCCTCCCAGCTCACTGGCTACTCAACCTCAGTCATTTGGGGGGAGCTCTTTCTTTGCCCATCTCTATAATATTAGTGCTCTGCAAGTCTGCTCAGAGCCTTTTTCTCAATCTGTTTTCTCCTGCAGGGTCATCTCCTGCACTTTCTGCAGCTTCTAGTAACGTACAAAAAACTACATCTCTATCGGGACAAGTCCAGTAGTACATATGTGGGGTTATCATCAGCAGTCTCAATCAAATCAGTAGCCGCGTTGAAAACATTCTCTTAGTGAACCTATGTCACCTGACGGAGGTCAATGCTCCGATTTCTAACTGCTTGCCAGGCTTTTCATTTTACTCTACAGCTGGGGCGTGGTGTTGGCACAAGAACATGTGGCCACTGGGCCACTGCGTTTCTGGCAGAGCCAAAGAGATACCCTCCCCTCCGTACCTCTACGCATATCCTACATCCACCCCGGCAATCTGTTTTCTCTCAGACCCTCCTACCATTGTTCTGGTTTCTTCTGGGGACCCAATCCCATATCCCTTCCCTCTGCCTCCCAGATCTTTCCATTGTGACCTCCGGAATTCTGCTCCATGATTAACGAGCCTCTCTGCATTCTTACCCTCTTCTTTAAACATTCCTTATACCCCTGTCCTAATTGGAACCTGCTTCCCCCCACCAGAGGACAGGGGGAGGTGAAGTTACTCATCCCACATCCACCCCTCAGGTATTGAAGGTGGGAGTCAAAGCCTCCTTGTGCCTCAAGGACAATCCCCTATCCTTATTACATTCCCGAATTGTTAGGGTTCTAACTCGGCAAACCCCCAGTCCTCTGAGGGACATGCCATAGTATTGTCAACTAATTTCCATTTGCTAATAGCCATTACAAAACAATGTTATAGGAGAAGCTTAAGGAAAAAGTGTCAGTACATGTAGATAAAAAAGTCTATAAACAGTATATATAGCATGAGCCTGCTCTTCCTTAAAATGTGTATAGCACAGGGCGCCTGGGTGGCTCAGGGGGTTAAAGCCTCTGCCTTCAGCTCAGGTCATGATCTCAGGGTCCTAGGATCGAGCCTCACGTCGGACTCTGCTCAGCGGGGAGCCTGCTTCCTTTCCTCTCTCTCTGCCTGCCTCTCTGCCTACGTGTGACCTCTGTCTGTCAAATAAATAAAAATCTTTAAAAAAAAAAGTGTATAGCACATAATGCATATTTCAGCATGTAGTCTATAGTCTATATAGCATAATATTAGTATCAATATACTTCACATATATGTATGTGTGTATACATATTTCATATATGTCAAGGAAATGGACCAAATTCCTGATTTTTGGTTTTTCCTTATCATATTTGCTGAGTTTTCCACAATGAACATGTATAGAGCTCTTTAAATTGTACCCATTTAACTGACTTGTTGCCTCTTATACTCTGAAAGCTTTCTTTTTTTTTAAGGCCTTATTTATTTATTTTGACAGAGAGAGAGAGAGAGCAAGCACACAAGCAGGGGAGAGCAGCAGACAGAGAGGGAGAAGTAGGCTCTCCGCTGAGCAGGGAGCTGGATGTGGGGCTTGATCCCAGGACCCTGAGACCATAACCAGAGCCGAAGGCAGACACTTAACTGACCGAGCCAGCCAGGTGCCCCTGAAAGCTTTTGATTAGCAGGTTTTCTCCAGCGCACCTGGCACACCTGTCCCCACCAGTGGACTTCATGCTTGTACGAATTGGTTGTATTTGTTCCTATGGCTGTTGCTTTGGGCAAAAGTAAAATATTAGGGGGGAAATCATAAAAATCTAGACAGACATTGTATTCAGATTACTTCCATAAGTGCGCTTAATTTTAAAGATTTGCAAATATAAAAACAAAAATAAACACACTTGTTAAAATACTTAAAACATCTCTTTCTTTTTTTTTTTAAAGATTTTATTTATTTATTTGACAGAGATCCCAAGTAAGCAGAGAGGCAGGCAGAGAGAGAGGGAAGCAGGCTCCCTGCCGAGGAGAGAACCTGATGTGGTACTCGATCCCAGGACCTTGGGATCATGACCTGAGCCGAAGGCAGCGGCTTTAACCTACTGAGCCACCCAGGTGCCCCTCTCCTTTCTTTATCATACTCCTTGCATTAATAACCTTTTTTGAAATTAACTCACATGAAATTAACAGGTTCTAGCTTCAAATGCACTGGATAAAAGTGTTTCACCTGTATTATTTTTGTAGCAAATGAGAGCATGGCCACTGAATACATAGATTTCTCATAAAAATAACTTCCTAGCACTGTATAAATAAACCAAGAGATTACTGTAAAAGAAATAAATGTCTTTATGTTAGGCATAATACCACCCAAAGAACTTAGTCCTCAGGATATCTATAGAAGTTCAGAAGAATGTAATTTGATGTTTAAATCCTCAAGAAGCCAGAGAGAAGAGGGAAAACAAGAGCACACATACACCAAAACCTCTTCAAAATGAAAGGAAGATACTGAAGGCAGGTTTCTGGCTCAAGAGACTGGCACACAGTAGATGCTCAAAAAATATTTGTTATGAACTGAATGAAGCCCTAAGAGTCAGCATATCGTAAAAGTCACAGAACCCTTGTGATGGAAGTTTTCCGGAGCTCTCAACCTTGCAGTGCTAGAGCTGTTGTGGATCCTTATTCCTTACTTCGAGCCCCTCTTTTCTAAGAACTGCATCCCCCCCATTCCAGGAAGTGGGTTCCTGAGGCCAAGTCTACCTCATGCCCTTCTGCCTCCCTCCCAATTAACAGATTCCCAAGACACCAGAGTTGGGTGGGTCTGATTTAATCTTTCCAGGATTTATGATTTGGGATTGGGAGATAAGGGTGGTTCACTAGGCCTGTTAGTGCAAACAACATGGTTTATGCTGAATATTTGCTTTCCTTCTGGAAGTCTGGAATCTGGGCACATGCAGAGGATGCTTACATGAACATCTGCTGATAAAAACCCTGGGTGCCGAGTTTCTGATGGACTTCCAGGTTAGCT